GACGGCAGAAAAAGAGGCAAAAAATCAACAGAAAAAAGCGGAGAAGCAACAATCTAAAGAAATTAAACAAGCGGACAAAAATGATGAAAGTGAAATTAAGAAAATAGGAAAAAATAGTGGAGTGGAATCAAAAGAAATTACTAAAAAAATTAAGGAACTAAAGAAGCAGCTTAAGAAGGAAAGAAAGACTAATCCAAATGCTAGACTTATGGAAATATTTAACGAATCTGGAGGATTTAGTGGCTCTATTACTGATAGTGGTGATTCAGACTCCATACCTAATTCTACTTCATCTTTTGATCGTGAGGATGGGCTCAGATCAGGAACAGGATCTAATCGAGTTAACTCAGCCAATTCTACATCTAATAGAGTTAACTCAGCTAATTCTACATCTAATCGAGTTAATTCAGCCAATTCTACAGCAAGTTTAACAAAAGAAGAGAAGAAACAGCAAAAGAAACAAGATAAGGAAGATGAAAAGGAAGTCAATAATAGGTTAATTTCATCTGGGATGACCAAGAGCGAGGCGAAGAAAAAGCTTAAGGAACTCAAAAAGCAACTTAAAACTAAAAGAAAAAGTGGTTTTCCAAGAGCTACCCTTCTTGATATATATGAAGGTTCTTCTAATGGTACAGTAATGGAGGGTGGAACAACTAGAGCACCTAGTTCTGATATTGAAACTAGAGTATCCAACTTGGAAAAGAAAGTCAATAAACTAATTAGAAAAAACAAAAAAAGAAAGGCTTCAATTGATAAACTGAATTCTAATATGTCAAAACTGGCATTTATTGTAAGGAGGATGACTAAAAATAGAGGAATAAACTCAAACTCTCCTTTTGGAGATGATGACAATGATGATGATGATGATGCCTAGTTATCAATTGCGGAAATCAGTCCAAATAAAGACCGAAATTGTAAATTTTGAATATTTATCTTTTTTAAATTTAATTAATTACTTTTATTATAACAATCATATATTAATTGCATGCATCAAAAATTCAGCTTTAAGCGGGAAACTTGGTATAATATTATTTTTCAATACTGTAATTAATTATTATTTGTAAATTATAAATAAATAAAAACGGAGTATTTTCTGATCAGAAAAAAAAAAAATATTAAAAATAATTTATCAAATATAATATAATTAAATAGTTAATTACCGGTTAAATAGTCTTAGTTTTTTTAGGTATCAAAACATATAATTAGATGGAGAAAATAATAGTAATCTAAGTTTTGGCTTGAATATAATATTTTTAAATAAGGGAAAAAAAAGTTTCTGATCTCGTAAAATTACTATTCCTGATATAATAAATGTCTTTTATAATTAATTTATTCAATTTTTAAAATATCAAATTAGAATGAAAGAGATAATCCCAATGAGAACTTACTGCATGGTTTTTGGGTATGATGGATCAGATTATCATGGGATGCAAATTCAGTTGAGAGATAACAAAAAAGTGGAGAACTTAAAAACAATAGAAGGAGAGATGGAAGATTGTTTAAAGAAGCTTGACTTGTTCTTTGTTGGAAATGATGATAATAATGATGGAGGAGGATTTTTAAAGAAAATTAAATGGTCAAGAGTTGGAAGAACTGACAAAGGAGTACATTCAGTCTGCCAAGTGGTATCTTTTAGAGCTAAGATTAGATTAAATAATGAGCTAGAAGGTATTTTAAAACATAAGAATGATAGTCAGAAAATCAAAGAAATTTGTCAAAGGCTCAAAATAGAGAGAGACATTTTAAATAAGAATGGATTGGATGAAAGCCAGAATATGAATCCTTTGCTAGGAGGTGTCTCACTAACCCCAAAAAGTAATGTAGAGGATTTTCTGGATGAGTTATTGATTTTGGACCATATAGTAGGAAAACTTAACGAGCTTTTAGAGACAACAAAAATCATGGTTTTCAAGATTTTTAGGGTAACAAAGAATTTTGATGCCAGAACAGACTGTTCTAGAAGACAGTATGAATACTTAATGCCCGAATTCCTTCTTAAACCTGTAAATATTATCAATGAAGATTTTAAAGAAGAGCTTATAAAGGCAAGCTTAACTAGGTTTGAAAAAGGGCTAAACGATTTAAAAAGTGGGAGTAGAAAGAGAAAAAGATCTTCATGTACAAACTTGAACCAGAGCTCTGAAAGCAAGGAAATGAAAGAAGAAAATTTGGAGATAGCTGAGGAGATGAATGAAGAAGAAGAGGAAAAAGAAGAGAAAATGAAACAATTTGAGTTTCATCAAGCAAATAGGCTCAACAACTATGGGTTTGGGAACGATTGCAAGCTGGTTAACTACGAAATTGAGGATTACTTGGAAGAAAAGAGGAGATTTTGTTTAACAGATGAGGATTTGAAAAGGTTTCAAACAATTCTGAATGAGTATCTTGGTACAAATAGCTTTCACAACTTTACATCCAAGTTAAGTTACGATGATTCTACTTCTTGGAGGCATATTGAGGAAATTAAAGTAGTTAGAGTTGATCCAAGTGAAATTAAAGGAGATTTAAAACTCATAAAAATTGTTATTAAAGGCCAGTCATTTTTATTACACCAAATAAGAAAAATGGTAGCTTTGGCCATAGAAATTTTCAGAGGAACAGCTCCAAGTAATGCAATTCAACTTTGTTTTTTGCCGGATAAATACTCCATTCACTTAGCTCCAAGTCAAGGACTTCTTTTAGATCGGGTTTTTTACAATTCTTACAATACGAAAAGAAGTATTTCCACTGATCAGAACGACTTCGCAATTCAATTTCTCTCATTTCATATCCAAGATTGTCATTTTGTTAAAGAAATGGAGTCTTTTAAAGTTAACTCAATTTACTCAAAAATTTCATCAACGATTTCTGAACCGAATGATAACAAGTAAGTTTACCTTTTAATTGTTAGCACTAATTTTTCGCTTTTTTTTTTTGCTATTGAATATTACGTGTTTTGAAATTGCATGCATGCATGCATGCAATTTCAGCAAGCAATTTTTAAAAGTCGAAAAGTTTGTTAAACAAAATTTGGCTTTGAAATTAACACCCTTTTTTTTTTCTCATTCAGATGGATTGAATGGATTGAATCAATCAGCAGACATCCATTTATTATTGATAATTTAATATATGATACAAGCTATGCAAACAAAAACAAGCTAGAAAATAAGGATAATCAATTATGAGTTTTAACATATAATATTTGCAGAATTTAGTATTTTTCTACGTAAAATTATACTTAATTGATGAAAATGTAAATTAGTTTCTTCAATATTTTTTAATACTTGAGCTATTAATATCAAATTTCTTTCATTTTTGCTGCTTCCTTCTACCTGATGTGTATTGAAATTTTCTTGATTCATTAAATATCCTATAACCTCGACCTTGTTTCCTCTTTCTAAACCTTGAATAGTCGATTTTTTTAACTTCCTAAAAGTATAAGATAAAAGTTATGTAATCAGTTTACTTCCTTAAAAGCTTTTCAAAGAAACACCAGGTGATTTTGGAAAAAAATGTTCAAGATAAAAAGCAATAAAATAGCATGCAAGGGCGGCAATATTAGTCATCATTTTAGTTTTTTTCATCTCTATTAAACATCCAAATGGGATTGCTTCTTAATAAAAAATAAACATTTACTCTTTATCCCCAAAACCACGGATTTCTTTCCGTTTAAAGCCTTACCTCAAACTCACTCTTAAACTTCTGAATTCGTGAAATAATGTAATTTCTTGTTCAACCAAGTCAACGAATTTCACAATTCCAGCAACTCTAATTTTCTTATTCTCTAACCTTGGCTCTTGCACCTCCTGCAATAACACAATCTCCGCCAAATCATCCTCTGCTAAATCACACAATCCATCATCCAAACTATTTTGTTCTCTATAATGTATACTTCCATCTCCTTTATCCAACATGATTCCTCTTTCATCTTTCCTTTTATTCGTTCAATTCATTACTTTAATACTTTTTACATAATTCCCCACTATTCCCGCCACATGCCATAATTTGGCGGGGTCAACTTCCCGCTAATTTTGCATTATTAAAGTGTGCATAATATTAGACATGTAAACGGCAATACATGGAAAATAAGAGAAAGCATAAATACAATTATCCAAGATAATATTAAAGCTGAGCTAAAGAGGAATAAAGGGAAAGGGAAGAAAGTACGAAATAAAGAAATTGCAAAGAAATTATAATTTTTGGACGTGATTTATTGCATCTGTAAATCAAGGCAATAAATAGATTAGAAAGTGAATAGTATTAAGAGGAGATAAGAAAAGGGAAAAAAAGAATAATTATATATTAAAGCTTTTTTTTTTTAGATTTTACTTAAGAAATACAAAAACTGATATCGATAGTTTGATTTTCTTGAAATATGGACAGCACAGAAGTTAGAGAATTGAGAGATGTTTTCGATTTACTTGATGGTAAATCAGGATTGGATGTTGGATTCCTTAGAGCTGCTGCTACATGTATGGATATTCCATTGGATAACACAGTAATTGGGAGACTCAACTCATTAACACAGGAATGTGGAGGCAAACTTGATTTTGCGGGATTTGTAAGTCTTGTAAATAGTGGAAATGAAATAAAAAAATTCACCGTTGAAGATGCTGTAAATATCTTTAGCTGCCTTGACATCAAGAAGACTGGAACAATAGATCTTGAAGATCTCACGGCTTGTGCTTCCAGACTTGGACTATCCATGAGTGAGGAAGAATTAAAAACAATGTTAACTAACTTAGATGGTGACGGTGATAATGCCATTTCTCCGGATGATCTTCTGTCAGCACTCCATCGTTACTCTGAAAGATTCTAAATCTGGAAAGTATTATCATCATTTTCTACCCAAATTATTGTATTTTAAAGTAACCATTCGATCCAAGAATCTCTAAAAAGTTTTCTAGATTCTCTTACCTAAAAATAAGAAAATAAATAAATGGAGATTAGAAATCGTGCCCATTAATTATATTAAAATGCGATTCTTAAAGTTATCAATTAGAACCAAAGGAACATCCATTTATATTGAAGGAGGAGAAATGTATGTTAGCTTTGTAGTAATACTTGGATAATCATGTTAATACAGATTGTAATGATATTAACAGGAATAAATAGTCCTACTGTATTTTTTTTTTTTTTTGAATAACTTTTTTTTTTGATCTTTTAATTGGGTTTGTTAACTAATTAATCTTTTAAATTTAAAATTCTTGTTTGATTTCCTTAATACTTTTATTAGCTTAACTCATTTAATCTTAACCATTACAAAACTGATATCACCAATAAGAAACAAGAAACTCTCCATTCTTCTAGCTGCCATTATTGTCGGATCTTATTGGCTTAACTGGAGTTTTAAGTCTTGGAGTGGTCAAATCTTTGGCTGATCTTTCAAAACTATCTCCGGCTCCTTCCAGTCCAAACAATATCTCTTCAATTTCATGGTCTTCGTTCCTCCCAATATCTGCTTTGTTTATGCTATCAAGTGAAACTGATTCTTCAATATTCTGAATAACCTCACTCTTATATAAACTAGTACTATTTTTCGAATTATTCTTCTTGTTTTGCCCCACTCCTAATTTTTGCCTATTATTTGGTGGAGTAAAAATAGAGGATGTTTTCTCGTTTATAGTCTCTAATGCCTTTCTATAACCGCCGCTTCCTCCTGATCCATTTCCCTCATGCAATTCACGATAATATAAAGAATTTGTCACCCTCTGGTGATCCCTTGAGTTTTTTAAATCCTCATTTCTCCTCTGACTCTTGGCTTCAAAACCTTCAGTAAATCTTGGTTCATGATTAACACTTTCCATTGTCCAAGTTTGAGATCTTCTTGGTTGAACAGACATAGAATACTTCCTATTAATGGAGTTTATGTCAAAAGTTGCCTCTGATCTTTTTCTATGTTTTGCAGTACTTATTCCTTGCGTACCGAGATACAAACTTCGAGATGCAGATACTGAAGCAATTGCTGGCTGCAGATTTCCAAGTGAATAGTGGACCCCACTAAGAGATGCTGAGCTGGTAGATCCTCCCATTGTATTATACAAACCAACGTAGGATTTGGAATAGTTCTTGGTCGTACCAGTATTCAAATTGTGGTCAATACCATAAAAGTTTGATTCGTTGATAGAAATTTGTTTTTTTAATGATGTGATCACACTTTGGTTTATCTCAATTTGCTTTTCTGCTTCAATCAAGATCTTCCTTAATCTCTCATTCTCCTCGATAAGTTGTTCCTGACGACTATTTGAATCGTCCAATGATTGTTCATAGTCCTTAATCCTCTCCTCAAAATTTCTATTAATGCTTTCGATTTGTTGGAAACCCCTTTTAAGATTACTAAAACTAGTCATCTGTTGTTTATATTTACTATCCACATTTGCCAAAGATGTCTGAAGACTTGAAATAATTTGATTTCCCTTTTCAATCTCCTTACAAGCATCATCTAATGCTGTATCCAACTCACTAATTTCTTTTTTCCTTTTCTCCAATTCATCTTTCAAAGTCTTATTATTCTCCAAAGAACTGCTGTATTCAAATTTTAAGTCGTTCAGCTCTTGCTCTTGCTCATCCTTTATCTTCAACAACAGATCATATGAACTCTGAATTTCCTCTAACTTAGCTTTAAGGCCATTACTTGTCTCTTTATCGTCCTTTACATACTTTTCTAAGTTCGACTTTGATTCGCTGAGCTCATTAAACAAATTTCCTAACTCATCAAACTGCCTTTGTAAATCATTAATTTTGCCTTCATTAGATAACCTTTCCTGGTTCCAATGCTCTAACTCTCTTTTGTGAGTATCCTCATAAATCATCTTTAATTGGGTGTAATCTTTCTCATACCTTTCGGAAATCCTCTTAATCTCAGCCTGAAATCTTTCCGATATTTCACGCTCATTCTGAGCTGAAAGATAACTCGTCTTGGAAAGTTTCTCTTTTAGTAATCCTACTTCTTTCCTTAATGACTCGGCCTCAACCTCATAACTATTAATTATATTCTGTTGTCTGTTTGACAGGTCAAAGTAATTGTTCAAATGTCTTAATATATATTCTCTGAAGAAAGCCTCATTAGCCATCTCAAATGGAAGTGATAAATGGACAATTTCTTTGTAATGGTTTAATTCGACGAAATGCAATGTAAATGAGTCGGCCCGATTTAATATCCCAGAATTGAAACTGGCACCTGAAGAAAGCCCTAAATATGATTGCTCGATCCCTCCTTCGGAAACATTCAAATTCAAAACAATTTTTAGTGAATTTAAACCATCATTTCTGGCAGGTGAGAAACTAGGTTGCAAATTCGCAGGATTGTATCTGCTTACTCCAGGAAATACTGTCTCCTTTTCTAGATTTGTACTGATGTTACTAGTTCTTCCATCAAAGTAGTTTTCCGAAAACCCAAACCCTTTGGATCTATTCAGTAAGTCAACCAACATTATTGGAAATTCTTGAAAATCAACCAAAAGACGTTGCTCTGACTTCAAATAAAGGAATTCGTTCCCATCATTAATATCACTATTTAATAAAAAAGAAAAGTCGTTTGGCTTAGTCATTTCTATATGTACTCTGTTATAGCTCTTGAATGTATTATTTGAATTTGAATAATGCTTTCTTTTTAATATTCTAAAGTTAAATAATTGCATATTCATACTTGAGTTTTCTAAAATACCTCCTCTACCAAATACTGAATAGCTGCCAAAGCTAGTACCTGCATTATTAGATATTCCATCTTCCCCCGCCTTTCCAAAGTGAGAAACTTGTGAACGGACTGGCATATTCTCACTATTCACAATATTGTTATTAAGTCTTACACTGTTTTCCAAACGGTCAAAATCACGAGAATTCGGAGTGGATGGGGCAGTGCTAGTGCATGTGGAAGAAACAGAATTATACTTTATATATATTGGTACGTCTTTTACGTGCACAACGTTCTCAATCTCATCATCGTTCAGAAACTTACTGCATCCGGTTCTACTCTTCCGTCCCTGATATGCTCCAAAACCATTTTCGATTCTTGAATTTTCGTTGTTTCGCAGTTCCATTTCTTCATGGAAATTTACTGAATTATACATATCGAACTTAAATTGCCATTGATCTTTGAAAATCCAAAATTTGCCCTTATTTCACAGAATGTGTATTTATTGCCTTATTACTTGAACTGAACTCCAAGTTTTATGTTAATCAATAAATGAATAACTTTAATGATGTTCTTTCATATACTAGCTGATAAAATCCAAGCCACTCTTTTCTTTAACCTCTTTATTTATTTAAACTTCCCATAAAAAAACAAGAAAATATAACTCCGTAAATCTCATCCACAATATAACAAATTAATCTTAATTACGCAAATCAACTCGAAGAATACAAAAATCGAGACCAAAATTTACATTGGTCACTTCTCCTTACTCTTTATTCTCTCAATTTTGTGTTCCCACTTCCTTCCTTCCAACTTTTTTTAGTAACTTTTTATTTCCTCTCTTTTTTTAATAATTAAAATTATTAACTCACTTTTTTTTTCTACTCTAACTAGTACCGCCCAATTACATATGTGGGGAGGCATGCAAAAGTTTTTTTATTGATGTTTGTAAATTCATGTGGATGCATGCAATACCAGTACATAATTGATTATACGTGTACAGAAGTTGCATGAAAAATGGCACAATAAATAATATATTGATTTACAAGAAGAAAAAATTTCAAGAAATCGTTTGTGATGAGAACTAAAATATGGCCGAGAAAAAGAATTATAATAATTAAATGCTATGAATATACAATAACAAAGTTAGGTAATATCAGGACTGACAACATAAATAATAAAACTGTTAAATATTTTCGTTCAAAATCCTATCATTAATTTGTTTTGAAGAATCCAATTCAGATTGAATTTTTTTTTGGATACTTTCTTCAGCTTTAATTGCTGCTGCTCGCCTCGGCCTAATAACACTGGTAGCATTAATATTGGCGACTTTATTGTCAATATTAACTTCATAGCTTCTCACCTGAGATTCCGGAAATCCAGCTGAAGATGAACTATTGTTATTATGTGGGTTTTCGTCCACTTGACCCTTTTCTTGAGATTTATATCTTTTCAAGCTTGGAGAACAAGATGCTCCAGCACCAAAAACGTAGTGATTAGAACTGCTAGAATAGTTCAAATTATCAGAATTACCAATATCTGAATTACCAAAAGCTACCAAATTACTATCAACGTAGGTATCAAAAACTCCAGAACCTCTAACAGAAGTCATATCATCATCTTCATTTTCAAGATCCTCATCCTCATTATCCTCGGTCAAGATTTCATCTTCCCATTCTTGTGGATTTGGCATCAAATTCGGAGAAGTCCATTGTAAAGTTCTCACATGAGCAGCAACAGATCTTGCTAATGGTGAAAGAGTTAAAGCTTTTGTATTATATCCTCCTTCCAAAACTGAAACAATTCTTCCATTACAACAGAGATTTGCAATACTTATTAGCTGCTGTGTTATCCATGCATAATCTCCCTCAGTGCACGAAATGAATCCTTTTCCAACAATATCTATGGCATGGCCATCAAATCCTGCCGAAATAAAGATAATGTCAGGTCTAAACTGGAGAAGTTTTGGTAACAAAAATCTCTTTATTTTGCTTCTAAAGATTTTTGAATTGCTCTTCTCTGAAAGCCCAATATTAATAATATTTGGCTTAGAAATACATTGGTCTGGCCCTGTACCTGGATAAAACGTCCCATCATATGCATGTATACTTGAGAAGAATATATTTTCTGCATCAAGCTCATCCCTCCAAATCTTATAATAAGATATATCCTGTTCAAAATTTAAATTAACACCAGGAACAGGATTAACTAAAGTTTTGATAGTCCTACTTTTAGGGGCTACGTTTCTAACAATCTGTTCAGTACCATTGCCATGATGCACATCAAAATCCACAATGGCAATCTTCGAAATCCCTGAACTAGAATACATATATCTACAATAAGCCGCTCCTATTGCAACGTTATTCAATAAACAAAATCCTTGTGATCCTGAGGGAACTCCTTCATCAGTCCCAACTTTTTGTGCAGCTCCCCATGTTCCAAGATGATGCCCAGGAGGTCTTATAGCACAAAATGCATTTCGATTTTCTCCTCTACAAATACAATCAACAGCACTAATAACTGAACCGCTGGCATGTAAAGCTGCTTTCCAAGATCCAGGAGTTATTTGAGTATCATCATCAATAGATCCAGTAAGGTATGGTTTTTGATCCCAGATTAGCCGGCTCTCCTCAATCTTATGTTGTAGTAAACGAACATATGCCCAGTCATGAACTCTAAGAATATCTGACAAAACTGCAGGTTTGCATGACTCAGTCCACTGTAAAAGGGAAAACTCACTACTTTTTAAGATTCCAACATTTGGTTTAACTAATACCTCCATACGTGTTGGATTTTCTGGAGTTTTATTCACCAACTTAGAACGTCTAATTGGCATATCCATTGGTTCTGGAAGAGCAATATGGTCAATACAGCAGCTGTGCGTAAAAATTCTAGTTGAAGCTAGCCCCACTGCAGGACCATCCACAATAAAGCTTTCATTTCCTCCTTCTATTCCCCCTCTTTGGCTGGGTTCATCATTACTAGCTATTTCAATGGCTAAAGAAAACACTCTTTCAAATTCTGATCCCAATCCAAGCTTTTGTGCATGAAAGGAAAGTAAGTCATATTCACTCTCAGAAATAGGATGTTGTTGATATTCTGAATCTGTTAGCAGTGTATGGAGACATCTCCAAGCTGACTTATCAATACAACATTTTATTAAGTTTGCTGTACATGTCGATTCCTTTAATGGATCAGCTCCTCCACTTGAAAGTATCACCGAAAGTGTAACAGGATCTCTACTTGATATTGCATAGTGAACTGGCTCATTATTATTCAAATCAGAAATATTTGCCAATGCACCGTATTCCAGTAATAGAGAGACAATCTTTGAATCACCAAAACTACATGCTAAATGCAAAGCAGTGAGTCCAAGCTGGTCTGTAGCGTTAATGTCAAGCCATGACTCATTTTGAGAAGTACTGTGGGTTAATGTAAAAGGTAAAAGAAGATACAAACAATTCAAACAATCGTCATATCTCTCTGGAAAAATAGCTTTACAGAGCACCAGGTGAGAAATTGGAATACCAGCATATGGAATAGATAAATCGATTGGAATCATATTATTTTGGTAACCGTTATGTGATAAAGTATCACCAGCAATAGCAGTATTTTCAACATTGTTATTAGATTTTAAATCTTCAGATTGACAACTTAAAAGGATCTCCAGCATTTCTGGATAAGCATTTAAAAGTGCAATGTGAAGAGCAGTACATCCCGATGCATCTCTCTCGTTAATAATACACCTCATTGGGCTAAAAATATACTCTTTAAGAGTTTTAGAGTCACGAGAATGAATCAGTTTCTGAAAAAGTCCAGGTTTTGGATTAAAATTATCTAACAGCGGATGCTTAATTAATTGGTCTAGATTAGATCTGGAACCAAAATCATCACTTTGATTTGTTGATTTTTGGTCAGAAGTCACCTTTATATTTAATTCACTACTGTCAATATGGTTATTAATATTATCATCATTATTAAAATTATCAGCATTAATTGTTAAAATATCAATATTTTGAGAGTTATTTTGGAGATGAGTCAGATTTAAATTGTTCTCTGCTGGTATATTTGCAAGAGAGTTATCACTTTGATCAATATTTAATTGGTGATCATTTAGACTATTTTTTGTATCCATAATTCCTTAATTAATCTGAAAATATAAGGAAATAGAAAGAAGTTAAAGAATTTCAATCACTAAATATGAGATCAAAGATTAATCTCAATTTGTGATTAATCTTTGATCTTGAAATGCCAAGATTCTTAAAACTTCAATTAATATTCTATTTGAATCTGACAAAATTTTCTATTAAAGAATGAAAATGCCTTAATGCCCAGCCAACCAACCTACTAATTTATGTGAGAATCCAAAATTCTTATATTACTATTTTGAATTAATTCCAAAATTGAAAATTCAAAAAAAAATGGTTAATTATCAAATTTCTCATTAAATTTTATTAATTTGGACTATTTATATTACTAATTACAATTAATTAAATACATTTTAAAGAATCACTGTCTAGTCATTACACGTTACTATATTAATTATTTGACATTATGCTATTATTATACCATTCAACTATATTATATATTGTTAAATGTGGAGACAAGACGTGGGCCTCGTTATTTTTTAAGGTTTTAAGGAATATGAATTAACAAATATGCGGGAAAGTTTGGGGAATAATAATTCTCAAGTTTTGGTATATATAAATAATCAGACAAGAGAAAAGACATGTATAATGTGTAAGTAAAAAAAAAGAAAAAAGTTGAATAATCAATTATAAAATATAATAAGCAAAGCTGATAGTCTCAGCCGAATTTATTAATCTCAGTTAAACTATAGTGTGTGAGTTGTAATACTAAGTTGTGGGGGTTTCAATATTCGGTTGGGATTCAACTCTAACAATTTTAGATAAGCAAAAAACCAATGGAAAATGTGGAAAACCTAACACAGGAGTTGTGCTCCTATAGTATCAAGGAGGAAGTAAGATACAAGTATAAGGTCGGTGATATAGTTTATTCTCAATGGAAAGGCCAGTTGTGGAAAGCAGTAATTTTAGACATTTCACTAAAAATACACCCAAATGGTTGGCATCCTATATATTATGTGGGGTATGTAACAAATCTTAAGACTGGAAATAAGAATTACTACTTTAATAAGAGTTACAATGAATGGAAATCTGAAGCTCTCATTTTTGAAATAAATGGAGATACAAAAAAAAAGTCTTTAGAGACTCAGAGAATGCTTCGAAATGCCTCAAAAGAAAAAGATCAAACAATTATTGAAGATATACTCGGAAAACTTAAATCCCAGCAAGAAATGAAAATCTCAATATTAAACTTTAACAAGGTAGAAATTGAGTGGTTTGATTTTTCTGAGATGATTTATAGCGTTCTAATTCACGACAAGAACCAAATTAGTCAGGGAAAATTGGTTATATTACCCAAGGACCCAAATATTGAGGATATATTTATGGAATATATTACCCACCTAAATAGTTTAGGAAAGAAAAACAAAATTTTTCCTGAAATCGATATTCAAAAAGCAGTTTTAAATATGCTAACAACAATTTTCAACAAAGCTCTCAAAAAGAGGCTAATTTATCCATCAGAAATGAATCAGGTAAGCTACTTTGAGAATAATATTACAAAAGATACCAGATTTTCAGTAATATTTGGTATTGAGCATTTATTTAGGTTACTCATCATATTACCAAAACTTATTGGAGATAATATTTCATTCGGTGAACACAGCTTCTGCCTAGATATAGATGAAGATAAAGATGATCCGGACTACCTAATCGTTAAAAGCATTAAATTTGAACTAATCAAAACCATAAACTCCTTTATTGAATATTTTAATGGTAACTTTCTAAAGTTCTCTATTGGAAATTACACTTCATTTCTTACATAATGAGAAATACTAACCTCCAATAACCGTTATAAAGTCTGCTTCAATCTATGAATCTGAACAATATTTCATTTTTCTCTGAAATTTTTCCAACTATCGTGATTATTACCGATATCCAAAATGTATCGTCTCGTGATCCTACTTTCCCGCCCAATGGTCTAAGATAAAAAAGATGAAAATACAAGTTTTTTATTTAAAGAAAAAAGTCAAATTAGAATTATTTTCCTGGATTAATTTATTTCAGAAGAAAGATTATTTAATTCTGTTTAAAGATTTTGACTCCACAAATGGGAAAAAAATTTTAATTAACGCTATTTCGAAAAATAATAGAAATGAGTTACAATGAAGTAATTTTGGACTCAGGAGTGGCTGAGCAGACAATTGATATAGAAGGAGAAACTCTCTATATTCAAGTTCTTGGAGCAGGATGTGAAGTAGGCCGTTCATGTGTAGTAGTATCATTCAAGGGCCGCTCAGTAATGTTCGATTGTGGGATACATCCAGCATTTTCAGGTATCGGATCTCTCCCAGTATTTGATGCAATAGATGTGAGTACAATTGATCTTTGCTTGATCACTCACTTTCATTTGGATCATTCTGGAGCAACTCCTTACTTTGTTAGTTTGACAGATTTTAATGGAAAAGTCTTCATGACTGAGCCTACTAAAGCTATTTGTAAGTTAGTTTGGCAAGATTATGCAAGAGTTAATAAATTCTCTGCTGGAAGCATTGAATCAGAGGAGGCACCATTATCAAGTATTAACTTATTTACTGAGAAGGATATTGAAAAAGCCATTAATATGACTGAAATTATCGATTTTAGGCAGCAAGTTGAGCTAGATGGGATTAGATTCTCATGTTATGGTGCAGGACATGTATTAGGAGCATGTATGTTTTTGGTAGAAATTGGAGGAGTTCGGATTCTTTATACTGGTGACTATAGTAGAGAAGATGATCGTCATGTTCCAAGAGCAGAAATACCACCAGTCGATGTACATGTTTTGATTTGTGAATCTACTTATGGAACAAGAATACATGAACCACGTATCGATAGAGAAAAAAGGTTTCTTGGTGGGGTTCAGTCAATCATCACAAGAAAGGGAAAATGCTTACTCCCAGTTTTTGCTATTGGTAGAGCTCAAGAACTTCTTTTAATTTTAGAGGAACATTGGTCGAGAACTCCGTCGATTCAAAATGTCCCAATCATATATGCATCTCCTATGTCAATCAAATGTATGAGAGTTTTTGAGACTTATATTAATCAATGTGGAGAATCTGTTAGAAGACAAGCAGATTTGGGTATTAATCCTTTCCAATTCAACCATATTAAAACCGTCAATTCACTTAATGAAATTAAAGATATTATCTACAATCCAGGACCTTGTGTGGTAATGGCAGCTCCAGGTATGCTTCAGAATGGTACATCCCGTGATATATTTGAGATTTGGGCTCCTGATAAGAGAAATGGTATTATTTTAACAGGATATGCTGTTAGAGGAACTCCGGCTTATGAGCTTCGTAAAGAACCTGAAATGATTCAATTTGGAGAAAAAATCATACCAATGAGAGCTAAGTTTGACCAAATATCCTTCTCAGCTCACTCTGATTTTGCACAAACTCAAGAATTTATCAACAATTTAAAGGTTCCGAATGTCATTCTTGTTCATGGAGAAAGAGGAGAATGTAAGAAACTTAAAGACAAGTTAAAAGAACTATCTCCTTCTTTAGCAGTATTTGCTCCTGAAATCCTTCAAAAGGTAGCACTAACTTTTCCCACACAACAAGGAATACACGCAATAGGAAGTATTACTAATGAAATCAAGAATTTGTCAAGTAAAGAAGAAAGTGAAAAGCTTTTGCTTGTAAAGGGAGAGCAGGATTACCAAAGTGATGCAAATAGTGCTTGTATTAAGAAGATGAGAAAAGGGAGCTCTCAAATAGATGTTGATGAAACTTTGTTAATTATGCGTCCTTTTGAACCAACATTACTAATGAAGCCACAAGACGTATCAGAAATCATAGATGTGAAAAAATCCTGTATAAAACAAACTATGAGAATTCCATTACCAGAGAATTGTGTAATTGACCTTATAAAATTAGAGAAAGAAATTGAGAAATCCTTTGATGATGTATTACTAAATAATGAGATGATTTATTTATATGATAACAGCATTATAATATATATAATAAAGGAGATTGGACAAGATGGACAGGACCTTAGTAATAGTGAGTTAATAATCCAATGGAACTCCTCCCAATTATGTGATTTGGTAGTAGATACTCTTTCATTCATTATTCTGGACTTTATTAATTTTTTATCAGAAAATAGCCAAAATGAAAATAGTTTATTAAATATCGAAATATACAATACTTTAAGATCATGTATAGAAAATAACTATGGATCATGTATAAATGGTATCCATCCTCAAGTAAAAGACCAAATTAGAGAGAAAAATCTCGAAATTGAAGAATCAAATCTAAAAAATGATGATTTTCCAAACTTTTACTTTTTATTGAAAGACACCAGAGATAATTCAAATAATATAATAGTTAATATACTTTATAAGGAAAGAGTTATCTTAACAGTACCTAATGATAATAACGAGATTAAAGAAAGGATTTATAACTTAATACAAAACATTGAAGACTCTACATTACCAATTCAGCTACTATAATTTACAAAGTTTGCTGAAACTTATTTATAATTGATATATTGTAATCTAATCATTATCAAAGCTAGATTTGTTATTAAATATTCTAGAATTATTTTGTTTATATGATCTCCATCCCTGAGCTCTCTCCTCAAATTTCTCGTTCCATTTTTGTCTTTGAATACACTTTTCTTTTTCCTCTTGTAACTTTTGTCTATATAGTTCTTGCTCGAATCTATGATTTGCCAAAAGACACTTTTCACTGTATTCCTTTCGTTCCTTTATATCATTTAGAAGTTTTTCACTCATTTCTATAACCTGTTTGTTAAACTCTTTTTTAAATACCTCCTGGTCCTGTTTAATCTTTTTCAAAGCCTTATTTTTCTTGTTTTCTTTCTTAACTAATTCTTCAGCACGTTTCCAAACCTCCTTGTATTTGACACGATTCTCAGCCTTCTGAAGATCCTCATATGCCTTATTAAGTATATCAAAGGCTTCTCTAGCCTTTTCGTGATTTGTTTTGTCAGGATGTATCAATAAGGAAAGCTTTCTATACCTCTTACCAATCACAGCATCATCAGAATCAACAGGAATCCCCAAAACTTCGTATGAATTTGTAAATATACGCGAAGTTAGACGCAATATTTCTTCGTCCGATGTCCCTGTAATAAACTCATCATTTCCGTATGAGCTACTAATTGCTTCATCAATTTTTCCCTCAATCAACAACTTTGATATTTTGGCTCTTTTTGACTTATTATTTTTAGTTACGTTTTTGCCGTGATGTGTACCTTTGGAACTGGGCTCATCCACTTCTTTCATGAATAAGTCAAAAAGATCACATCCTTCTTGAGCATTTTTTTTTTTCTGGTCTCTCGAGTTCTCTTCCAAGTTCTTTTCAACAAACTCCACTGGTTCGTTCTCACTACCTTCGCTCCCCTCCATTTTCATTTCTTTCCTCTCTTATAACTCGCCTCCAAAAGGTGATAGTCTATCTCCATTATTTTACTAACAAAAATTTGATGTTTACTACTTAAAATTTCTTTTTTCTTTCCAAACTTAAATTTTTCCCTAACTATAACGTATTACCGGTATATTAATTTTAAAACTTTTAGGCGGGCAAAACATGCACATGCATTAGTACTTATAAAAGTATGTGGATAAAGAAAATAATGAATAAAGAAATACCTGTTTGTCAATCTGCATAAAGTTATTGAATGACTATTTTTTCTAAAAATTGAAAAGGGTTAAATCTCCTACTTTATCTGAAACTAAATGTAACTTGGTAAATGTAGTTTCCAAGACTTTTTACTTTTATCGTGTTAAGTATCTTTTATTAAGATTAAATTAGAATATTTAACAAAAAATCATAGATTAAGCAAGCTTGAGTCGGTTCAAAATAAGGAGCAGAAGCCAAAATGTGCATTAATGCTCCAAACTAATCACTAGAAGAAAAAAGCAAGAAAGCATTGAAAAGAAGAAATTTACGTGTTAAATAAGGGTTACGATCGCTATAGATGCAACATCATTATTATATGATACCTCTACAAAATTTACTCTTCCTGAGCGGCCAACTGAGCAACAAGTTCGATCTTCTTTTGGACTCTTTCCCTTCTTTGTTGGTTAGTTAGCTTGACGTGTCTAACGTATTGGGACTTTTCGGTCTTAATAGTGTTTCCAACACGAGTCTTAGTTACCTTTCTTGCTGGCTTCTTTTGGCGAGATGGGTCAGCATGGATTGCCTTAACAGCGTTCTTGTACATATCAGCGAGCTTGTCAGCAGTGATTCCGGCCTTAATGTATTGAGAGAAGTGAGTTTTGTACTTCTCTGGATCATCCTCCTGCATTTCAGACATGTAGTTGGAAATATGTTTCCCAAGAATACGGTCCTTGAGTACTTCAGCATCGAAAGAGTCCTCAGCACCATTTTCACCCTTGGTGAATCCTGGGAATCTGTTTGGTGAATGTGGTATATAGATTCCACCATCTGTAGCACCCTTCATGGCAGCGAATACACGGTTTCCACTAGTTGTTCTAGTAAGGCCAACATCCAAAATACATTTAAATGGTCTTCTATCTTCAGCTTCCTCCTCAACATGGTAGTCATCACCAGTAATCTCGCCAACTCCTGTAAAGATTTTATCCATATTGAGTTGTTTTAATACACGTCTGGCACATAAAAGACCAGTGCAGTATGATGCTGAAAAGTTAGCTAAACCAACTGGGACACCATATCTTGGTAATTCTGTAGAATCAGCTGAGCAAATTACTCTGTCTCCCTCAATTGTGGCATAAATAATCTGGCAGATTACTTTTGTATTGGTCAACCTTACAACAAAACGGTACTTTGGTGAATTGTACTTGGTCTTGTCCTGGGAAATCATAGCACGACGAGCTTGGTAATCAGTCTTACCTTCACGTCGTCTGCGTGGTTTAACCTGGTAACGGCTAAAGTATGCCTTATTCTTCAAAACCTTAACAAAAGCCATATTTTTAATATAAGATACTAATAAAAATGCCTAATGCTTTTTCGCCTAAAAAACCAAAATAAAGATCTTTTTGTTTTTCCAGCCTTTGTTTTTTTAATTGTGGAATTTTGCTACTATTTATTACCCTTTTTGTAGTCAAATTTTAATTTTTAATTTATGTTTATTATTATTAATATATTTGTTTTAGTAAATAATTGATTTGCCGCCAATTCTGAAACTTTATTTAGTAATTAATAGTAATTAAATATATTAGTCAGAGTGATAAATAGTAGAAAATTAATAAAAGTATAAATTTATTATTATTTTTATTATCATACAAATATTTTTAACAAACTTCTGTCTCAATAGTATTTATACTTGTAATTCTAAGCTAAATTCATTTTTTTTTAATTGAGACATGTATAATATAAACGGGAGACGAGACGATATTTTTTTACCGGTATATATTAAAAAAGTAAAAGGTAAAAATTTATTATTTTATATTATTTAAATAAATATTATATATACTTGTGTATATATAAGTGAAAGTTAATTCAATGATTGATAATAAATAGAAAAAATAAAGTCAATCATAATTTTTATTAATTGTCTCAGAACTATTTTTGAATAGCATTTTTAAGTGTTTGGCGTCTCTTTTATATATAAAATATATACAAAATAATATACTTTGGACTAAATAAATTAAATAGGCGGTGTAATAATCTGAATATTGATTGTAAAAGGTTAAGGTTGGAAAAAAAGAGAAACAAGAAGTTGCTGTTTTTTTAAAGTTAAAAATAGCTTTATTGGAGAATATTTTTTTTATATCTTCAAAAAACTTATTAACTGGAAAGGTATCAGGAATTTAAAGAGGTTTAGGGGAACTAAGAATTAGCTAAAATGGTAGCATCAAATAAATCAGGACAAAAGAAGAAGAGCGCAAATACTCAAAAGGTTCGTCATCCTTTAATTGAAAAGACCACTAGAAACTTCAGACTTGGAGGAGATATCCGCCCAAAAACTGATTTAACCCGTTATGTACGTTATCCACGTTACATTTTATTACAACGTCAAAAGAGTACTTTAATGAGACGTTTAAAGGTTCCACCAACCTTGAATCAATTCACTTGCACTCTTGATAAGAACCAATCTTCTCAGTTACTCCGTTTAATGGGTAAATACAAGCCAGAGACTCGTGCTGAGAAGAAGGCCAGACTCCAAGAGGAGGCTAAAAAGGCAGCAAATGGAGAGACAGTTGAGAGTAAGAAGCCATTGTTCCTTAAGTATGGTGTAAATCATGTAACAGATCTCGTTGAAATGAAGAAGGCTAAACTCGTAGTCATTGCTTCAGATGTCGACCCAATTGAAATCGTCTGTTTCCTTCCAGCTTTGTGTAGAAGAAAGGACGTTGCTTTCTGTATCATTGGCGGAAAGGCAAGACTCGGAAAGTTGATTGGTAAGAAGACTGCTGCAGTTGTAGCAATTGAGGGAGTTAGAAAGGAAGACCAAGCCGAATTCGATTTACTTTGCAACAACTTTAGAGCTCAATATAACGACAATGTTGAATTGAGAAGAAAGTGGGGAGGTGGAGTCATGGGTGTTAAGGCACAACATGTTATCAGAAGAAGAGAAAAGATCCTTGCTATGGAACAAGCAAAGAAGGTTGGTCTTGTCGCCTAATCTGATTTGGTTGAAATTTTATAATAAAACAAATAATTTTGACAAGGTTGAGCAATGAAAAAATGAAGACAAGGGTTGTCAATGTATTTTTCTGATTTATCTATCAATAACAACAGTTATTTTTTATTTGGAATATCTACGTGGCAGCATTATGTATCATTTAAAATCTCTGAAATAATATAATTGTCATTGTTATTATTATTATTATTCACTTTAGTTATTAATTTTCTATCCTTGATTTACTATATTTTCATTGTTGTTTTAATTTTAGTTCTTGGCCTTGCATGCATATTGAAATTTTACTTTTTATTTAGGTACCGGAGTTGGGCGCTGCTCTGGTTGTTAGCCATAACACGTGTTTACCGCCATGATTTTGGCGGGTTTGTGCATGTAAATGGCTCCCACAAATAAATATGAAATAAAATACATTATATTTACATAGAAAAGCAAATTGAGACAAATTAATAATTTTTTGGAATATTTGAGAGAGAAATGCTTATATAAGCGTGTGTAAATGAGAAGGCCTTGACTAGAATCCCTTGAGAGGATTTAACAAATAGATTAGAGGCAAAAAGCAAGTTAAAAGATGAGCGTTAATGAAGAGGATTCAAATGTTCAGGTTGGAAAGGTATTAGAAGCTGAGAATGAGGAGAAAAACATGCTTTTGGAAAGAATTAGAGAGCTTGAGGCCGAGAATAAGCAGTTAAAGGAAGGAAACAGAGATGAAATCATGATGAATGATTTTAAGCAGCTGGTGGATGATATGGACAGTGCAATGAATTACAGTATGCAGGTGGTGCAAGATAAGGATGAGGAAATCAAAAAGATAAGTGAGAGAATTTTAGAGAATAACAAAAAATGGAAAGGGTATGTAAAGCTGCTGGTAGATCAGATCTGTAAAAAGAATATGTTAATTGACAATATGAAAGAAGAAATGGACAAGTTCTTCGAAAAAACAAAAAAGCAGGAAATTGCGAATAGAGAGAATAATAGTAAGCTGACTTCATATGAAGAATTAATTCAGATAGACCAACAACTTTTGAAACAGTCGAAGCAAATAGAAGTCGAACTAAATAATAGAATACGGAAATTGGAGGAAGACAACAAAAAGTACTCAACTGCAATAAAGAAAATTTCAGAAAGTACCCAAAAGAAGATGTTAGATTATGCAAGTAAAATAGATCAGCAGCAATTAACTATTCGCCATTTAGCTTCAATTGTGGATAATTTTAGAGGGAGATTTTTGTATAATAATATAGGAAGGCAGAATGGAATACTGAACCAAATCAATAAGAAGAGTAGCTTGAATGTAAGCTCATCTAAGGAAATTATGAATCCTTTAGAATATGAGTTTGCTATTGTTTGGAGTAACTGTCAGGAAAAATCAATACGAAGAAGATGCGAGCTTTTGGAATTGTCTTTGAACTTAAAAAATGAAGATAATGAAGCAATTTTTAACTATTTAAACGATCTCCTTTTAAACAAAAGTATTTCAGTTTCTGATGCATTTTCTGCTTACTCTGACTACATTAGCCGAGTTTTAGGCCTATATGATTTGTTTTGTAAGTCCAATATTCTTTTGCAATATTTCCAATATAAAGCTTTAAGGTATTTACAAATTAATGGTATTGCAAATATGAAAAATAAAGGAGAGTTGACTGGGATCATTCAATGGGTCTGTAACATTACCATTGAAATAGGTTTTTTGATTTTAAATTTAGGCTCAATTATAATGTCCATAAGAGATTTTTCTAATAATAATGAATTCAGTTCTTCGAGCTTTGAAATTACCCAACTTCCATCTCTTTCTAAAATAAAAGCAATTTTAAAATGGATAGATAATATATCCCAAGTTGTTTTGAACGATAATTTAAATCAGAATATTACTTACGAGGAAATTAAAGAATTTAAAAACCTTTTACATGCACAAATACTGCATGCATGTCCACATCAAAATATTGGCAATGAAAACGCCGGTATAGAACTATTGCCAGTATGTTGTGTGGACGCAATAATGAATATTAACATTTCATTGTCAATTTTGGTGAGAATAAATATAAAATCAGTACAGGAAAAAAATTTGGATGAAATATACAGAAAGTCATTAGAAATATCGGAGAGGTTTTACTCAAAATGCGGAAATTTGAGTTTGAACGGGATTCATTATCCAATAGATGATAGGTTGTACTCATGGAATGGATTATATTGGATTAGAATACTGGGTCAGAGCAGTCATGAGGAATTTAAAGTATCTTTTCAGGAAATGATAATAAAACAGCATACAATTTATGATACAATGCATAATTCAGGAGAAAATGAGGGAGTTAACATAACAGAGTGTGTAGATAAACTATTTAAATCGGTTCAAGAAATGGATACAAGTTTGGATGAGTTGTTGAATCCTATTCACATGGAATTAGAAATCGAGAATTCCAAAAATACTGTGGGTATAGATTCTCTTCCTGAGATAATCATTTCTAGCAAGTTACAAAGATTAATAATGAGTATGGACGAACAAATTGAGTTGGAAGGAGATGTGAATAAAAATGAAACTATTTTAGTAACGAGTCAAAAAAAAGAAGGGAAAGAAATTGTGAAAGGTGAATCAGCAGAATTTGGGGGGTTAGATTTAGGGGAGGTGGTTATAGGATCTACTGAAATGGTAGAGAATATGGATTCAAAAATAGTCAATACAATTAGTTCTGATAGCCCAAAAAAAGCGAGATATGAACATTCAATAAGATTGTTAAATGAAAAGGTTCAGTCTTTAAAGAAGGAGTTGACAGAAAAGGAGGTCACATATTCATCATTTGAAGCAATGCAAGGTGAATATAAGAAGTTGCAGGACCATAAACAACTGCTAATGAGCAGAATAGAGGAGCAGGAACTTGAGATGAGGATGAATCGAGAACGCATGAAGAAGTATGAGGATACTGTGAAGCAAATGAAGATTGATTCTGATACTTTGAGGCGTGAATTGGAGAATTTACAGAATATCCCAAAGATTAAAGCATATAGTGAGCAAGATGTCTTGGAACCTGTTTATTTAAGAAGGTTAATAAGGCTGATGAGTAATAAGTTATATGAATTAGAAATGAATAGGTGGAATGAAAAAATAGCGAGGGAGGATCCGAATAGAGTATTAAAATCAAACTATTCTCAAAAGATGATATTAAGCCGAATTCATTCAAAAAATCCATTGGAAAAAATTGCAACAAGGATTCTGGAAAGGGAGAGGAGGAGGGAAGAGAGGGACAAGAAAAAGAAGGAGATGGAGGAAACAAACAAAGAGAATAGAGAGGGAGAAAATGAAAATGAAAACGAAAATGAAAATTTGGACGTTGACTTAAATTCACAAGCCGAAAAAAACCGTACTGATAATGATTTTCAAGGTGAACAATTTTTAAACAATTATTTAGAGGAACAGAAAGATGAGGAAAATGAATATACAGATATACTTGCCTTAATTGAGGAGTTTAAAGAATTACAAAAACAAATTATGCTCCACAGGTGTTCTATGCCGATTATGATTAATAAAGGCTCAGGAAGTAGCTCTTCATTTGAGAAGGAGTGGGAAGAATACATTAAGACTGAGTCCAGATTAAAATATAAGTTACATATAATGAAGGTCTCATTGCAAGAATTGATTTCAGGAACAGGGGAGGGACTAGGAGAGAAGTGCAACTTGGAGGATACTTACATTAGCAAAAAGATTGGGAAGATGTCACTAAAGATTCCATCTGTTGGAAAAGACTCAGCATTAAGCATGATCAGAAATCAGAGTAATATAATGCAGGTGAATATTAGTGAATGGAATGAAATTATTCAGAATCTTGTAAAGATAACAACATAAGAATTTTTAACTAAAGATAAATTAGTGATTAAAAAATTAAAATTCTTTAACAATATATATATGGACGTTAAGTATAGATAGTATTAAATTAGAATTGAATTTAAATACAGCTCGATTATTCATCATCTTCATCAGAGGAAGACTCCAAATTCATGCTAAGGTCAATATTATCCATATCAGACAAATCTTTTTTAAAACTTTCATCTTGATTCAATTTCTCAGACTCAAATTTTAAGCTTTCCTTTGTGTCCATGGAAGTTGTAATTAATTCTTTGGGTTCTTCGCTTTGCAAAGATGAAGATGAGGGTGATGAAGAAGAAGAAAGTGAAAAAGCTTCCTCTTGCGGTGGCTGGCTCAAGGATGGGGATTCCGGTTTGTAATCAGATTGAACAGAAAAGTCTTCATCCTTATAATCAAGGTAAAGTAAGTCTTTCTTAGAATAATCACAAAAAGATGCATGAAGAAAAACATTATTCATATTACTTGATCTTAGAAATTTGTTATCGTCATTATCGTTAGAGAAAGAGTTTGAATAAACTTTTGAACTAAAGAAATTGAAAATTGGTTCAATTCGCTCATCTTTGAGGTCATAATCGAGATTGAATAAAAGACAGTTAAAGATTTGGTGGATATTACTAAAAACTGCAAGATTTGGGTTCATCTCGGAATCTTGGTAGTATTCGGAAATCGTATTGGATATCTGATAAGTCAGATCAATGATGATCTTTTTGATCTGGAGGTCTGAATTAATTAAATTTTGCATTCCAAGAAGATTTAAATTGAACAATTGGCAATTCTTAATAACTATATTGTATAAGACTTTTGAACTTAAAATATGGTATTTATTGATTAATCTATCTAAGGATGAATATGGTTCTCTTTGTCTGAATTCTTTGGCAACTCTTGTATATCTTAGGCCCAGAATTATACTATTGGCAAGACTATAAGTTAATGTGAGAGAGAGAAGTTTTTGAATTATTGATTTGTTTATCATAATATCTTTATAGGTTGAAAATTTGGTATAATTTTGAGGATTGTTTATTGAATTTGAATTGGAGTTTGCTAATTCTATAGAAAATTCTTGAATACTGCTTATTTCTTGGAGAAGTTCCTCGTAATATTCCAATATTTTCAAACTTGCATTAAAAGATAGGAAGATCTGGAAATCAAAATCATTAAATCTAGTTTCTGGAACCAGACCAAATGCAAATATTATGCTAGAATGATAATTTTTTAATAGGAATTGAGATATTTCAGTATTTTGGAACTTGTAATAAGTTGAAGGTACATACTCTATTGAAAAAACTGAAATTAAATACTCCTGGATCATATGAGAATAAACAACTAAACCAGTTTTTCCTGAAACCTTTAGTAAATTTTCAAAGATCTCCTGGTAAAGGTATGTTAACATTAATATGTACTCCACTTTTGTGAATAGTTCAAGTTGAATACTACCATCTTCATTAAATGAAGATGAATATTCTTTACTCTTCAACTTATTGCTACTATTCCTCACTGTAAATATATCGGAAATCAAGGAAGTCAATATTCTGATTTTATTTAACTGGTCGAACTTATTGTTATTTTCCTCATCCATAACCAATTCATTATTTGGCTTTGACTTTCCACTCGCCTTTATTTTAACTTCACCATTAAAAATCTCAGGGTTTTCACTATCTCTTTCCAAGTAAATAGTTACAAACTCATCTACTACTCTATAAACCTCTTCTAATATGATAATCCTCAAATTACCTAGAACCTGCATAATCTGAGGGGTGATCAATGTGGTAACCGGACTTCCCGCCTCTTTTTTGCATGCATTTTCCAAATTTCCACCAGTATTAAAAAAATTGTTACTTAAATTGGTTATATTGTAATTTGATGGAAGATATACTCCAGAATAGATAATCAGAATAGAAAATAACTCAAGATTCCTAAGGATTCTTTTTTTAAGTTCCAATATAGAAGAGTCGGAACAGTTTAAAGAAAGTTTAGATTCTTGCTGGAAATGTTCTGCTGAATTATTTAAATCTGAAATCAGAAAATTGAGTAATTCTTGGCTGGATAATGTGAGTCCATACTTAATTCCATTACTATTAAAGTTATTATTACTACCGTTACTACTGGTATTATTGTTGGAATTGTTATTACTAGCAATCTCTCTCATCCAAGTAATAACACAAAGAAGTATTCTGGAGTTATTAATAACATAATCATCTTCAGATTGTGTATAACACCAAAACAAGTAATTTTTGAGAGGAGCTTGAAGTACTCTCAAAAGATTAAAATCTGGCACCATACCAAAAATCACACTTAAGCCTTGTAACATTTCTTTGTGGAGATTACAACTAATACTAATCAAAGAAACTCCTTTTAAGAATCTTCTAAGTATTCGAATTACTCTTGCAATAGTATGTTGTGAATCAAATCCCTCAAAAGTAAAAGCTCTAATACAGGCAGAGAAACCGGCTTTAATTAACAGAACTTTTTCTTCACAAGATGATAATTCTTCAGTATCATCATTATCATTGTTATTGTCATTGTCATCACCACTAATATTCCCCAGATTACAATTACATTCGTTATTAATTGTTGATTCTTCAGATTCTATAAATAGAATGTCAGAAATTTGGCATATAGATGTGGCATTGCAATCTGAACCTTTAGAGTTATTGACATCATTAATTATGGATCCTAATTTCTGGAACTGGGAATCATTCAGCATGAGTCTCATCCTTTATTGGTTAATTATCTTATATTTTTTTCCTTCTATCACTCTAACTACTTAACTCTTGCTAAAGTTCCTTTTTGTATTTTTGCTCAATTACTAGTGCTATTTAATTTTCTAATTTTTGATTATTTGTGTTTAAATTAAAATCCTATTTTTTAAAAATAGATGGCGCCAAAGTCTGATTGACATTATGTACCGGCATAAGGTACCGACCGTAAAATAAGTCTGGGGAGTAAAATCTTCTACTAAAAAATAAGAATACCAAAATGAAACTGTCATTTTAATGAAATTAATTGTATGTATGAATGTATCTACACATGAATGATTATATGAATATTTGTATTTTGTGCATCATATATAGATTGTTAGGCAATACTGGAACTATTATGGCAGTGTTAAAATATTATTAGAATCTCATAAATAACTTCTTTTTTTAGGAAAAAACAAAACTAGCCGGTTCTAGATTTTACATTTTCAGAAAAGAACATAGATTTAATATTGAGAGTATTGGTATTAGAATGAATACAGGTAGTATATGAAACAGTCAAAAAGTAATGAGAAAGAATATATCTCCTAAATCTCTTTTCTACCAAATCTAAACCCAAATAAGAAGGAATCTTCTTCCTAAAAAGTAGGATCCACAAGTTACACATCTGGAATATCGACTCCAGCGTAACCAGGAGTAATCGGTTAATAATACATCCATAACACATTTAAATTCCCCCCAAAGGTGAAAAAGTACATAGAGTAATCTAAGGCATCACCTCCCCTCCATTTTCTGGAGCACGAAGAGAATCAGAAGAGATCAAAACATTAGGAAGAAGAAACTTATTTATAGCATATTTCCTATTAATAATTTGTAGTTTTGGCTACTTTCATGTTAATGTGAATTCGTAATAATTAACCTCTCAATCATTATGATGTGTATTGTTTCCTCCCCACAATACCTTAACAATTTACTCATCCTTAACAACGGTACCCTTTTCACTAACATAAATACCGTCAAGGAATTTACGTATATCCTTATTTCTTGCAAGAGCGCATTGGTGAATCAAAGCTGCAGAACGAGATACAAGCTCTAAATCAGTACCTGTAATAATTAACTCGTCCTTAACGGCATTAGATTTCTCAACAACAACCCCAGGAAGCATCTTAACAGTTCTAACTCTCTTCTCTCCCAAAAAGTTTCTGATCTCAATCAAACTACCGTTGTTTAAAATATTTGAATTAATTGGAAAGTGGGAATAAACAAGACGCATCTTATACTCAAACTTTTTCATTACACCAACCATCATATTTTTAATTGCTGAGCAAACAGTATTAATTGCCGATTGATGACGTGGAGTGCCAAACCATACTTCAATTCTAACCACTTTACCATTACCACATAACTTAATATCTACTGGTAAATGGTTAAAGGATCTTGTAACCTGGCCAAACTTCCCTGAAACTGTAACAGTTCTGGATTTAACAGAAACTGTTGTTCCTTCCATAACGCGGAATGACTCATAAGTGAAAATGTCCTTCATTTTTTCCTCTTAATCACAAATTTATTAAGCTTATATATAAATATTTATTTACTTAATTCTTCCCTAATTAGAAATATGGCTCAAAAATTAACTCAGATTAGTAAATCCTTGTCAATTTTACACCCTTAAAATTTCTTCCACTCGTAAATTTATGAGGAATTAATTGTTTTCAAAACAATTACTTTGATTTTGTCAAACTTCGTTGCTTTATTCACCGCTAAAATATATTATATAATTTAATAATATTTGATATATTATTATATTATTAATATATTTACAAAATTTGATTTGCCCCTATTTAATTTATTTTTTTTTTTATTTTTTTTTTGAGACAATATTAGACATTTTTAGACAATGATGAGACGTGGCCATTTTCCCGCCCATTTGAAGGTACCGAATATTATTAATAATTTTATCTGTAGGAATTCTGTTAGTAAATTTTTGAAAATATTTTATGATCAATACATGTTTTCTCATTATTTCTGAATTTTTTCTTCTTTTTAATTTTATTATTTTTTGTTTATAATTAATGATAATTGGTTTTTAAGGCAAATTGCAATTTAAATGACTATTTGAGAATTCACTGTATGTATTTGGTATATTTACGATGATCCAGGTCAGAATCACAAAATTACACTAAATATTTAATTAGATTGGTGTAATTCTGGATTTAAGAGAGAACTTACTTTGCCTTGTACAATAATATGTCTCTTTGATTTGTTTAGCTCTTGAAAAATTTACTTGTGTTTAATTTTATCCACTTAAATCTTTAAATTAGAGCCCGCGATTTTACTCCGGTATACAAAAGAAAGCCGATCGTGATTTTTTGATCGATTTAAATAATGGTTTAATAATAAAGAGCAATTACATACATGAATTATTTTTGTCTGAGAAATATAGTAATAAAGCTGCTCATTTGAAATTTAACCACTTTTTTTGTATACATTACAAAGAGTAATACAAGTTATTCTCATTTAGGAGATGTAATTTAGTTGAATTCATTCATGTAAATATATTCATAAATTTATTTTAAAAAATCCAATCGAATTATAAACAGTGAAATTCATGAGTGAAAAAGAAGAGCCTGAAATTTCTTTGAAAAGTAGCAAAAATAAGGCCAAAATCTCGAAATGTATTACATGGGACGAGGACACCATCGCCATGCATGATATTGAGAGAGGAACCAGAATGGAAATTAATGAGCCAGATACTCCATACTATTATGGTAGTTCAAACCCGTCCGATGATGAAGAGCCATATATGCAACCATCAACTAGGCAAAAATCTGCGGTAGATCTTAATGAGCTTTCTTCAAGATTATTTGAATACTCTAATCAAATTGACAATTCTCCTGACTATTTCCCATCCTCTAATAATAATGATAATGCGAATTCCCCAACTCATAAATCAAAGCGAGATCTTTTTAAGGAAAAAAGAAAATTGCACTATAAAGAGTTCATTACTGCCAAATCCCAAATCTCCAAAGACAACAGTTCTCTTTCTGATTTTGATTCTGATTCCGAGTCGTCCACTAATTATAAACCAAAGAGCTGAATAAGAAATTTTAATTATATTTGACAGAAAATCCATTCCAATTATAAATCATTCTGAAAATCGCTTTCGTGTATTTCATACTCCGGAATATCCTTCTTTAACGAATTCTCGTTTATATTAATCCCAAGCCTATTACATATAGTTATCATATCTTCACTAGCACTTCCTATACAAGTAGTACCACTTATAGGCTGAGCAATATTTAATATTAAATTCTCGTCAGTGTGTATCTTTGAACGATCTAATATGATTTCATTCTTTTCTCCTGAGATATTTAGTAACTGATTAATAGAAATATCAAAATCTTCTTGCTTGTCCTTTAATTGATTCGTGTTTAGTGATGGAATGATCCTTCTGCTTCCCTGAATCAGCTGTTCATTTATTAACAGTGGAACTTCCCTCTTCAACTTTTCAATTTTATCTCTTAATGACTTTTCTTTAATATTCCTAAATAAGCCAAATGGAGAGGAAGAAATGTCTCGTATTGTTGAAAAATCACTCAAATTCATAGATTTCAATAACCATGATATTGGGAGAGTATATGAAGAAGCTAAGAAACGAATATTATTTTTTGAACCAATTGTTGGGAAACCATAAACAGATGTTGATTCTGGACAGGATAAACTTTGTAGGCCACTTACAATTCCTCTTAATTCCCCCTTAACTGTGTTTTGAAACTTTCCAAACATGTTCAGTACTATCCAGTCAGAACAATAACCTAATTCTCTTACTAAGTTAAATACAGTTCCAATATCATTTATTACTAGAAATCTCGAATATATATTTTTTCCACCTGAATCTATCTTATAATATACCTCTCCATCTAAAGATATCCTTTTAATACTTTGAACGTTCATGCCTACATAGTTTCTTATTAATGACTTTTTTCTAAAAGATATCTCATCCGCTAATTTTTTGAACAATGCTGATAAAATATCATAATTAATACTTGTATATTCATCATGTAATAATATTCCATTCATTCTTTCCTTCCTTAATTTGCTTGAAAAATCATCCAAATAAGCAATATTTGGTTCCAACTTACTTATTTCCTTTCCATCAATTAATTTTATTTTTGGAAAAAAATGTCTAAATTCCTGAAATCTCTCCTCAATTCTGTTATTCTCTTCTTCCCCTAATCCCAATAATATCTTGTTCCTTTTTTCCATCAATTCATTGCCCACTCCTCCTGGAAACTCCTTCACTAAATTTCTCAACATATTTGAAAGTTTCAATAACCTGAAAGAATGTTGTAAATCTGCATTTGTGTCAGTCTCACCCGAATGTATTGTTTTATCTAAATGATATATTAAATTCTTCTCAGCCTCCTTTTTATCCGACAAAAAAACTATACTCTTAATATTAGTATGCTTTGCCAGTAGATATACTAAAGCAGAACCTGTTACTCCACCTCCCATAATTAATACGTCAACCACATTCTTTTTTACTCCATTTTCCTCAATTATTGGGTGTAAATCCTTCTTGTATTTCATTCTTGTAGTGTTGATATTTCTCTTCCCTAATCTCCTTGAAAGACAACTAAATCCCATAATTACACTCCTTCCGCTGAATTTGGAAGGTTCTAACCAGGCTCTGCCTGCAAATCTTCCTATATTCAGCATTTTAATTTCATTAATTAATTTCCTTTCAATTAAACAGTTAAAAGTGTTTACTTTTCAACTTCAATCTTTGAATTAATATAAACACTATATCTTGCAAACACTTTTCTCTGCACTGCTTTTTGTTTGAATTTTCCCCACTTTCTTTTTCTATTTATTTTTAAATTTTTGAAGATTTTCACTTTTTATTTTCCATTTTACTTTGTAGATCCTCGAATTCTGAACCACTTAACTTTAAAGAAATCTTGATATAGCTTTTGTTGTTCCTTCAAAATTTTTCTAAATCTATAGAAAATATATATTATAAATTTAAAGTATTATCACCTCTAAATTCTCACATTTTTTGATTCTTTCCCGCCATTTGCACCACTTGCAAATTTGCATGTTTGCATGCAATTAATGTGGATAAATTTTATGATAAAATCGGAAGTAATTAAGTTGTACATTTTTATAAAAAGAAAGAAACAAATTTAAATTAGAAAAAAGACAGGAACATTAATGACATAATTATTACTAAAAGCATTAATTCTACTTTAAATAGTAGCTCAGAGAAAAAACACATAGAAACAACTTCTACCTGGTGAACCTCGTAGCTTGAAATGCGTAAAAATTAATTAGGATAATGACTCTAAACAACTAAGAACAGAGTCCTTGTTGTTTTTGAAAAATTCTTGTATCTTAGAAAAGTCGTCTTGGATTAAAACATCCATGAGAAGTTTCTTTGTCTCAGAAATGTTCCTTAGGAGTAAGGTAGATGACTCAACATCACTAGCTAAAGCCACAGAATTATCTATAACTTCTTGTGGGATTCCAGCTAATTGAGCAACATTCATACCATAAGACTTTGGACAAATACCAGATATAAACTTATATAGAAAAGTGATAGATTTTGTCTCATTATTTAATTTTAAATCCATGTGGAACGGAAGAACCTTTGTGTCATTAGAAAACTCGTCACAAAGCAAGTGAAGATGAGTTGAAAAGAGGCATCTGCACTTGATAATTCTTGAAATGTACTCAAGAGTAGCAATGGAAATTGCTGTCCCATCAAAAGTTGAGGTTCCTCTGCCAAGCTCATCAATGATGACCAAAGAATCCTCAGATGAATGGTTAAGGATATCAGCGGTTTCCTCAAGCTCAACCAAGAAAGTGCTTTTTCCTTCAATAATTAAATCATAAGCACCGATTCTGGTGAAAATCTTATCTACTACTGTTAGCCTACACTCAGAAGCTGGAACATAACATCCTATTTGAGCCATTATAACGGAAATGCATGTTTGCCTGAGAATAGTAGATTTTCCACCCATGTTGGGCCCAGTAACTAAAGAGCAAGGTGCCGGAGAAGAACCTCCATTTAGTACTATATCATTTGGGATGTAATTTGTTTTAAGCTTAGCTACGACGGGATGTCTGCTCTCTTTAAGCTCCAACATTGGTAAACCATTGGTTTCATCTTTGGAGAGGAAAACTGGCTTGCAAAACGGACCATCTGATGTATCTATTGAAACCAGAGCCAAGGAAGATAGTACATCTAACTGGGAAATTGAATCTGAAATTGCCATAAAGGAAGATAATTCAGAGTGGAATTCCTTGCACATAAGATGTAAATAAGGAAACAAACTTTTCTGGAGCTGCTCCTCCTTATACTCTAGATCGTATAAAAGTTGTTTAATTTCCTCGGTGTGGAATCTCACATAGCCTTTCTTGGAAGATGTAATTTCTGCAGAATCTGGGAATCTGGACTTTGGAATACTTTCTGGGCATTCCACCTCGTATCTGTACTTGCAGTTTGCAAATGAAATTGCTGTAGTATTCATCTGCTTGCTAATTCTCTTCAATTCATCGTCAAAGCATAACTTGGTTTTGTTAATTGAATCTAACAAGTCATCGTACTCTTTGCAGTTTCCTGGAACAGGAATCCAGTCCTTACCATTTGAGTCCAAGGTAACCAGAGATCTTAATCTTTCAGTAGTAGCAAATGTATTTTGTAGGAATCCTTCAGAAGAGTCATCTCTAATTCCAGTTAAAGCCACTAAAAGCTTAGGCATATCTTTTCTGGAGTTCTCATCTCCAAAAACACGTATAATACATTGAAGAACTGAATCGAACAGATTCATTGAGTTAACGAATTCATCGAATCTTCTTTGAACCACGTTTGAAAAGTAAACTGCTCCTCTTTTATTTTGCAAAACACCTGAAGTAATTCTGTTGATCAGACGCTCAAAGTCAAGATGTTGTGAGTACTTCTTCCTTGATCCCTTTGATGATGCTGAAGATGCCATTTTCTCAATAGCTCTTAGTTCATCTCTAAACTCGTACAGCTTTTCTGAGTTGTCCATAAACCATTTAACTGAGTCTAGGCGTTCATTAATCCTATCAGTATTAACCAGAGGGTAGGTAATCCATCTTTTTAGTAATCTAGTGCCTCCTGGCGTGATAGTATGCTTTAGGAAACCAAATAAAGAGTTCTTCTCATCACCATGTTGAGACTGTAATAACTCCAAATCCTTTATTGCTCCCACATTCACCATCAAATGTTTGGAAACAGATGGATCGTACTCAGTAAAGATTCCTGTCATTATCAACCTATCACAAAGTAATATAGTTGATAAATACCTAAAAGTACCAGATAATGCACAGCATAAAGCTTCAGACTTATTACAAAGGCGGTTTACTACCTCTGGAACAGGAACCTGTAGCTTCTCAAATGTCTCCAAGATATCATTAATTGCTAACACAGAGTCAACAAAGTTCCTAAAGTTGGTTAGCTGAATTGAAGGGACTATGGAGCTTAAGTATCTTAAAATAGAAAGAGGCATGTTCCCAGGTAAATAAGCAATTTCTTTTGGCTGAACTTGGCATACAATTGTTCTTACCTGCAAAAACTGATCTCCCTTTTCTTCAATGTTAATCAGTTCCGCCTTTCCAGTAGTAATATCAACACAAACCACCCCAATCTCGTAAGCCAACTCTTCTGACTCTTTCTTTGAAAAATATAAAGTCATCAAAACGCTGGCCATATCACTAAGCATATCAGGACGTACCAAAGTCCCGTTTGTAAACACCTCGTTTACACTTCTCTTAATTGCCTTATCCTTTTTTACTCCCCTGGATGCACTTCTATTGCGTTCTTCCAACTCCTTTGGAGTTTCCATCTGCTCCACTACTACCACTCTGTACCCCAGCTCAACCAGTTTGTTTGCGTAGGCATGCAAAGCTGTCTCTGGAAATCCAACATGTGGTTTAGAATCCGAAGATGTCCATCTCAGATCACAGTGTTTCTGACAAATAAATGCATCTATATAAAAAAGTTCGTAAAACTTTCCCATCTTGAAGAACAATAATTTATCAAAATGCTCCTTCTTGAGCTCCCAGTACTGTTCCATTGCAGGGGTGAAGTGCATTCTCTCCTCCTTTGCTTCTCTACTATTGGGGCTTGGCACCCAAATCGTAGATGGGTCATAACATGGATCTTGAGGGCGAGTCCCCTTAGAATCTCTTATATTCCGTAACTGAACCCAAGATGGAAGTGAGAAATTACGCCCTATTTGAAGCATTGCCTCTACGTAATCTCTAAATAGTAAGCTGCTTTGTGCTGCAGCTGTCCCAAGAAGCTCCTTACCTAATTCTTCTTCCTCGTTAATCACAGAATTCCCGGCCTCATGAAATTTAATTTCTGACTCTTTTCTACTGGATTTTGGTAAACTGCTCCCTAAATCCGAAAAGTCCGAGGGAATTTTCTGTTCAATTTTCGCCGCTACTTCAGCCTCTAAAGCCTCATCATAACCAATATCGTAGCCAAAGCCTGAGATATCCCCATCCAACTGAGAAGCTGTAGGACCACTTCTTGAACTATTTCTTTCTTCTGACTCATCATCACTATTCAGCCTCCGTTTGATTCTACGCGAAAGAATCTCCTCAGAGCCCAACTCTTCATCAGAATCACAAATCTTCCGAATCCTCCTCCCTGTTGTCTCCACCCCAGAATTGTCTGATTTCTGGCCATTTGTCTTACATGGCGTAGTTTCACAAGTGGTTGCATTTCCATCTGCCGAGAACATCTCTAAGTCCCTGATTCTTCTGAATGAATCTCTTTGCAGAGAGTCCAATTTCTTTTCGCTGAAGCTCAGCTCTGAATTTAAAAGTTCCCTTTCAATATCTCTATCCTCACTCATTAATTCGTCATCCAGCCTAGAATTTTTGTTTTTTGGCACTGGAGTTGATGTGTTTTGTCCAATATTACTTGATTCTTTCTTAGAACCAACCTTTGGAGAAAAAAATGAGAGAATACTTGATTGGCGATCCCCCTTTTGAGAACTTTGATTCTGCCTTGATTTCTTTTCCATCTTTCCCAACTTTAAATTTATTCGTGTGTGAAAAATGGCGAAAATGCTAACCTATGAACTGAAAACTTGCTTTCCAACTAACCTATCCTACTCTGAGAAACCTCTTAAGAGAACATAAACTCCTATTCCACTGAATTTTTAAAATATTCGAAAAAAATACAATTTCTGCAAAGGTTGCCTAAATTTAACTTAATTCGAAATTCCTGCTTCAGGTTTTTTCAAAATATTAATGTGGGAAAAAATAATTAGCCGGCAAATTATTATGACAATTTCCCCTATACCGGCATTTATGTATTACACAAGTAAATGCATGCACACTAAAAAACACCTATAAATTTAAAAATTATGGATTATTCTTAAATACAAATAAATAAAGCTAATACTTTTTTCTTTCTTAAATTCTCTCCGCTTTAATTAAGCAGCTTTTGGGAAAAGAGTAGATCTTATGATTGGAGCATCATTTTGAATGACCAAATCTAGTCTTGCGTCTAGAGTATTGTTGCATACAATTTTTCCATCCAAATTAGTAACCATAATTCCACCAGAGCAGAACTTAGAATTCTGCTCAACACTGGTGGGAGCAGGGAATAAGAAGTTTTCCTTGTCCACAGTAGCCTCAATATTCATTGAGACACCGCACTCCTTATGTAAAATATCCTTATATTTTTTGATTGCCTTTGGAATGGCACTTTCTACAATAGAAACATCTGACTTTCTACATTTAACAACAACAACAGGCTCCAAAAGCTTCAACATTGCCTGAGTGAGTAAATCTACTAAAATTGGTTCGTAGGCTGTTGGGTTGGTAGAAATCTCGCACATCTTTTTCCTAGTTTGTTGAACTACCTCAGTCAAAACTTGTGCTCTGGCTGCCATCTTCTTAAGTCTGGCTTTATTAACTGCAGTGCTTCTAGCAATTGCTCTTTCTATCTCTAATCTTTTTACCTTTTTCTTAAGATCCTGACGAATTTGCTCCTTATAGTTCTGCACCAATTTTAACTTTTCAATATTAAAATCCTGTAAAGCTTTTGCTTCAATTTCATTTGCCTTGTCCTTGGCCTCATTTAAGATGAAGTTGATCATCTGCTGAATCTGCTTCTGTGCTTCAATATCGTCCTGAATTAGAGAAAAGAAAGGAAATTAATACTCAATTCCTCAATACATTCTGAATAACTTACCATTTTTTATGTTCTCTAAATATAATGCTAAGATATATCCGTCAATCAAAAATACGTTGTTCTCTGTTAATTAGTATTCGTTGAAATTCTCGAGTTACTAACTAATAAAAATTATAAGTTACAGTGTAAACAACTTATAAAGTGTTGTATTCTTTCAGTAGAAATTTGCGCCAAAATTTTGAGTTTTTATTATTTTCTTTAACCTAAAAAAGTTATTATAATGAAAAGTTATTTATCTCTATTTATTATATTATTTAACCTCCATACTGATTTTACTTGCATTTGCGGGATATTTACCGCCGGAAAGGTGCCGCCATTTTGATAATTTTCACAAAAAGGATTGTTGAAATAGAAACACAACAATAATTATTGTCAGCAAAAGAATGGGGAAAAGAAATGAACTAGATGTAAATTAACCCAATGAAAATTCTTAGATAATGTTGCAGGTGGGAGAAAGTAAAAGTACAAAAACAACTTATTTACTAAAGTACCTAGGACCTTAGGCTAAAAGCAAATTTAAACACTAGTAGAATTGTGCAAATTACTCAATTTGAAATCTGATAATCAGAATTCGCAGTGATTAGGGTATCTGGGGAATGGAATGACGTCACGTACATTTTCCACACCAGTAACCATCATAATTAGTCTTTCAAATCCCAACCCAAAACCTGAATGTGGGACCGAACCATATTTTCTGAGTTCATTATACCACCAATAGGGAGTTGGGTCCATATTTCTGTCTTTCATCGCGTTCTCCAACTTCTCAATATCATCCTCTCTCTGAGATCCACCGATGACCTCTCCAATTTTTGGTACTAGAATGTCCATAGCTGCTACTGTATTTCCATCTTCATTCAATTTCATATAGAAAGACTTGATATCTTTGGGATAATCATAGATTATGCAAGGTCTTTTTTCAAGAATATCTGTGATATACTTTTCATGTTCTGAACCCAAGTCCATTCCCCATGAGACGGGAACATTGAACTCCTTATCATGAGGTTTTAGCATTTCAATTGCTTCGGTATATGAAATTCTTGCAAAATCATTCTTGCAAATAACCTTTAATCTCTCAATAAGTCCGTTTTCTATGTTCTTATCAAGATACAATAAGTCTGGCATATTGTTTATTAAAACATACTCCACAGTGTATTTAAGGAGTCCTTCTCCAAGTTTCATATTATCTTGAAGATCAGCGAACGCCATTTCAGGCTCGATCATCCAAAACTCGGCAAGATGTCTTGTCGTGTGAGAATTTTCTGCTCTGAAAGTTGGACCAAATGTGTAGACGTCAGACATAGAGCATGCAAAGTTTTCCAAAGCAAGCTGTCCAGACACTGTTAAGAAAGAAGCTTTCCCAAAGAAATCTTTTCTAAAGTCAACAGCCATATCTTGGCTTCCCTCAATCTTCAACGTAGGAATATTGGAAATTTTGTTATTTGATTCTGATGGTAACACAGTGGTTACTTGGAACATTTCTCCTGCTCCCTCGCAGTCTGCTGCTGTAATAATCGGAGTGTGAATATACAGGAACCCATTCCTTTGGAAATATTCATGTATTGCAATGGCGAGAGAGTTTCTAATTCTCATTACTGAACTGAAGAATTGACTTCTGGGACGTAGGTGAGCAACCTCTCTTAAGAACTCCTTTGAATGATGCTTTTTTGCAAGTGGGTATTTTGAAGCGTCACACAATCCACAAATCTTAAGTTCATCATCCCCCGTATTCAAAAGCAACTCAACTGACTGACCCTGAGCTGGTGATTTGACTATTGTACCAGTTATCTTAAATGAGCATCCTGCAGTTGCCTTCAAACCCTCCTCAAATCCTTTAACAGTTTTCTCAATCACACACTGTAAGTTGCTCGCAGTTGAACCATCATTCAAAGATATGAAGAGCAAAGTGTCGGAACATTGTTTCCTAACAGTTCTTGCCCATCCTCCAACAGTCACCTTCTTTCCAATATAAGACGCTCCGCAGTCCTCACCATCCAAAATTGAGGATATCCTTAATCTTCCAGTTACTGAGAGTTCAGTAACAACTTTTTTTTCTGGTTTGATCATTCTTATGCTTTGCTTGTATATCTGTCAAAAATATTTAATACATTACATTTTAACGGAATTCCCGCCAAAACTTTAATATTTTTGTCTTGTTTTTTGTCTTAAATTAAACCCTACTCTGAGCGGACACTTTCGAGATTGTAAGAAATAAAAAGTTAGAGAACAAGAAGGAAAGTTTTATATTCTAATATATCATAGCTAGCTACTGTGTTTATACTTGCTTATCAGAGAAAAACTCGTCTAGGGATTTGGAGATTTCGGAGGAAATCTCTGCTGCTTTGTTGATTATTGTTGGAATGAGGTTTAAATCAAGTGTGTTTGAATAGACTTTGTTCATTGCGACACATTCTCCTTTAGAATTAATAGAAAGTGCAATGATAGTTTTTGAGCATATTTGTTCTTGAATGTTCATATCCCATATTACCTTACCTCTAATGCATCCGGCTGAAATGATTAGAGGAATATCTTGGAAAGGAAATAAGGTACCGGAGCAAATAGAGGGTGATACAGTGTATGTAAAGTCTTTGTTGCTGTTTTCCCTAGTTGAAGTTGAGGGTGAAACAGTGATTTTTGGAATCCTGTAGGCGTAATTTGGAGTTATAATAGGCCAAGGAGGAAATTAAAAGACCGATTACTTACCTAGTAGTTCTTAAAGCAGTTTGAATCGCTATAGCTACCCAATCGACCATATTACCTCCAAAACTTAGGATAGTAGCGTCAATATAAATATTCCAATAGAGTTTATTTTCTGAAATAGTCAGTTTTGATAAATCAAAATTTTTGAAACACATGTCTTTAATAATAGTAGTTATATAGAAAGAATAGTCCTCTTCTGTGAAGGATGGTGCTACATTAGATATCTTATCCATAATATTAGAACTAAGTAAAATAATAGTAATTAAGAAAGGAAAATTATAAGCCTTAGTATCTTACCAATCAACATTAACCATAATGGAACCTCCAGTTACCGGCTCATTCTTTCCTGTAATAGGTACTATCTCACACTGAATAGTTTAAAACGAGTTTAAAATTTATATTTGATACAAATATTAGTAACATACCTTAACTGCAACAATTATATCAAGTTCGTCATTCTTTATACGGGAAGACCCATTAGCAGTAGAAATAACATCCAGAGCAATAACTATTGGTCTGAAATCGGTTAAATCTCTTCCATCATTACGAATTCCCTGGTCAACACCATCCTCTAAGAATAACCTTTCTGAGTCAGAGATAGACTTTGTCATTGATTTTAAAGTCACAATAGTTACAAATAATATGAAATACCAGTAAAAGAATTATAAGTAATGGTAATAACTAGAATTGTATTTAATTTTCCTCAACTATTCATTTAAAATGGGCAGTTCTGTGACCTTGACAAAAAAACAGCCTGTTCTCCGGCTTCATTAACAATAAAAAGAATGGCGCCAAAATGTATGTTTAGCCCTAGCCCTCAGGAGCATGTAGATATTACGAATAAATAGTCTAATAAAAGGGGCGAAAGTAAATGGCGAAGTTCAAAGTAGCTGGGTCTTATTCTAACTTTATTCCAAAGGGTTTTCTTTGCATCTAAGGTATTATACTTCAATTTAATCTAACACTATTTCTATATTAACAATAACATAGAATCGAATTCTACGGATCTTGGAACAATGTGTTTTTTATGTCGCAAAGTATGCATATATACTTCAAGCAAGTAAGTAATTAACAGCAAAACTTGAATAAACGTCTCTTTGCCCCTCTCTTTCTTGGAATAACTGGCCCATCCTGTACATATTGGAAAGAACCAGATTGTGGGAAAGGATAAGGCATTCCATTTGGATCATAAGCCCCTGCATAATAGCTCATTGGTAGGTAAGATTGAGTGTCCCATTGAGCTGATGTATAATATACGGGGTTTTCGTTAGGCAAATATTGAGTATTAATCGGTGCTTGAACCTGAGTTGGATCTCCTCCATTGAATGCACTTGGCCATTGAGTAGTATAAACTGGGAATCCTTCAGGTCTCATTACTCCTGCATATTGGCTGAATACTGGAGCATGTTGTGGTTGGTAATATTGCCCAGGAATCTGTTGAACCATACCAATTCCACCATTTGCCCCCATTTGGTTAACCTGAGATTGATAAAGTACAGAAGCTGGGATTTGACTTTGACCGGCGTTTACTTTATATTTTGTTGTTTAAAATGGTCAAATAATTACAGACAATCAGTTAATCACCCAATTTACCCAACTTACTTAACTTACCTTGTTCTTCCATTGAATCAAAACTAGAAAATTATGTACTTTCTCGAACAGAAAACTATTTGATTGGATGTAAGTAATTCCTGCCTTTTAAATTTTTCAAATCAAATATTTAAAACCTAAATATTTCAATATCCGATTTTTTCCTACCCTTTAACTTTATTTATTGCGCATGTACCCTTTACATAACACAAATCCACTTACGTGGGCAAGGCGCCACTAAAGATAGATCTTTTTAATAGTATTTTCAGAAAATAATTATATGTAATTACACCATTTTTGGAAAAAAAGCTGAGTTTCTTAGTTATTAACAATTAATTTTACTAAGTACATAGTTCATATTTTTGCTTTTTTGGGAAAATAGAGAGAGAAAATTCCACAGAGTATTTCAATTATCAAATTCAATATTGTCTTAATTTCATGTTTAGAAAATTAGTTTTTTGAAATAAATAAGATTACATAGATTTTCTGTTAATAATCTTCTTTACATTTTTTTTATTCTATTATTTTTATTCAGGAATTTTTTTTTTTTTTGTGGAAATATTGCATGTAAATCCCGGTAACAAAACTTGCAGATTGTATATGCACATGTAACTCGTGGCAAGTGCTAGCGAAGTCAAACAATTTAATAAAAAACAAACATTTTCTTTTTTAGCTCAAATAAAACGAGAGAATAAAAACATTCTATGTTAATTAAATCAGTCACTTGGGTAAAATGAAATTAAAGAAGCCTTAATGGAAAAAACGAGTAATTATTACCTTAAATTAGACTTAATGAAAAATATTTTCATAACAACTAATTATTTACTCAAATTAATGTGAGAATATATAAGATTTTTTAATGGGTATTATACGAATTTACATAATAAATATATAATTTAATTAAATTAGCGATAATGTATAATTGGAATGTGTGCAAATTATGTACATGTCTCTTCAAAAAGAAAAATACATGTAAAAATTACCATGAGAAAAGGCAATAGCCAAAAAAAAAGAAGAAAATTGAACTGAGAAATAAAGTTTAAATTAAATGATAACTTTTTCCTGATCAATTTGGAACCAACTCAGAGGACTCTGCAAATTACACATTTATGTTAATTTGAGAAGAAATCTTAACAAAAGTTACGATAAAAAAAAGAGTAATAAGTTAAGTACTAACAAATAATGAGCTACTCAAACAAAAACAGGTTAGACACTATTGATACTGATCATCTAGGATACGTAGGAATCTGGCCATCAAATGGTAAAGATGCTAAAGTAGTACCAATGGGTACTCCAGGGGTTCCTTTGACGGACATTTATGACGAAATGATGCATTCAAACGGTCAAAGAAATACTAATAAGCCTGCTCCTATTGGAGATCATTCCTATCCCATACCAGTCCCTGTTCCAGTAATTACACCAAGAACCAGGGATTTAACAAGAAATGTGATTCAAGGAGGGAATAAGTCAATTTCTGGAAGCCAGGCAACAATAAATACAGCAACTTTAAAACCAAAAAGAAGGTCTTTTGAATCTCTTAGAAACAAGAGTCAACCACCTCAGCCTAATGTTACAAACGGACCCAGAAAAATGAGTTCTAAGATAGGATTGGGGTCAAACGAGTTAAGCAGACCTCAAAGACAAAGTGGTAGCCCCATCCCAAACAGAAGGTCATTGGCCAGTGTCTCAAGCAGTATTGGAAATGCTCCCACGGGTTCTAAACTTAAAAAGTCGGTTAACGAAGTGAACTCCAGTAATTCAAATATTCCAAGACGAAGTAACAGTGTTGCAACAATTCAAAAAAGTAATCAAGCTAATTCTGATGTTGAAAGACACAAGATACCTGAAGATTATGTTCCTAGACCTAATATCCCAAGCTGTTACTCAAGTCAGCCAAATAACAACCCCGAATGTCCAACAGTCCCATATCCATTCTCTATGGATGCTGATGGGAATTTGAATGATAACTTCAACCAATCTTATTACCAACCCCAAGACAGATTCTCAGAGAGACCATCAAACTTTGACCAAATCCCACAAAGAAGAAATCCAACTAGAAGAGTTACCCAAAATGCTCCATCAAGTCCACCTCCTGGTGTCAGAAACTTTATTTCTGGAAAATCTAATGTTCCTTACAATTCCAACATAACTCATCATAGGGATTACCATCAAAACTACGGTGACAATTACTATAACAGAGAAGAACTCTACTCCGCCCCATATTACGCTAGAAGCTCCAGTGTGGATAGACCAACTTTAACAAACGTCTCAAGCTTGAATCCATTTGATAATTGTATCCCTCACAGCTCCACTCACCAGTACAATTCAGAATCTTTAAACTGTTATAGTGTGCCGAATAAATATAGAAATTCTGTTCATGACTTTGCAAAAGACGATATGTATGCAGATTCAGCATCATGTTTAAGTCCATCCAAAACGTTAATGTATTGTTCTGGTGAGTACAGTGCTTTAGAAGCTGAGAGGCATATTAGACAAAACTACTCTACTGCTAATGAGGTATTTAAACCAATGGTCTACGAAACTATTGTCTTCCCACCTGGGTATTTTGAGTATAAGAAGCAGTTAGAAGAGTTAAGAAAAAAGTACTTACTTGACACTAACCCGAATGCATTTTATCAAATGAAACAAAATGGTGAGTTCATTGAACCCACTACGAGAAATGGGTGTATTTGGAATAACGGGAAAAACTTAAATAAAAAGAGAAGTCACCCAGTTTTTGTTAAAACTACTGGAACAATCGATCATTTAAACAGAATGAGACCAAATCCTGCCTGTTATTGCTAACAAATAGATAAGGAAAAATAAATATTGTTATGTTTTTAAGGTAAATGGTATAATATGGAAACCAATTACACATTCGAGTTACTCCATTAATTTCAGGTTTAATTATTTAATTCTGTATAAAAAGTGAATTGCTTTATTTAGATAAATTCAAGATTTTTGTCCTTTATTATTAGTATATTATAAATCATTATTGGTATTTTCAAACCTACTAGGATGATTATCACAAGGTTTTGGTGTCAAGTAATTATATATGAGAAAATTTAAATGATCAGACTCTAAAAAATAGAATTCAAAATTCATTAAATAAATAAAAAGAATATGAAATTCTACTATTAGAGTATTTACTCTGATCAATGGTGCAAATTTCCTTTAATATTTAATTGTAACATTGCACTGATTTATTTGTTGTTTATGCCCGCCAAAACTCTCATCCCATTTATTCCTATGCATGGAAATCTCAACTACTCATAATTTTGAAAAATCACAAAATGAATAAATGTAGGTGAAATCTCCTGAGTTCTTGTTAGTTACTCTATTGTAGTTGTTGCACGAGACATCCGAAAAGACGAAGATGTCCTATATGCTTAAGTATTGTTCAATAAGAAACCAGGATCATATTAATTCGCTATTGTCTTTGGTGGGTGAATTGAGACCAGTCAATAAACGACCTGATATCCAACAAAAAGATAACACTCATTCAAAAATGGACTTAAATTTAGGAATCCTAAAGACGATTTCAGAAATATGTCCAGGTTTAGTTGAGAAGGCTATATCTCTGATTGATTATGGAAAGATTAATGTATATATCGAAAGAAGATCCCATCGAAGATTTTATATTATGGAAGCAACTACAAAAGGGCAAGATATTAATTACTTGGTAATGAAACACTTCTGCACATGTCATTCCTACATAGATAAGGTAGTATTGCAGAAGAAAGAGATTACTTGTAAGCATGAGCTTGCATATTACTTAATAGACTCAATGTATATCCCTGAAGTTATTGACTCATTGGGACTGGGTAATGATTTTTATACAAAATCAGGTGCTGAAAAGAACAGTGACAAGAAGGAAGATGAAGAAGTTAACGGAAGAAATGACGAAGAGACAATACATTTTGTTGGTATTGCAAATCCTTTAATTAAAGCTCACTTAGTAAGTGAGACAAAGTTTTCAGAAATTTATATAGAATATACAAGTAATTTTTTCATAGATAATGGTCTTTTCAAAAAAATTGGAAGGCAGATTTAAAAGAGCTTGGAGAAAAGGTTTATATATGTAAGCAAATATACACTGTTTAAAAATTATATATAAACATTAATAGACTAGAAATGTGAACAAAACAAATAATAATATGAGTGGTTCTATTATGTCTTTTCTCCATTTATTATTGTTCGTAAAACAATTTAACAGAATTCCTAATCTTCTCACTTTTCTTTCGTAAAATATCAATGGCAGTTTTTACCAGTTCAACAGGAGGAATGCATCCTGTGGTTTCAATTGAGAAAATGAAGTGAAATTTATCCTTTAAGAGCTTTATCTGATTTGGAAATTGTTCAATACATGCTCTACAGGTAGTGCAGTTTCTTGGGTTTGTGGGAATTATATTCCCAGTTACCTCTTCAATATCAAAAACCTTCATTGGGCATGTTTTGTCTCTTAGTTTGAGAGCATCTGAACCAGAAATTGGACCATTTGGAAAACTAAATGTAGGTAAAAGACGGTAACTAGCAGTACAAACTGGACTCCATTTTGCATGAACTCTTCCAATATTTTTTTCACAATAGAGGATGGCCTCTATGGATTGGCCTGGCCTAAGCTTTGTAATTAAAATGTCATCTGTTACAACTTTTGGTGGATTATCTTCATACTTCTTTTTCTGAGACTCACTAAGTGGAATCCAGACCAAATCCTTTGAGTAAATTGCTTTACTTGTGATCCCCTTTTGATGGTTGATATCGCTTTTTGTGCATTTAACATTCAATCTGAAACAGACACTATTCTTCTCATTAAGGTCCTCATCTTCATTCCTAAATTCAATTGTGTTCGGATCAATTAACATTGGGATTAGTCCTAGTCTATGAGCCAGAACCTCGTCCTGAATTACTCCATTGTTCTGGTAAATTTGGACAGTCTCAATCGCTACTGTTGGAGTCTCTACTAATAAAATTCTCCTAAGAGCATTTGCTATGGATGCATCTATACCAGAAATATCAAAGTTGATGTAATCACTCTTAAGCTCATTTATTTTTATATCGATCGTCTCTATTATTTCCTCAGATGTTTGCTTTCTGTAATTATTTCCCTTAATTACTGAATTTAATTCATTACTTCCTATGTACCCATATCCTCCAACATCCCTTGGGCCTTCCGTCGTACATTCCAAATATCTGTTGCTCCTTTCTTTCTTCCCTGAAACCATCTCTAACCGACTCTTCTTCTTGTTTCTTCCTTATATTTTTAAATTTCCACTCTCTAACTCCTAATTCCCAATTTTTCACCTTCTATATTCAATTATTCCTCCCAGCTCTTACTCAAATCTATATTTATTTTTCCTTTTGACATTTAATTATCATAAATTTGGCGCCTTTTGGCGGGCGAATCGCTCTAGTATAATTAAAATGCAGGGAAAATTAATTGGGGGAAAGTCGTTTAATATTAAAGGCGAGAACTTTTTTGAAAACAGAATTTAGGTTATTAGGGCAATCGATATTTTTAGTTTTTAAGTCTATTCGAAAAAATGTCTAAAGAGCAAGTTAAGTCTAAGGATTCTTGTGTAGGTCCTGCTCCATTTGGGATTTCAAAAGTGCTAAAGGAGTCCTCAAACAAGAAGGTTTTGACTGAGTTCGTGCTATTTACTCTCTGTTTAGTGCTCCTCCCGTGTGGGTTATTCTTTTCGAGCCACATTTTTCTAAGGAGATTTCTGCCAGAGCAGTCAATTTCAGTTGTTTCTGCCGTATTTTCGGTAATTCTGGTAAATATCATATGTGGAATATATGTATATAGGTAAGTTATATATAGGTAGTTAGCACAGCCTAGAAGTTTTAACTTAGGTTGCATCTTGGCTCTATGCTTTTCTCCCCTATATATGTTTAAAAACTCTAACTATTTGAAATCCTAATGTTAATTGATTTTTTTTCTACTTTTTACAACTTTTCCCATTAATTACTTCCTTATTTACAGGGCATTTCTTCAGGAAAAGGGAGAATGGCAGAATATGGGTCCACCTTCCACACCAATATCTAACAATTCAGAGTCCAGAAAGGCCAGATAGGTGTTTATTTAACCCAAAATTGACTTTGTACTTTACAGAATCTATTTTATTTTTAAGTATTTATATTTTCTACAGTTCTTTTCATGTATAGTTTTGTGCGGTAACTTGGGGGGTATCTATATTATTATGTGTTTTTCTTTTTTCTTAATTCTCCAAAGGAATTTCAAGTGTATTTCTCTCATTATCCTTTTACTTAAAATTTATCAAGAAGGAATTCTGACTTTCTTGACAAATGAGAAAGTCTCTTGGGCAGACATTATTCTCAGTCTTGTTGTTTCTTTGTTTCTATTTAGGAATCTTAAAATTTGTTAACTCAGAAGTTTTAGATGAAACACTCAAACGAGACAAAACCTTTGAAAAAGATAATTCACAAAGAAAAGATACTCAAAACCTGGAAAAAATAGGAAAAGAAACTTCCCAGTTATCACAGTCAGTTCTCAAAGAAGAACTTGATTCCTTTTCTAATGATATTGAAATCAATTGGAAAGGGAGAGTTCTAGTAATTGGAGACATACATGGAGACTTGAAATCCTTAATCACAAGTCTATTTCTTTCTGGAGTTATTAATAACAACCTGGATTGGATTGCAAAAAATACTCTTCTTATTCAACTTGGTGATGTTGTAGATAGAGGATCTCACGCTTTACAGATATACAAGCTATTTAATAAGCTTAGATCTCAAGCTCCATCACTTGGAGGCAAGTTTGTGGGACTTTTGGGAAACCATGAAATAATGAACTTATGTGGACAATTACATTATGTAACAGATGAAGACATTAAAACTTATGGAGGAAGAACTAACAGGATTTTTGAATGGTCTAAGGAGGGATTTGTGGGTAAATATCTCAGAACTATGAAGCTTGCAATTCGAGTCAATGATTCTCTCTATGTTCATGCAGGTTTGCTTCCAAAATATGCAAAATTGGGTTTAGATAGATTGAATAAGCTATCTGATGATCTATTGGAGGGGGATTTTTGTGACTTTTACTCCTCCCTCTTTTTCGTAGAGGATGGACCTCTTTGGACAAGAGATATATCTCTGGGAGAGGAAAGGAAGGCTTGTAAGCTTGTGGATGAGACACTTCAAATTTTGGGCCTAAATAGGATGGTTGTTGGCCATACTATCCAACATGATAATAGGATTAATATAAAGTGTAATAATAGACTTGTATTAGCAGATACTGGGTTTTCCGAAGCAATTTATGGGAAACCATGTATACTTGAAATTTTATATAACAGAGATCAACATAATGCAAGCTATGAAAAGGAGAATGACTTTGACTTTAAATCTTTCCATCCTTATTCTATGAACGAACTACAAATCAAAAGCAATTATTCAAAACCTAATGTTAAATATATTCAGGTTACCAGTCTCTTATTAAATGACAGGAGTTCTATCTCAAACGAAACATCAATAATGGACGAACTTTAAACATTAGATATATTAAATTTCCCTATTTACTAATTCCTCTATTCTGTTTAATATTGACAGTAGTGAATTATCTGAAATGTGGGATTCCTGATTTGTCTCAGAGTAGTTATTTGATATCATTGACTTATCCTGATCTAGAGCGTTACTATTTTGAGTTTTTTCTCCAAGTTGAGTAATTTCCTCCTGGTTTGTTTCATGTTCCTCTATAACTTCTTCAGTGTTTGAATTTTTTTCGTTAAAAAGCTCCTTCCAGTCGCCATATTCATTTTTCTTGTCTCCAGAAAAAGACAATAATAATCTTGGAAATGATGTCTCATTATCTCTAGAATCTTTATCAGATCCAGATTGACTAAAAAGGGTATCGTCTATCTTTCTTTTTTTTTTGTCATCTCTTTCTTCCAAAAAAATGTCCTTTGAGACCTTCAAATCCACAGAATTGAGCTTATGTAAATGTTTTAACTTAAAAAGCTCATACTCGGACAACTTTTCATCAAATTCGTTTAATAACTGCTGAAAAGTTTCTAATAGAGCCTGAGCTTCTTCCTTTTGCTCTTCCTTTTGTATTTGAAGGCTTTTCGCCTCTATCTTCTGAACTATCTGAATTCTCAGATTCTGAAGGTAATCCATAAATGACTTTTCGTCTTGCTGCTGAGACTCACTGTGAGAGGTTTCTGTAGAATCAATAATATCTTGGGCCTCCAGAAACCTTTTCTCTAAAGGGTCAGGCATTAAGGGATTTCCATATCTATCTTGGTAGTAATACTGAGGTCCATCATATAAGTTAGGAAGTAGGATTCCCTCTCGGACCATATTGTTAACAATAAGCTTGGTTTCAGGGAAGACATTTCCTTTTATATCACAATCTTTAACTACCTTTTTAATAGTTTCCAAAGTTTCAATAGTAACAGGAATTCTCATACACTCAAAAGTTTGAGATTGTTCCTGACCATCCTCCAAAGCAGTTTTATATTGTGATTTAAATATTAGGAATAACAAATATATAATTGTAACATTGTGGTGAAGTTCTTCAAGGTCAATATTACAAAAAGTGTTGTCGTCTTGATCCTCTGAAGTATCTTGGAGACTATCCATAATCATCATACTAACATTCAAATCCAAAATATCTTCCTTACCTATAGTTCTTTGAGTTGGGTGATTCTCAAATGTAGCTTGAGATTCTCTACAATTTAGAGATTCTTGCATCTTTTTTTGATGAGTTTTCCAAGGAAAATGACTTTTTTGGTGTTCAGCATTATCGGTATCTGTCGAATCAAGCTCTAGCCTTCTATTAAAAAGACGTATTACTACACCTAACAAAATCTGAAAGCATTCATCTTTCTCCTCAATTTCTGTACAAAACTGTACTGCACTGAATTTCATCTCTTTGTATGTTTGGCTGAAGAGCTTAAATGTACCTGGACTTTTATAATTGATCTCTTTCCCCATATTTTGAACCTTCCTCTTATAGCTTTGAAGAAGCTTTACAACATCTCTATAATAACATAAGGTTCTACCACATAGAACTCCTGGGAAATAATATCCTTCAAAAATGTCTCCTGGACGGAAACGTTCTTTTGCCTCATGTTCCTTATTTGACATATAAAATCATCAAGAATTTACTATAAAGTTAAAATTAAAATGAGTTTCTCAGAATATTTTTCTTTTAAACCTGTTTTTTTAATAAATAATTAATTCTGACAGACCAAGTATTTTAAAGCGTGATGCATGACTTTGGCGCCAGATGGTCAGATTGTGTAGGATTATTAGAAATGTAAAAAAAGGATAAAAGAGAGAAGGAAAGAAGAAGTTTATAGAAGAATGGTTGGGAATAGATAATATTTAAGGTAAGAGAGACATTATAAGCAGAAATAAGAAATAATGTTAATAGTTAGTTTCGAATTTGGGGCTAATGCATGCAATATTTATAATTGACTTAATAAAAAACACATTAAAATTCTCAGATAAAGCTTGAAAAGTATTGTGAATAGCTGCCATAATCTTTGGGGAGCTTGTGACAAATCCAGAGATAATAATGTTATTTTCTTGCAGAATTTGAGAATGCAGTATTCCTTTTTGGACAAGCTGGTTTGTAAGTAGGATGACAATACTTTTAATTAGATCCTCTGGAGCGAGGTTTTTCTGATCATAATTAAGAAACTGAAGTTTTCCTAGAGAAGAAGCTACAGAATCCCCCTCCAAATTGATTTCAGGATACGATTGCCCGTAAATATCTTTGACAATTAAGTCACAATTTTGAATATTACCTATAGAAATAGCCCTGTCAATATCTTCCATGCTTTCTACCTTTAGACCTAGGATCTTTGCCAAACCCCAGAGAGAGTATTCCCCTATTTCAATACTTCCAACTTTTTTGGAGTAAGAATCTTCTATAAAATGTAGAAATTCTGTATATGATTTACCAATATTAATATGGATGAAATGAGTTAAATCAATCGTATTAGAAAACCCGTGAAGCTGGATGGGTTCTTGCTCATCCAAACAATTAAATATACCCAAAGTCTTCATGAAAGTATTCTTAAAAGTATATCTTTCCAAAAAATCTTCAAACTTAAAATTTGATTTCAACAGCTTTATTGGATTAAAAGAGCTTGCTTTTTCATAAGAAAGGATCTCAAACTTTTCAAAGTCTTTTCCTAAAGTATCTTTTAATATATAAAAACTATCCTGTTCGTCTTTATTTGTTACCATCAATGAAATTCCGATCCTATAGTGGAGTTCTTCCACACTTTCCAATAGCAATTTTTTAAATTCCTGCAAACTTATCCGAATAAATACCAACAAAAATTTCTGATGGGAGGAATCTTCCAAATAAATATCCTCTGATGAACCTCCCAAAATTATAAACTTCTCTTTCATTTCCTTTCTCTTAATGATTTTCTCAAGAAGCAAAACTTTTACTTTCTTGAAAGTTAAATCATCTATTGCCATACAAATATCCACCTGGCTTCTAAAAATCTCAATTCCCAGTGAATTACCCATAATTATGCTTTTTCATTAAAGAAATCCTTATTTATACTTTTATTTCTATTTTAACTTTTTACTCGTTAAAATTCGATACTGTAATTTTACAAAGTTAATGTTTAAATAACTTTCAAAACTGAGTATTTGCCACTTGAATTCCAACTCTTCACATCCCTACTAACTTCACTTATTCTTTAATTTATTACTTCCTATAAAATTGTAATATTATCATTGCACATTTCCCGCCAAAATTGCATGACTTAAATAATAGGAATAGTGAAACAAAGAAAAAGTGAATATGAGTGGTATATCAGAAATTTATGATGATCTGACCCGTTAGAAAGCGATTTATTTGAGTATAATAAAATATTTAAAAGAAAATCATTTAACTCTGGAGTAATTAACACAATAAAGATTCACTTTAGAAAATTTCATAGTATGCAATATACATATATGATATAATAAGAAATAAAAACCTAAAATTCAGTATTACATAATTAGTTCATATCTATGAATAATGCCCAAATTATGACTATAATTCCATATCATACTACAGTTTCAACACTACAAATTAAGATAATTAAGGAGTAAAAATTAAAATGACTAACAGATGGTTTAGAAATATTATGACCACAAAGAGGCTTATAAGAATTTACTTAATATGTAAGCAGCTGGCTATTCTAATTCAATAGAAAGTTTTTATGTTTGGAATTAGTGCCAGAAAACAAGAGATTTAAACGGTAAAATGAGAATTTGAGAGAAGAAACTCTGGATTCTGTGTGATAAAAAGTAAATAAAAACAATATATTAGATTTTTCTTGAGAATTATGTACTTCATTTTGGGCTTGGGAAAAAAATACACTTAGTTTTAATGAAGTATACTCTCTACTTATAACGAATAAGCAAATAAGAAGAGATAATATCCGAAAGAAAGAATTAGAGTATTTCACGGAATACAATTATCTCAAATTCAAAACATACAATCTAGGTTTGATTTTGAACTATCATAATTTTAAGCCTAAAAAATATTGTATGTGGGACTATAAACTCGGGGAGCCCGCCCAAACGGGTTAATATTATAGGACAGATAATTGGATAAAAAAGTTAAAATCTGATCTTTGTGGGCATCAGGAAGAAAAGAAAGAAGGTAGGGAAGAAGAATGAGTATAATTGATGACCAAAGTTTTGATCCAAATACCTCAGAGATGGCCTTAATGGAGGTAATGGCAAAGAGTTTGCATCATGTTTTTGAGACTTTTCAGTATGAGGCCAGCACATTAAGGAATAAAAGTGACCAAGCGATATCTAAATCTCTGGAGCAGTATGTGTCCAGTTTAAAGAATGTGTTTTCGGAGTCATTTAGTAATTTGAGCACTTATATAGGAAATCCTGGTGAACTACAGGAATCAATGGATATGTTCTTTTTCAGTGCATATATATTTGAGCTATTTTATGTAGTATTTTACTCCAGTGAAGAGGAATTAACAGATAGTCTGTTTAAGTGGTACCTTAAATATGGAATGAGAGATTCAGTTTCCCAACTTGTTGGACAGTTAACTGAAGCTTCTGACAACTTTCTGGATTTCCAAGAATCTGGGAAAGTATCGGAAGCTAGACATGCAGAGGAAAGGCTTGGAAAACTCCTCACTAGGGCTTTATTGTTAGGGGAGATTGAGCTTTTTAATTCCAGTATTTGGAGTCTGTTTCCAAATGATAAATTTATACTTTCGTTAAGTAACTTACTAAGTCATCATTCAAAAGAGCTTCCCCCTATTAGTAGAAGCCTCTCCAAAGAGCTTCAGCTTTTAAAAAATAACCTTCCAACAGTGGTTCAGACTTCTTTGGAGGGACTTTTTGGTAATGGCAGTGTGATTCAAGATTGCTCAGATTCTTGGTTAGAAGCTTTTGTGTTTTCTTCCAAATATGTTTCAGGAATAAGCTTGGATAACTTTCCTCAATTTTTGTCAATTTACCTGGATTGTTTAAGCCAAGATACATCTCCAGTACCTGGAATAAATTCTTCTGTTGCAAGATCATCACAAAATAAAAGATCATCTATTCTCAGGAAAGCCCCTCAAGATATGCTAGAACATGAACTTGGTGCTTTGTATCTGCTTTCTAGAGATTTAAGTAAGTTTATTGTCCATCTATACGAATCATCTGAACTTTATGGACCATTTCTTGCTGCTCATTTATTTGATCCTCTCTTTTATGAGGGTTTTCTTGAGGAGGTACCTTTGGAACTTAAATCAAAAAATCTGAGATCCAGAGTTTTGATGAATTATACTCTTTGGTTAGTAGAGACAGATCTTTGCGACCCTGCAATATACTTACAGGAATGCTCAGACTCACCGGATTTAAAAGAAGATATTCTCAGAGCCCTAACTTTGATTTCAAATAAAATTCCTTTACTGTTTGAGTATGTATCAGATAACCTTGAAACAGAGGCTGAAAATATCTTTTTGAATAATGGGGAATCAAATGATCCTAAATGTGAACAGTGTTTTCTAAATGAATACATTCCAGACTGGAACATGGACGAATCGATTTCTGTTTTTTTCAAGCTAATCAGAGAATTCATTCCTCAGATTGTGCCTCTAAAAGACCAACAAATTGACTTCTCCAGAAAACTTATAGTTGAGAGATTTAATCAAGCAACTTTAGAGCTCCAGAAATCATTTGAATCTAAAACATCTCTCAAGCAACACCTTTTACTGTTAGAGAAAGTCATTCTACTTTTAGAGCTGGCAAGAATTGAAAACACAAACCAGGTAATATCTATGTGGATAATTTTGGAGCATTATGTAAATGTTCCTCCTACTCTGTTCCTAAACATAATTGCTGAAAAAGGAGATATATACTCTCAATACAATTTTCAAGAAAAACTTCCGGAAGAATACATGTTGGATTTGGATCTAACAAAAGATGTGTCTCTTGAGAAGCAACTTGTTCTTATTACCGAATTCTATCCCCAAAGAGGGATTTTGGAAACAATTTCCCAACTAATTCCTGAATTCTCTGGACAAGGATCAAACCTAAAGATTCCTCCATTCTTTAAAACGATGATAGAGTTTTCTCAGCATATTAACTCTATATTCTGGACTCTTCTTTCTCCTTCCTGGAATCCAGAAAAACAACTTTGGGAAACAGAGTCTAATATCAATAAAGATACTCTTTCGAAATTGAGCTGTTTAAAACAGCCTTGCCAAGATTGTTGTCCTGACCAATTATCCTCAGACGATGAGATGCTGGATAGCGCTGCTAAGATGATTTTATCAGCAAATCCGAACGCTATCCCTCAAATCCTGATACCACTATATTGTCTATACTGCCAAAAACTACTTGAAGGACATATATCTGGGAGCATTCAGAATTTAGATGTAATCTCCCGTATTTCTTCGAGCTGGATGGACATTTTCCTTGCTCATGCAATTTCCGATACACATCATCCTTTTATTAACAATCCAGATTTAAATTCAACTATTATTGCTAAGGTTTCAGACATTGTCAACAAATCTTTCCTGTAATCTACTGCCTATTTCAAGACCTACAGTTCATACTAGGCAAAAACATACATCAGAGCGATTTAAATATTCACAAACATTTGAATTACTTATCAATCATAATCCTAACTAATTTCCATGTATTTAAACCTTTATTTTTTAATCCCCACTTAATTGGCACGCCATTCCCGCCTTAAAACCACTCAGCTTTGGCGGGAACATCTTAAAGGTAATTTGTACAAACTAATATAGAACTAATATTAAAGGTAAGGGAAATTATAGGATAAAGGGAATAGTGTTTGACTCCTAGTGGGATTTCTTTTTTTTTTTTTTACAATTTTAATTAGAGGGGAAAAACTAAAAAAATAATTAAAATTGAGGAGGGCCCAAAAAGTTACTCAGTTACCCAGGACTCAAAAAGCTATTGAGAAGGCTATTTCACACCTTCTGTTAAAAGAGTAGTATATTTTTTGTATGGATGACAAAGAGTAGCAAGGATGACACAACAAAGGTACTTAAAAAAGGCCAGAAGGTGTCTTCTGGCGAACAAAAAAAGAGTGGAGGAATGTCTGGGATTGATGTTTATATGAAGCAATTCCCGGGTGCATTACTACCCAAGACACAAATAATGGGTTGTGAGTATCGACAAAAGTCAACCCAAAAAAATATGGGAAAACCTTTATTAAGACTTCCAGAAGGTATGGAACATTCAAGCTCTAGTCTTATCCGAATTTGGAGACCAGCTTTAGTAGTGCACTGTAGAGAGAGAAGAAGACCAAAGCTAAAGGGGAACAACACTAACCCTGCAACAAATTATGACTACTATATTCACTGGGAAGGAACAGACCGCAGATTGGATTGCTGGCTAACATGGGAGTCCTTGAGAGTAATTCCAAATGAATACCTTCCTCTTTCACATAGTAGGCCGAAACATGATCATGACCAACATTCAGAGGTTCCTGCCTCAAATAGTGAACCCCCAAGGCCAAAATTGACGGCTTCAGCTCTTTCTGTTGCAAAGGATGATATAATTATTGGGGAGATTCCTTACTATCATGACTTAGCGCATGAAGGAATGGATGAAGAGTATTTGAAGGAACATGAAGAATTAACTAAGGTAAAAACAATTAGCAAAATTGCTATGGGACCTTTTGTGGTTGATACTTGGTACTACTCTCCATACCCTAAAGAAGTACAGAATGTTGAAATCCTATATATATGTGAGTTTTGTCTCTCGTTTTTTGCCCATTCTGAAGAATACACAAGACATCAGAGATACTGCACTATGTTTTATCCTCCTGGAAATGAGCTTGTAAGACAAGGTGAACTTTCTATGTTTGAAGTTGATGGGAGGCTTGCCAGAGTATATTGCGAAAATCTCTGCTTTCTCTCGAAGCTTTTCTTGGACCATAAAACTCTTTACAACTCTGTACATCTCTTTTTGTTTTATGTCCTTACAGAGTGTGATGATAAAGGTTATCACATTGTTGGTTATTTTTCAAAAGAAAAGTTTAGTAAGAACAATCTTTCTTGTATTATGATTCTTCCTCAGTATCAGAGGAAGGGATACGGAAAATACCTAATTAACTTTTCTTATTGTCTTTCAAATCTTGAACAAAAACCAGGGTCTCCAGAAAGACCATTATCAGATCTTGGTAGAGTCTCTTATATTTCATATTGGGGTTATATTTTATTAGAACTTTTAATGGACGGCTCCCAGGACGTAATTCTTTGGAATAAGCCCCAAAAAGACCAGCCTCAGGAGAAGTCATTATTAAAACAAGCTGCGACAATTCAAAACTTCCAGGATGTGATTCCCCAGACTCAATCCACTCAAAGAACAACCAGAGCTTCAAAGCAAAAAGAAAAAAAGATGAATTTAGACACGAATAATGATAGGTCTTCTTGTCCTTCCATTGGATGCTGCCCAAATACCAAGTTTATCACTGTCCAACAGCTTAGCGAGATGACTAGAATTGAATGCAACGATATCCTTATGACCTTTAATGAACTTGGACTCTTAAGATCACTCAGCAATGGAGAAAGCTTCGTTTTCCTTCCCGTACAACTGATTCCCCAGCTTCTCCAAAAAACTGGAAAACCTGCTACACAGATGTACCTTTCGAAGATCAACTACACTTCATACGAAAACTTTTTGGCTCCTTTCGAATGTAATGCTATCCAGTGAATTCCAAATATATATACTAATTTATTTTATTAACTTTTTTTTTTAATGTTAAATATGATTTGTTCTTTTCGTTCTGTTTTGCTATTTTCCGCTTTTTCTCATCTGATGCCTTTGTACTTGCATGCAATTTTTTTCCCCGCCACCACTTCTCCTATATACCGGTGTTCTGCATGTGGACTTGTGAGTTTGCAACCAAATTAATTACGTGTCATGCTCGTAAAAACGAGCATGCATTTAATGAAATTAAAAGGAAAATGTTTGAGCAAGAAAAAGGAAAGAAGAGCAAAATATTGGGTCAATTCTTTAAAAAAATCTTAGAAAAATGATAAATGTACAGACGATTACTTCTGTTTAGATTTATTGGTGGTTTTACGCTTAACTTGGTTTTTTTTTGCGATCGAAATTCCTCTAAACATCAAAAGGAAATTCATTAACATAGTTCCTGCGATATTTGCAGTTCCAAGAATAGCGGCTCCTATATAATCCCCTGAGTAAGCACCATAAAGAGCAGAGTAAGTTAGAGATAAGTTTCCAGGAGCTCTCATGGAACTAGCAATAATACCAATATTGGCGTTTGAAAACCAGGAAATTTCCGCTGCACCAAAAAACCCCGGCCCAACCCTACATACAATGCTAACTCCAAGACTATAGAGGAAAGAAAGAAAAGCTTCTCCGAAAAAACTACTAAGGGGGAAAAGACTGTAATCCCCGTATTTTAAACCTTCAAGTAAATACTTTGGTACTACTTGATACTCATTTTCGAGATAAAATAATAAAATGCCTCCCATTACTCCTCCTAATGTGGATGATACTACAGATCCCATCATTATTCCAAAATTGGGATATTTACCAAGGTGGTAATTCACCATTGAGTAAGTTGGACAAACCTCATATCCTCTATAAATTACATAACCAAAAATGAATGATGAGCAGAATGCCAAAAATCTTAATTGGTTTGTCTGATCCCAAGTACTTAACCATTCAAAAACTTGATCAATATGGCTTATTATTTTGTATTTTTGGAGTAGTGGGAAAAAACCCTGACTTCCTAAGTAACTCATTAACATTTTGTGACCCTGCCCTCCAAATAATAAAGGTTTAAAAAATGGGGAGAATAATGATAGGTATATATAGAAAAAGCAACTTTCTAAAGCTGAGAAAAACCAAAAAAGTAATAATCCCCATGACGGTACCATACTTTTAAATATTAGTAAAATTCCATATAATTTTTCTCTAAACACTTCCATTAGACCAAAATCAATCTCTTCTTTTATTCTCCTTGTTGATCTAGAGGGAGTACTCTTGTGTCTATTTTCCTCCGCCCCTTTTCTTCTGGTTATTGCCATATTTGGTAGAATACTATTACTTAATTTCTTTAACCCTTGAATTCCAGAAATCCCACAATATTGCTCCTATTTTCTTTTTTCCTACTAATTTGAGTAACTTTAATTAATTAATTAATTTTAATTCTCTCCTTCCCACACCGGCTAAAAATTCCACATATTTTGTTCAGTCTTTCCCCACTTGTTTAAATCTATTTGCTTGCCATATTATGCAAATTAAATTAAAAAAAAATAAGGATCTATCAATTATTAATTTTTTTTTTGTCACACTATTCTCATTCCAATTATATCTTTATTTCCTACATAAACTATCCTATCCATAATAGTTTCTTACATACAATGCTATGAAACACAAAACAAACTTCAAGTTTCAAAAAAGTATTAATTTTAACAAAACCTCTAACCAAACATAACCTATATACAAAAATATCAGGTATTTATTTATAACAACCGTTTAACTAATATGTGTTTGAGAATTAATAATTGTTTCCTACAGTATTTCACCTTTCTTATTCCCATCGGTTTTGGCGCCAAACCATCTGGATCCCCTATTAATAACTGTATTGATATAATATATTGTGAAAATAGGCCGAGATGAATGAGGAGTACGGTAAGGTTCTGATTCCAGGTCAGCCAATTAAACATGTAATGGAGGCTAAATGGCCGTTAAATGGAGTCTATATGGATGATAACGGAGATATGTATGCCTCGTTAATGTGTAGAGAGGACCAGATAGGTAAAATACAAATAGGCAATAATGAGGGAGGAAAGGTTATAGGTGTGGTAAACAGAATTTTGCCTAGAAAAGGAGTGGAAGTTAGGCTTTTAGATAGGAGCGGTAGAGGATACAAGAGTGAAATAGAGGGTGTAACTGGCTTGCTACGTCCACAAGATATTGGATGTTGGAATATGAATAGTGATGCGGACCCAAATGTCACATATGCGTCTTCATCATCTGGAGCCTCATCTGGTTCGAATTCAGCCGGATTAGCTAATGATCATTTAGAATCTCAAGCTAGTTATTGGATCAATGACTGCTACAGACCAGGAGATGTAGTTAGATGTTCAATATTGAGTGTAGTTCCACAGATTTTGCTCAGCACAAACTCGCAGGACCTTGGCTGCATTTTTGCTCCTTGTAAGAACTGTAAACTAGGTATGGCTTATCCTATATCATATAATGCTGTACTATGTAAGAAATGCGGAACATCTATGCTTAAAAAGACTGCAAAACCCAAATCTGACTCCGAAAATGGAGATGTCATTGATTAAAAAAAGAATAATTTCTGATGTTTTAGGTGAATCTTCTTAGCACAATATGTCTTAGATACAGGTTTAGCTTAGTTAGATATAATGTTGAATAATAACATCTTGCATATTATTTTCTACTTGCATATTTAATTTTGAATTTGAGCGCATAATTTTGAGCAATAATTACCCAGCTTAATAGATTGATGTGAGCCTCAAGAAAATTTCAGGCTTTAAAAAAGCTCTTTTTTGGTAGCTCTACTTATTCCCATTGATTCATTCTATATATATATATATATATATATTATATTAACCAAGTATAAACTCGAATCTGGTATTTAAGCCAGCTTTAACATGGATGTTTCTTTGCTAAGGCTTAGAAAAGAGTTTGAAGAAATTGGGTTACCAGAGTTTTGTAAAGTAAAGTTTAACACAGAAACAGCTCTTGACATGGACGCTATAGAAAGTTTAAAAGATACCAATAACTTAGATCTAGAGAATATATCTAATTGTTTTGTGGTAGTTCTACAACCAAAAGAAGGTATTTGGACTAACAAAATACTACAGTTCGTCATCAGAGTGCCGAAAGAATACCCATTTAAGCCTCCAAAAGTGAAATGTCTTAGTAAAATACTCCATCCAAATATTGACAAACTTGGACACGTATGCATTAATATTATCAGAGAAGACTGGAAGCCTACATTAACAATTTCTATAGTAATTTGTGGTCTCCTTAACCTCTTAATAGAACCTTCCAACTCTGACCCACTCAACCAATTCGCCTCCATTTTGTTTGAATCTAAGCCTTCCCTATTCAAGTCTATAAACAGTTCACTCTACTAAAGTTACAGGAGTTAAGACAATAATTCAATTTAAAAACAAATAAAGTTTCGGGTACCAAACAACAACATAACATTTTCTAATTCGATTAGCTAATTTTCTACTCTTTTTTGCTTATAATATATCATTAAGCAAAGGATGAATTGTTATTACCTCAAATTTAGCTTTTAGTCGTAACCATATAGAGGTATTACAATTATTAACGGTAAACACAATACATACAAATACAACTCAGACTAGCCTAGAGCGTATCAAATACGGCTTAATATAATCCAACACCTTCTGTAACCCCTCCACACTCCTCCCCCCTGCCATTCCTATCTTACCAGAAAAATGAATAGTCAATGTCACAATTTCTATTTTGCCATTTCTATAAAGGGCGGGAGTGCCGCCCCGCTCAATCCGACCCTTATTTTGATTAATAGTGCCATATTGATATGCTAGTAATTGTCGTTGTAAAAATTCAGGATTGCATCCTTGATTGTAGAGATATAAGACAGGGATGCGGATTCTAAGACCTGGGTTTCTTTCCGGTTCGTAATCCACAAAAACATAAATTTCGCGAAGAACTCTGAGATCAATAGGAAAACCAGCATCAATAACGGCCTGGATATTATGAACCTCGAAACTCAAAAGCTTTGCTTTCTTGAAACCTTTGTTTCTGAGTTTTCTAACGACCTTTTTGAGAGAGTTTTTTGTACACTCGACACTGACTCCCCCTGTTGCTTGAATCTTGCCATTAGAGAAAGCCGAAATTGTAACCACACTTTTTGTATGCTTATCTGGGATATCAGCTCTACAAATATAAAGTAGTTAGATTTTGAAAAATAAAGTTCTAGTAATTAGGGACGTGAAATATACTGGAAATAATGAATATATTCAATATTCAACACATTGTATATTATCTAATTCTGGGATTTGTTACTCCCTTTAAAAACTTACCTTGCAGCAGGGAACTCCTGAGGATCATAATACGTATTCCCAAAATTCTCTGTAAACCATGATAAATCAATATTTACTCCAGTATTTGCGCTTGCCAACACATTATAAATATTTAAAACCATAGGTTGTTCTGGCTCTTCGAATTCCATTACTGAACCAATATCTTCCTCAAAATCACATCTTGAAGCTTCCATTTTGAACGTTTTTACCACCCTAACCTTCCCAGCTTCGTTTCTCTACTTTTTCAATGATTAGTTTTGATTGTTTTGATTGTCGTTACTTTCCATAATTTAACCTTTATCGCCGCATCTACTACTCTCTGGCATAAATATCCCAATATCCCTTGAAACAATTTCTATTTCCGGGCCTCCTAAGCGACAATCAATAAATTCTTTAAAAAAAAACCAGAGTATTTTTTTTCTATTGAGAAATGTTATTTTTCTAAATTATATTTCTAATTCACCTATACCGCCAAAGTTGCCGCCTAAAACAGCAGGCCTTTTAATCAATTTAAAACATTCCCCACAGGAAAGATGTTTGATTCAAAATAAATTAATATTCTTAGAAATTTTCATTTGTATACATTTACTCATATATATATATTTGACCTTTAATTAACAAGAGTTATTATAAGATTCTGGATGGAATTCTAGATTTCCTTTCTAATCTAGTTTCTGGTACCTTGTCTGTTAATGCATGTTCCGCTGGGCAGTAACTAGCAATGTTTGTTGGTACTTTACCATTATTATTTGTGTTATTCGTATATAAATAGTTCCTATTAGCCGAAGATGTAAATGATGTAATGGATGGGCCCCCAATTATATCACCTTTACTTGTTACTGACTCTTGGTGATTTAATGCCTTGTTGTAATGGTATTCACAGGAGTTTTCTGTATCTATTACTGATTCTTGTAATATACACGGAACCACATTTGGATTAGACTCTCCAGAGTCTAAAACCAGGCTTCTTCTTGAACTATTTCCTCCAGCTGTCACTCTACTGTTTACATCTCTAGCTTTGCTTTCCTGCTGGATTAAGTTATAATTAGGGGATGATGTTGCTGTCAATAGGGGATAGTGAGGAGATGAATGGTTCACTCTACTTTTTGCAACTGGTACAAAAACATTCTTATTCACTTCCTTCAAAATTAAATTAATTCCTTCGCCCCTAAGCTGGTTTTGATAACAAATTTGGGTTTGTGTTTGTCTCGGGTTCTGGACAATGCTCTTGCTTTGAGTTTTGAACTGAGAATGATCCTGATGGCTTTGGGTTTTAGACTTTACATAAGAAGGCTGACCAATTCTTGAAGCTGGTCGATCAGGTTGTGGCTCCTGTCCTTTTTTTGATGTCTGATTCTTAATCTTTTTCGCTTCTGCACTATTAGTTTTGGCAGAATTATTCAATGATAACATTTTTATTGCCACAACATACCTTTGCCTAACAACTTCGATCATTTCCTCAACAGAACTATACTTGAAAACTTGAGAACTTTCTTGAGAATTATTTTCACTTACAAATGAACCATTAGATTCCAGTAAATAATGATAATAAACAACACAAATATCTTTAATAGTTTCAATCATATCTAAATCTCCCTCCATAGCTGCTCTAACTTTCTCCCACACCATTTTAACAATATATGGAAGGAAGCTATATCCAATAAATGAGTTTTTGTTTTGAATTCTCCGTTCATCTATATCACTTGAGCTAATTACAGTATCTCCATTTCTTTCAACCTCGTTCCTTAAATCTTGGTACATAATCCTATATATACGATGAAACAAATCTATCAGACTATCTATCTTTTCTCCAACCACATCAATTGAAACTCCATTTCCAAGAACTCCTTCATTCTGATTATAGGAATTACCAGAATATTGATGTGAGACCACACAGTTCAATGCAAATGTTAACATAAGTTGATCCATTGTCGTTAATTGCATTATAGGACCAATCAGTATTTCCTCCTTTTCTGAAAGTTGAAAGCTAGACTCGTGTCTTTCTATCACCTTATCAAATAGACCAACACTTCCAATTATTTCGTTATATAACAACTGTTCCATAAAAGTGAAAAAGTGATCTACATCTTCAATTCTGATCGGTTTTTTTGTTATATTTTCCATCTTAGATTTAATTTCCTGACTAAGAATATTACTTTTCCTGACCTCCTCTGCCTCTAAGAAATCTTCACTATTTATTATCTCATTCACAGTATTTCCTACTTCGTAGGAATTAAGATTACTGTTGTTTTCTGGGATTCCAGGTAACGAAACTACATTCAGTTTCGACAAATCTATTGACATTGGATAATTTTCATTGGAATAAGTAGAATGAAAGTTTGGAAGCATCATTCCATTATTCATGGCCTCACTACTCATGACAGAATTATGATCATCACTTACTTTCCTGGTTGCTCCATATACAGCTTTGATCTCTGGTTGTTCGTTTGTGTTAATAATTGACTTAGGGGAGCTTTGAAAATGAGTATTAATTTCCTCATCATTCAACCTTTTGCTTCCTCTCTTTTGAATATCTTCCTGAGATACATAGGAATAATTACTTGCTCCGACCATAATGTTAGGCACAGAAAAAACCTTTGGGATCATAGACATAATTGAATGGCCCACATTCTGAAGAGATTGCCCAAAAGTTTGGAACTTATTAAAATTTTGTAAGTCATTTTGACCTTCACTTCCAATGCTTGAAGAATTAACCATAGGTAAATCCAAAGCTTTGGAGTGCATTACTCCCTTGTTCATCTGAGCTGCAATATGCGGAGAGATGTAATTTGAAATTGGGTCCATAAATTGTTGAACTGGCATTTGTTGATGCGGTACATTTACAGGAATCTGGTAAGGCATATGCTGAATAGGGTTTGGGAGCACTGGAGTTACTTGGTTAACTAGAATTCCTCTTCCATCGTTGAATGTATAATAGGGGTTTGGCACAACACTTCTTCTGAACCCTGTCATTGGAGTGCAATTTAAGCTAGGAGAGTTTGGTACTACTGGGATTCTTGACATATAGGAAGAAACCCCATCCTGGTAAGCTGAGGAATTTGTATTATATTCAGCAAAGGTTTCTCTCGAAGTTAAGAGGCGAGGAGATGATGTAGTCTGGTTTACGTTTGATACTTCCTGAATTCCGGAATTTTGTTTCTGAAGTCTTTTTTTAGATGGAGACTTTTTTTCTGGGTTTTTTTTTCGTGGAGAGAAGACTTGTAGTTTTTGAATATTCATTTTGCTCGAAAGCTTTTCACCTTGATTACCTCTACTTTGAATGATTGGAGAATATGTAGTCTTCTCACTTAATTTTACATATTCTACATCACCTTCTTTCAAACCAGACATCTCAATATTATTTATTGGGTTGTTAATTTCGAAGATTAAGTTCTCATTATCCGTGGATTTATCTACGTTACTACTATCCTCGATTACTTTCAAACTTTTTTCTTTTTCTAGTTTCCCGTTCTCGAAAGAAACTCTCAAAAGTTGGGATGTCCCTCTAAGCCTTCTTGTGTCCACCAACTTCTTTAAAGTTTCAAAATTTATATACTGGTCAGATGATAATGGATAAGGGACCAGTTTCTCACCATTCTCTGCAGGGTACTGAATATCTCTCATTAAGAAATCCCAATCGTGCATATCCCAGTATCCTTTGTTTCCCTTGTCATAATACATAAATATCATTTCCAGTCTTAGTAATCCTGCTGGACTACTGGTAGAATGTGGAGTTGAATTATCCAATAATCCTGCTAAACACATAAATTGAGACCCGCTTAACATATTACTACCACTCATAATCCAGCATAGATCTCCTCTCTCTGTTATTGAATTAACACCTCCTCTAACAGTATAGCAACTCTTTCCTAAGTCAAGCAATAGCTTGGAAAGCCTCTCTCTGCTCAATCCCTCTTCTAATCCTGCATACTTACGAAAATATCCCATAACTTTATCGAACTTCTCCCCTGGCCATTGCAGTTCCGCCCATAAAGAGTTGTAGTCCTCTTCCTTGATTACCAACATCTCTCTTTCCTATTCATATAGCCTCTATTTGCCCTCACTTAAATATACGTACTTATATTATATATATATATATATTAATATATTTTTTCCCCTCTATTTTTTTTCTGCTTTGACATATCCCACCTCCTCTTTTGAAACCCCACAGTACGCATAAATAGTTTTGGCTTCTTTTGTCTATTTAAGTGGACATTTTTTTAGTCAATGCATTTTCTGTTTTTTAATTATTCTGAAGATTTTTGTATCGAAATAAACAAGAAAATTGTATTTTATTTCACTTATATCACGAAGTTAATCTACTTAACATTTTTTTTTTCACTCCTTGATTTTTTCTCGAATTGTCCACATAATCTTCGAATAATCACTCCACTTAAAATTAGCTTCTATTTTCTTATAACAAATAAACTTAATAAATCCGTTCTATGTAATTCAATATTACAGTATTTACATGCACTCGTGTAGGTTTATCTACATTATAACGCATGCACATGTAAATCTGACACTTACCCACACTCCCAGTTGTTCCCGCCAAATAGATGGAAACCGCCTCTAATGTCAGGATGCAGAATAAATCAAATTGATAATAAATTAGGTAATAATTAAAAAATGAAAGAAGAGAGGCAGAAGCAGGCAGAAACTGTTAGCAACAATGGAGTTGCGGAATTTATAGAGGCTGTGTTTGGAATTGACCAGAAGATCATCCTTAAGATCTTGAATTTTACCTGTTTATTTCTGGCACTTGTTTCCTTCATAATGTCCTATATCGCATACCAATACAACGAGATGCTACATCTTAAACTCTTACTATCCCTGGCCATATTATTGGTTGTTTTTTCAGGGCTCATTTTTTGGTAAGTTTTACCAATAGTTAAGTTCTTTGAATGATTGATTTCTTTCCTTCTTCGAACAATCCATTGTCTTTTCATTCGTCAGGTACATTCCAAAATTCGAAGAGCTTCTCAATGAATCCAATAGATCAACTGGTGATATCGCAGACCCTATTTCCGACAGGAAAAACGATTAGAGAAATAACCTAGGTTCGGTAGCTTAGTTAGAACTAATATCTTCCGTCTCACCCCGACCACGGCCTAAACCCACACTAACACCTCCTCGCCGAATCACAGCCGTTGCCGAACGCGAGCACGGCAGCCGGTCTCAAACTACACAGGAAAAAAGACAAAACAGGGCATTTTAGTGATACATTAGTTTATTAGTTGGCAACCACTGGCGTGGTCACCGCTGCCAGAAATTTCGCCGTTGGAATTGATCATTGATCAATCCATAACCCTTCACAGACAGCGGAGTGCAATGCCCTGCTCAGGATTACGACAGGGTCATTCTTGAGCGACCCCGAACGCCGGCCAGGTAAGTTTAAACTATTCAACCCGTTATCCTTATCATTTTAAATTGACACTATTTTATGATGGGCTTCAATAGGCGCCTTATTTTTGGCGCCGGGCATAGTACCGAAAAATAGATTTGACGGAAAAATGTCAAGAAAAGAAGGAAAATAGTGGAAGTAAGAAAAAAATTTCTGAAAATTATTAGATGATTTGGCTGTTCTTCTAGATTTTTCAAGATGAATTCTACAAAGAATAAAGGTGGAAGGAACATTAAAGGATTAAAATGGAAAGAGGTGGACTTGTCTAATGACCTAATATCTGAATTTTCTAAATATGGAGTAAGTATGATCGAAGAAATTTCAGACCCAACGAAGATTTCTTTTTACGAGTTAGGAAAAGATAATACTTCGCAGTTAAATACCAATTTTAATCAAGCAAAGATATCGACTGAAAAGGGTTTTAAAAACAAAAAATCTAAAAGGAGAGCCAATAAGGACGGTGATAAGGATGAAATTGAGCCTTTAAATGCCATGAAAAAAAAACAAAAAAAAGTTGATAAGGCATTAATTAAAAATAAGATTGTTAGTGATGAAGCTGAGAAAGTGAAATCTAAACAGAATGAACCAATTCTTGATCCAGAGGAATATTGGGAAGAATACTATGATTTGAAAGAAAGACTGTCAAACTGGACAAATATTATTGAGAACTCCACTCAAAAGTTAAATAAAAAGTCATCTTTTGAAGAAATGGAAGAATTAAAGTCTCCAGATTTAGTTATACACCCAAGCATTTTAAAGGGATTATTTGAGTTGGAATTTTTCAACCCAACTCCAATACAAGCTGCATGTTTGGTACCTGCAATCAGAGATAGAAAAGATATTGTTGGAGCAGCAGAGACAGGCTCTGGAAAAACTTTAGCATATGGAATTCCAATTATTGCTAACATAATGTTTGCAATTCAGAGAAGAAAAGAAAAGTTAGAGCAAAGATCTTTCAAAGAAGACAGTGATGAATTCAAAGAATTTGGCGACAAAGAAGATCTAGAGGATGATGAAGCCTTTAAAGAACTTGAAAGAATGGGGTTTCAAATGGCAAGTATTAAAAAGATTGGCAATCAAGGTTCAAATAATAATACTTATAGATCTGATGAATCCCTTCAAGCTCTCGTTATACTTCCAAGCAGAGAGCTTGCTATTCAGGTAAGGGACCATCTTAGATCTATGGGAAAATATACAGGGCTTGGTATACATGCTTTTGTTGGAGGTCTTTCTTTAGAGAAGCAAGAAAGGTTAATTGCAAAGAAGAGAGTACAAATTGCTGTTGGAACTCCTGGAAGACTTTCAGCTCTGATATTTGGTGAAACTGAAAATGAATCAATATTTGGAGATGAAAGAGAGACTTTTAGAAAGCAGGTTACTACAACATTATCAATAAATGAACTCAGATTTTTGGTATTGGATGAAGCTGACAGACTAATAGAACAAGGGCATTATAGAGAATTAAAGCAAATTCTTCAGCTTATTTATTCTGAAAATAAAGGAAATCATACTCACAAAAAAATTCAAACTTACTTATTCTCAGCTACTTTGACCCTACCAAATCACTTACATCCAAAATTTTCCAAGCTTGTTACAAGAAATACAGGCAAAAAATCAAAAGGCAAAAAAGATGTGCAAGATAACAATGTTACATCAATTATGCCAGAAAATTCCAATAAAGCAATGCAAAGCATCATGCAGTATGTAAAGCTCAGGGAAAACCAGGTATTTATAGTAGATTTATCCAGATTTAAAACTAACTCTTCACCTGATGAAAACGGAGAACAGACTCAATCTGGAAACCATACAAGCGGAATTATAAAGCTTCCCAAAGGACTAACAATCTCGATGATTAAATGTGAAAGTGATGAAATTGAAATGAGATTGATCTTATACTTACTCAAATACTTTGCTCCAGTTTGGGATACTAAAACTGGTAACCAATTGTGTTCTCTCTGTCCAAGCTCTATTGAAAATGGGAAAATACTGGTTTTCGTAAACTCCATATCATATGTCTATAGACTAACTCCTTTACTATCTTTGGCCCTTGTCTGCAAAGATACTCATGAAAAGGAGCTTCCTGGTTCAAAAAAAAGAAAAAAATGTAGTAAGGCTTGCCAGGAAAGATCACTTAAAATCATTGGAATTCATGGTAATCTCTCGCAAAAGCAAAGGATTCAAGCTATCGAGTCATTCAAAGCTTCTAAATCGGCTATCCTTATATGTACCGATGTTCTAGCAAGAGGCCTTGATATTCCAGAAGTAGATGTTGTTGTTCACCTCCAAGCTCCAAGAAACATTTCTCTAATGATTCACAGAAGTGGAAGAACTGCTAGAGCTTCCAAACAAGGAGAATGTGTTCTTTTCTGTACTCCAAAAGATGTTCCTACCTATTCTAAGCATTTTAAGGCAATCTCCTTGACTTTTGAGTCTGTTGGAATCCCAAAAGAGCTTGAAGGCTTGGTCTCTTCGCAAGTATCACATGTTCAACAACGTTTGGAACTTGCAAATGAAATTGAAGGGCTCGGGCACTCTATTCTTAGAAAGAAGAGAAACAACAACTGGATGCTGAATAAAGCAAATGAGGCAGATTTAGAGCTTTCAGACCAGGAGGAATTCTCTTTCTCACCTGACCAAATGAAAGAAATCCAAAATTTAAATTCAAAGAGAAAATATTTCTTAAATTTTGTTAGAAACTTTCAAAATTACTAGGGAAAGTTCTCCATCGCAAATTTCATCATACAAATGTTAGAATTATAGTTTTAGTTTTTATTATCTATACCTATTTTTTATTTTTCAATTATTTAAGTCTAAATATATAGTAAGCTATGAAATTAACAAACAAGAATTATATTTGAGAAGTGGTTATCTAATATTTCATTGAATATAGAACTTCAAACCATCAATTAAATACTAATCACAAAAACTTTTCCGTTTCTACTCTTTTATTAATTTTTCAAATTTTACTTTAATCAATATTAAACTCATTTTCTTCCAAATATATATATATGTTCAGACCTCTCGATTGGGCGCCAAAACCTTGGTTAAAGGTCAGAAAAAAAAAGCTCTAAAAATAAAACAAGTCTAAATAGAGAATTTTAATCTCAATAGATGGAGGAAAGGTACAAAAACCATGTTTCTGGATTGTACTTGCTATGCCCAACGATCCCACCGAGAGTCCTTTCTAACGAGCAATGGTGGGAGGTTATCAAAGAGTTGAGTGGGCTAACCCACACAATACCAATGTTAGAAGACAAATTTAGAAAGTCCTCAATAATCCAGCTTGAGTATTTGATTATTCAGTTCATACAGTCGAACCCACCTTTTTTGGCACTCAGGTGGTTAATGAATGTTTACTCTCTTACAAATAACTATGTAAAGCTGTCAGTTGGGAGATTACTTGAGGAGACAATGCTAATATTGTACAGATTTACCGGCACTCAACTTCAAGATATGGACTTGAACAAACTTAAGCATCATAATATTGGAATAGATCAGCAATCATTGGGATCAATACAATCAGACACTGATAGTGAATTGTGTTCAAAGTTAAATAATGGCAATATATTGGATATCATAAATTCACAAACCAGAGAAATCCAGCCAAGCCATGTTATCAGCTCCTTTTATGTAATCCAGACGCTTTTGAGGCTTGAAATCCTAGAAACCAGAAAACATTTTCCTGGACTGATTAAATGTCTTCCCCAACTTCTAATACATGTTGATACAAGTATGAGAGATGCTGCAAATGAGTGTTTACTTTCAGTACTATCTTTAGGCGTTCCTGGATACTCTCTTTCTGACCAACTTTTAAATTCTCTTATTTCAGGAGTAAGGATTTTGCTGGAATTCGATGATTCTTTAAATTTAGAACGCACAATGCAATCTATTGCTGTGATTCTAATTCAGCAACCAAAACTCGCAAATGTTAAAAGACAAGAACTACTTAAACTTATTGTCAACATATCATCATCTCTCAATTCTGGTCAAAATAGCATTTTAAAAACTTCCAGTTTGATAGAATCTATTTCATGCTTACTTGCTAGCTCCACGATCTCGCAATTTTCGTCTTCCAAGAATGACTCTGATCTTTATGACTCCATTGAATACATTGCAGGATTCTCTAATATTCAGTTTTCCTCTTATGGGCTCGGGTCTTACCCCATTCAGGGAGAGTATTTCAGAATAATCCTAGCTAGCTCTATTCTCAAGATCCTAAACTCTCAAGCATTGCAAAAAACCCCAAGTATATTTCAATTAGAACGTGTCTGGAATCTTCTTCTTGAGCATTTGCAAACACACTTTATTAGGAAACACATCACTGAAAATCTTCAATGGCTCACAAATAACCACTGGGTTTTCCTTTGGACCCAAATTCTCAAAAGAGTTCTTTTGATAACTCTACTATCAATACAAGACAACTTCTCAATGCAGAATGTTGGGCCAAAACATGCTGGAATGGCCATATGGACCAAATTTGAACAGTTTCTGACTCCTCTTTCCAAAATCTCCCCAAGGATCTCTCTGGAGTGCATTCTTGAACTAGTTTCTTCTTCTAAATACAACAACTGGATTTGGAAACTCAACAAAGAATTTTTTGAGCTTTTTTTAAGTTGGGTTTTTCGTATTTCCCTCACTGAGAACTTTGAAATATCTTTGACAAGTTATCTTTCTGGTCATATTTCTGCCATTTTGACTCACCAATACTATTTTTCGTCTCAAGATCATCATAAAGACCAACTTTTAATCGAAAATATTCAATTAATCATTTTGAATTATATATCCTTCACTAAAGAGAAGATTCAAATTAGCAAAAGTGAAATTGAAACTACTGAATTCTACGAAACTTTGTTACATAACTCACACTTCCTAATAGGGTTCTCCAATTCCTGCTCAAATCCTCTAATTAATATTGCCATTCTCACCCATGTTACTGACTATCTTGTGGAATCCCCAGATATTCAAGTCTTTTCAAACCAAAAAAACTCAAATGAAAAACTTTTTATTTTCAATAATATATTCCTCCTCGTCCAAAACTTGCTAGCTAATATTCTTCACTTGAACAAAACTCAATATAATGATACTGAATCTAAGTCTGAAGTTGTGGTTTCCAAACTTTACTTACTAGTCCCAATCTGGAAAAACATACTATCCAATCAGACAATAGAGAAAATAGTCATCCTTATTGAATCTCTCTCAGAATCATGTGAAAGATTTCAACTTTTAATGGAAAATAACGAATCTGAAACTTGGACAATCTTTGATGATGAAAAAGAAAACCCTGTAATGTTTTTATTTAAAGATCTCAAACAATGGCTAGCTCTTTTGTGGACTACAATTGAATCTTTTCATCTTTACATTGAACTTATAGAAGTCTCAAACCAAGATAAAAAACCTCAAACAGAAACATTTAAATTAGAAAAGTTTCTTATGAAGGCTTGTTTCTCTATAGTAGAATGTCTTCTTCCTTTTATACCTATAAGCTGGACCAAGTTCTTCCCAGAAACCAAAGATACCTTCTCAGCTTCTGAAATTAACCCTGAACTTGGCTCAATATTATGCTCTCCTTCCAGCTCCCTAGAAGATGTTGGAGAGTATCTCAGAAACTCTTCATTCTCCAAAGACACAATTGAACCACCATTTGGAACTAAGTTTAATGATAAACAAGAGGTTTTTCTTCAAACTATTGAAAAGTTTATTTTCCCTTACATTGGTGATCAAAATTGTTTTTCAAGATTCATTCATATTAGTGCTTTGATAATGTCTCTAAAACTTTCAGTTTATAAGCAACTCAACAAAAGTCTTTTTTCATATATAAACCACCCTCCTATTTCAAACAGATCATTAGTTATGCTTGTTTCTGATTTGGCATCAGATCAAATACTAATGTTAGATTTGAATATTCCATCTGAAGTTTTCCCGAATTCTATTGTTTCTAATGTTAAGGTTAGAGATCCCAACCACCAATCCGTAGTTTTAATCCCAAACGACATCCTAACTCTTCCTGAATGCAATACCTATATTTCCAGCCAAAATGACTATCAGACTATTTTAAAACTTGGCCTTTTGGAATCCATGAAAACTTACTCTTCATTTCCTTCTCTTATTAATCAGCAAATAACCAGCTCAAAACAACACTTAGAAATCCATTTTAGAAAGGAAACAGCTAATTTACTTTCCAATATCATTTCAGAAAGTCACTTTCTTGATCAGAACAACTCATTTGCTCATGAAACCATCAAAACTATATTCAGGATCCTAATTAAGAAATCTATTTATGTTTCCAATTTCTGGTCATCAATAGTTCCTGAGTCTGACTATTATCAACAAGAAAACTCCAATGTGAAAATTCAGAATATGTTTCCAAATTACAATGATCTCTCGCCCTCACTGTTTATGATGGCCCAAAAAGACTTAGTATATTCTCCAAATAATGTCTCAATCCTTCCTCTATTATCTATTATTTGGCTCTTTAAACATATATCCGAAAAGATAATTAGTAAACTGAATATATTTGTATCAAATAAAAGTTCACAAATTGACCAAGACCATTTAAAAATTATTAATAATTCCCAAGACTTCCTCTTTCATATATTTTCATTTTTGGTCAAATTTTTATTTGGTTATAGATACCGTGATCTGAAACAACAGATCAACTACCAAAGCCAAATTAACGGAAAAAAACTTCCACCAAGAATCAAATCTTGTATTCTTCGGTACTATGTACTTAATCTTTTGGCCTATTTACTATGTTATTTACACAATAATAAGTCAATTTTCTCTCATTACTATTATGCAAAACAAAAACTTGAGTGCTTAATATCATGGAGTAATTATTCTCTTTCACGTACTAGTAGACCAAATGAAGACTCAGATTCTTTAACAGATTTGTATTTCTTCTTTTCCCTTCTTAAATCAAGGATAAAGAATATTGATCAGGACCTTTCTCATATTATTGACAACTTCTATAAAGATCACTCAAATGGTAATATCTCTGATAAAAACAAATTCTTCATTTATCGTGTTAGAAAAGATATCAAGTTTCAGAGTGGATTTATTGAAACTGAGTCCAATAGGTATTTTGGATTTGAAGTGGATTCCTTTAAACCTCACCTGTCTCATAATAATGCATCTACTTTGAATCACTTTGGTGAATATCTCTGTTTTTACAACTTGAGAGAACTTAAGAATATTGGTATCTTTAACTATTCAATTGAGTTCCTTTATCAGCAATTCAAAATCTTTCTGGAATCTTCAGAAAACTTTGAGGATCTCAAATGTCCATATTCAACTAGCTACAAGAACTTTAATAATTTAATGTGCGTTTCCTTTAGTCTGATCTTCCATTCCAGAATGCACGAAATCTCATTTATTGATTACTATGGTATATTGTATATACCAAGTACCTGCAAGATATTCTTCTATAAAGACGGTTTTCTTTCCAACTTTTGGAATTTTCTTAAAAAGATCTACTTGTCATCAGATATATTCCCTCTAACTCAATCATCAAAAATTCTTACTAGAAATCTACAAACATTACAAGAACCCACAAAAAGTATGCCATGCCTAAATCTATTAGGAATCCTTATTATAAACAGTAGTTTTATTATGAAAGAAACCAAAATACTTGATGATTTGTCAACCCAAGATTTTGCTTTGCTACTTGAACAAGATAAGGAACTTATAGAAAACTTGATTGAATGGGTCTTAAGGAACTACTTAATCAAAAGTCAAATTTCTTTATCTTTTCTAAATTCTGCTCTTAAAGCTATGAAACTTTGGAATATTCAGTCAATTTTGATTAGAACAATTCAATACTTAACTAAAGAGCTAGAAAACAAAGATTTGCTTCAATCTTATAGTTTCAATGAAATCTCCAATTACCTTTTGGATAATAATAATCCATTAAATCTTTCTCCATTCATTTTATATGCACAACTAAAATCCTTTTCCCATAATCAAAAAGATTCTTCAGAAAGAAATTTTGATCCAGATAAAGACCAATTTAGATTAATTCTGGGAATCAGGTTTGTTATTATTTTGGTGATTATTGACCAATTATGTGAGACAATACAAGCCAAAACAGTTCAAATAAGTACATTTGATTCTTTAATAACTCAGGAAATGGTTACATACTCTTTTTTGAATCCTCACAAGGAGAACTTGACAATAGATACTTCAGATCTTTTTCTTTTTAAAAAATTAATTCAATTCATGTTCAAGATCCTCTCATCACTTTTGGGTTTTTTTGAAACCAATGTTGCAAATCTGACATATCTAGAATTATATGTCCTCAATAGAATTCTGTCTATTTTAAAATCCATAATTTCTGTACTTCCAGTGTCTTCACAGATCGTTTCCATTTCTGAATTCTCAAGTACTCTAGACAAGATAATGGCTATGTTTCTCAACTTTGGATCTAAAAACCTGAACTCTAATACCATGTTTACTATTATGGAGTTCTTTGTTCAAATATATTCTTCGCTTTCTTCTGAATTCAAACAAAAGATCTGGAATACAATCCTATTTAATACAAGTAAAGAACTGGATAAACCACACTCAGAATTAACTAATTCCAAACTTTACTTACTTTTTAAACTAACAGAAACTGTTACTTTTAAAAATGAATGTTTAACTCAAAAAAATGAGCAAGAATTGATTCTTGTTTGTGGTAAAGCCCTTAATCAAATGATTAACTCCGAGAATATTGAGATAAGTATTATCAGATACTTTGCTTATATTGGTTTTTTCATGATTAATTCAATTGAAAATATCCACCACAAAATCAGGAATGACGAACTAAGGGAGATTTTTAACGCTGAAAACCTCAGAATATTAATTCAAAAGATTATTGATAATAGACAAGCTTTAACATTTAAGGAAAAGATTCACTATATACCATCCTTAGTCTCCATCTGGAACTCCATTAATTACTGTACTGACTTTACAGAAATTATTGTTGAGTTCCTTGTTTATTGCTACTCTTCAAGATCCAATGAATATCGTTTACAAACTGTACTATTCTTTCTCGAGGCTGTATCATCTTTGAAGTATCTATTTTTGGATAAGAAAATTGTTTTTTCAATATTAAGACAGGATTTATGTTTAAACTTTGAGACTCTAGCCATTAAATACTTTGAAAAGGATATACTTGAGTTAGAAAAGGTGGAGCAAAATATTGTAATTCCTCATGACCAATCAAAATTGACAATATTTGTTGCAATGATTTACTTATTCGCTTTGGAAGTCTTTCAAATTGAGAAAGATCTTGAACCTGAAGAACATACTATCTTAAAAGGAATTAGTAACAAAATTTTTTACCTCAAAGCTTATCAACAAATCAACGAATTAGCAGCCAGAGATAATAATTTAAGAGATGATCAAATACAAGAAGATATTGTAATCAGGTCGAGTCATGACTTACTACTTTTACACAAAGGAATTTTTTTGGAAAGTCTCAGTTCAGAATCATTTGTAAGTGAAAGTATTAAAAGAGAAAGTTATAAGCTAATAATAAGGAATATGAAATTTTTGTTGAGGAGAAAACAGTTCTCTATACTAATTTCTACTCACTTGAATTGGGTTGAAGTTGAGATCAAGAAGTCTATAATGAATTTCAGAAGAGATTATTTAGATCTGGATTACTATAAATATTTGATTGATATACTTTTTGAGATTTTGACAGAAATACAACAACTCAGAGAAGAAAATAAAATTGAAGACGAGGATAGGCTTATAATAGAGAATTTGTTGAAAATAGTCTTTCAGGTTTTAAAATATCAGCTTTATTGCCAAATATATTTCCACCCTAGTTATTTTAAATTATTCAAAAGTTTTACTCAAGATGATACTTACTGTAAAGGGAAAGATGAAGTTAAGATTCCTGATTTATCAGAAATATTAAGACATCACAAAAAACTTGAAGTGATGATTTTGAACAAGCTTGAGGAACTTTTTGAAAATACCAACCAATATAATGACCATATATTCAACCTCTTAATACTTTCTTTACTACCTTTCAACTATTCATATAATTTAGAATATGGTAATGCTCGAAATTTAGTAAACACAAGATTATTAAAAAGTTGGGTTGTTTTAAAAAGTTTGGTATTAAATGAGATAAAAAAGGAAGCAGAAGTCTCTATAGAAATATGTAGATCCAATCTGATTAATAAGATAAAGATATTTCTTAACAATTATTTAAACGTTTTAAAGAAGCTAGATCAAGATTCATTTTCTATAGTTTTGCCATCTTCTGCAATAGTAGCTTGGTTTCAAACTTTATTCGAACAACAGGGCAGAGAAATAATGGGACAGTTAGAAACTTGTGTAAGTGATAATGAATTACAGGAAATGGAAAACGAGTTTTCAAAGTGGATTAATCTGGGAGGTTTTTATTTACCAAAAGGACATCAAAATATCTCAATAGAGTTGATTTCAAGACTGGAGTCATCTGAAGAAGAAGTATTAGAATACAGTAACTCGAAGAAACAAGAACGAAAGAAAAATAATCTTGCTTTCATAAAAGAATTCAAAAAGGAAATACTAGGAATTTTAGAACTAATCAACTAAAATAGACATTTAAACTCTAGGCTTTAATTTACTTAATACTAGTTCTGATTCGGGGGCAAACGTTCATTGCTTGTAACTCTTGGAACAAGAGTTTACATGCATATGGAAGTCTGATAATAGATACATCTTGAGAGCTTTTACAATAGTGACAATAATTATTATAACCAAAAAGACCGCATTGATTGCATACATTAGTTTCAAAAACATCTGAATTTAACATAAGTCTTTCAATTAAAAGATTACTTGCCCCATAAGCTACTAAACAGTCTCTTTCCATCTCACCAAGACGGAGTCCTCCGTCTTTGGATCTACCTTCAGTAGGTTGTCTGGTGAGAATTTGTCTGGGACCTCTTCCTCTAGCATGCATTTTATCAAGAACCATGTGCTTTAATTTTTGGTAATAAATAGGTCCAACAAAAATATAAGCTTCAATTGCTTCACCTGTAGTTCCTGATGTAAGATATTCTTTTCCAGAATAGTGAAAACCATGTTCTACTAGACATTTAGCAGATTCCTCAAGAGGAGTACCTCCAAAAGCGGTTCCATATCTATAATTACCATCCAAAACACTTGCTTTGCTGGAAATGAGTTCCAATAACTTTCCAACAGTCATTCTTGATGGAAAACCGTGAGGATTCATAATAAGATCAGGACACCATCCAGTTTCTGAGAACGGTAAATCTTCTTGAGAAATGATCAACCCAACAACACCTTTTTGTCCATGCCTAGAACTAAATTTGTCACCAAGCTCTGGTCTCCTTGTTTGCCTAGTAATAACTTTGTATATTTGATTCCCATCTGCATTTTCAGTGAGGATAACTCTATCTATATAAGATGATGTTGGACCTTTATATTTAACAGGAGAAGGCTTATATTCAGAAAGGTCAATTTGTGATGGATCTCCAACATACTCTCTTGTATTAATGGGGGACATCTTGTTAACAATAATATCATCCTCAGAAACTTGTACACCTACATTACAAACTCCATCAATATCTAGGATACTTTCATTTTTGTATAAAAAGCGTCTGTTTCCAGCATTACCAGTTAATCCCCCTACTCCTGATATAGGTCTAACAACTCTTTCTGAAAGTCCATTTGGTAATTTCTGTAACTCTACTGTTTGTCTTTTCATAACAAAACATCTGGCAAACCCTCTATCTACAGAAGCCTTGTTCATAACAATAGCATCCTCAATATCATATCCTGCGAAGCTCATTACAGCTACAGAAGAGTTTTGACCCGCGGGTAACTGTTCAAAGTTGATCATTTCAATGGTTCTTGTCTTACAAAGAGGTTTCTGAGGGTAGACCAAGAGATACAAAACAGAATCACAACGTAAAAACTGATTAAAACCTACAGATCCCATAACTTGTTTCCCCATAGCGCATTGATAAGTGTTTCTAGGGCTTTGATTATGATTTGGATATGGAATTAACCCACTAACTACACCCAAAATTGAAAGAGGATCAATTTCCAAATGAGTTGTATCATCAGCTAAGTTCTCATCTCTGAGAGCAATTAATAAGTTATTTTCCTCATTAACATCTATCCACTCTAAAATGCCCTGGGAAATACAATCATTAAAAACCATTTCACCTCTTTCCAATTTCTCAATATGTTCTTCTTTAAGTCTTGGGATTCCGTTATCTACAATAATCAAAGGCCTACAAAGTCTTCCTCCATCAGTAGCAATTTGAACGGATGAATGGATATGATTACAAAAGATGGATACAAATTGTCCAATAAACCCCTTTCTTCTCAAATTTCTAAGCTGACTTGCTAATAACTCGGGCCTTCTGTGTACTCCAAGAATAGAACCATTTATAAATACATAATAATGTTTCTTTTTATTATTCTTTCCAGAAGATTCAAATTTGGAATTTTCATTTGATGAATTTTTTGTTTGTTTAGTGGTAAAATCAAGATATGAATATGATGAAATATCTTGAACTCCTAATGTAAATAATAAGCTGGTTAGATATTGTGGGCAATGATCTGTAGTAATGTGAGTGGTTAAAGCCAAATTCTTAACTAATCCGCAAGATTCTCCTTCTGGAGTATCACAAGGACATAGAATTCCCCATTGAGAGGGTTGAAGAGCTCTAGGGCCACTGACCTTTCTAGCCTTTTCAAATTGGGAGTCAACCCTAGTCATAATTCCAAGAGATGCAATGTATGAAAATCTGGTTAGAACTTGTGTCATTCCACTCCTTTCCATCCTAAAACGTTTAATTGACCAGTTACCAGTACTAAGAGCGGTTTGCATTCCTCTTGTAATAATATCAGTTGGGAGATTTCTAAAGCAATCTGGGTATGATGAATTGGGATCCTCTCTGTTTGTACCTGCTTTGCTGGCATCCCTTGTCTGGAAATATCGAATCAAAGTTTGATCAATTTGTTTTTTAGTAAGAACTGAAAACCTCTTGAAAAGGTCTTCAAACAATATAGAAATAAGTTGGCCAGCCAATTCAATCCTTTTATTACCATAATAGTCTTTATCATCCAACAAAGAGTTATCTTCAGAAGCATCCAAAACTCTTTTTGCCATCAAGCAGAGAAATAAAGCTTTTGGATGAAGGTCTGTATATATGGTTCCAATGTGAGAAAGTAGTACTCTATTTAGGGTTTCGAGAACATCATCAATACTAGTATTAGATGAAGAACTCTTAGAGCCTACAGATTCGGAAGTTCCAGAGTTCTCAGCGCTTTCCTCTATATTAGAAGACCTATCAAAGCCCCTAATAGAACCAAAAGTTGCTTTAAACTTTGATTTTGCCTTCTTTGACATATATAACAAAGCTTGTCTTTGAGTAAAGATCCCTTCTTGATGCACTTCTTGAAGGGAGTTTATGATTCCTTCCTGATGATGGGATTCATTTCCAATCATATAGAATATCTCCTGTTCAGTTTCAATTCCCATTGATTTAAGTACAATACACAGAGGTATTTCATCAGAAAATGAGTTGTGACGTAAATAAAGTTTCCCATTCTTCAAGACTACAAGTGTTCTGCTTTTACTTTCAGCCGTAGTGGATGTAACTGTAGCACAGTAATTGTGCTTGCTATCTAACTCTACAATAATTCTATTTTTACTAAGCTGTTCCTGCATTAAAATAGCCTTCTCCGTCCCTTTGACTACAAAATAACCACCTGGATCATGAGGGCATTCATTAAGCTTGACCATTTCAGCTGCAGTTTTTCCATTTAAAACGCATACTTTAGATCTTAGCATAACGGGAATCCTCCCAATCTCCACGTTCTTCTTTCTGACAACACTATTTCCCCTAACATAGTCAACATCTACAAAGATTGGTGCAGCATAAGTAATATCTCTCATTCTACACATCATAGGAGTCAGATCGACTGTAATCATGTTTTCCTCAAGTTTTGGCATCCCAACCCTGGCATCCAAAAATTCTATAAAGAATGAAGGGTCCACATCACTTCTGATCATTCTGTTGGCATTTGCTCTAACTATACTTTGTATTTCTGTTGTCACAAAATAGTTATATGAATCAATATGATGCTTAACTAAGCCTTCTGTCTTTAAAAAATATGGAAGAAGCCTCCATTTATCCTTGATTGTTTTTACTGGTTTCACCAAGTCGTCCAGCTTATCATGTGTACTCTCTATGATCTCCATTTTAGCATCTAATTGTCCTTGAGAAAATTTCTCAACACCATTTATTAATCCAACTTTTTTCTCTTTTGAATTATCTAAATCCATGTCTAAATCCATATTTACATCAACGCCTAACTTTTTGGTATTGTTTTCTTGAAGTTCATCGTTTTCCTCGATTTTACCTTGAAAATCTACCATTTCCTCATCTTTAATTTGGACTGTATCGATTTCAATGTGATCATTTTCGGAAAATCTAACTTTCTTTTCGCCAGACATATCTTTCAACTCCTACACAATTGGTTATATAATCTATTTAAGTCAAATATAGCTGCTATTTAAGGTTAATATTCCATTTATTTATTTTGTTTCAAACTATAACAGTAACTACAAACTAGAACCTTCTTGGTTGAGCTTTTAAAAAAGAGCTAGGCTATTAGTCTAAGACCCTGTTTATAAAAGTTAGCACCTCTGCTCGATTTTTTTATTCACTCCAATTAAAAGGAATAAGAAAAGAACATCGTTTTCTTTTTTTATTGATTTGCCTCTAAAAGGCAAAAAAGACATGTTGGCGCCCGCGCCAACATGGCGTTTAATTATGATTATTTGAGATGACCAATCAAGAGGAGAAAAAGTAAGGTGGATTTAGAGAGAATTACAAGCTTTATAAAAAATTTTTGAAATGTCACACACTATATATAGAAGGCGTGGTTCATGCACTTAAGAGGACTATTTTGAATAAAAAGTTCGAATTGCTTCTTAATCAAATTGAGATAAGAGGGTTATCTGAAAGCGTGGGAAGGCAAAAAACGCATAGTAAAATACTGCAAACATTAAAAAACATTAGTTAAGATCGGAATGAATCAATTCAGGTCTAGGGAAAGACTTATTTGGGGCTTAATAGGCGAAGAAGCCCTTAAAAGTTCTAAAGTATTAATTTTAGGATCTTCAATACTGACTTCGGAGTTGGCAATCTCGTTAGCATCCTCAGGAGTTGGAGAAATTGTATTGGTTGACAGTCAAATTGCCACTGAGGAAGACTACGGTGTATGCATTAGTCTTGATGGGGAAAAAACAGATATTGTGAACAATCCAAAAATTTATTTACTAAAAGATTATTTGTTAAGTTTGCAGGTTTGTGTCAAAGTTGAATGTATATTAGAATCTCCAGAAAGTTACTTAGAGACTCTTAAAAAAGAGTGCTCAAACTCTCCTGCCACAGAGTATAGTATAGTTGTTTGCTGTAATCTTTCTGGAGTTATTGTTGAAAAAGTATATAATTTGGCAAAAAGTTGTCAAGGAATCTCAAGTCCATTTGTAATTAGTCTTAAATCAAGGGGGTATCTGGGCCAGTATCAGGTATTTAGTGCTGATAGAAGATACATAACTTTTGATCTCTCTCCTGAAAACAAGAACTTGGCAAAGCTTCACGGACTTCAGCTTTGTAAACCTTTTGAATTGTTGAAAAAACTTTCTTCTGAAATTGACTTAAATGAATTAGAAAATGATTCTGGCTTCCTTAAGGATTATTTGTCTAAGATACCATTTCCCTTATTATTGGTTCACATCGGTTTGAATATTGGTTTGTTTGAAAGAACGGAGTTAGAGGTAGATAAAGAAGATCTCAAGAAGAAATATCAAGAAAGCTTGGAAAAGATTTTAAAGAATCATGATTTTCCAAATTATGTTGAGGCAAAAAGAAATCAGTATTTGGTATTTTCATACCCTGAAGATGTACTTGAAAATCAAATATTTGAAATATTTGAATCTCAGAAGTCGTCTTTTGATATCAATACCCAATTTTCTTTAAACAAAAGACCTTTCTCATTAATTAATGTAAAGTACCAAATAGTCTTAGGTTGGATTTACAAGTTTCTAAATGATGTCGGAAGGCTTCCAGTCAACAAAGATCTCCCAGAAATGTATTGTGAAACTATTGCTTATCTTCAGCTACAAAAGATATATGATGAACAACATAATTTAGATGTTTCTCAAATTTTAAAAAATAATTCAGAAAACACAAAAATGATAGATTCTGGTTACGATTTCAATATTTCAGAGGAATTTGTTCAATTTGTATGTAAACATTTATACTGTTTAAAATGTATAGAGTTCAGAGATTCATTCTTTAGGTGGGGTAAAATACAAAACCAAATTAATGATGTGAATCTAGTTTTAAAAAAAAGGCTTTTGGAGGCTTTTTTAGAAGACCAATTTCAGGATTTACAGTTAATGGAGTTTCTATTCTTGAATTTTCTGGACTATATTCAGGTTGATAAACAAATAAATAAAGCTCCTGAAGCGATAAAAGCAGAATTTCAGAATTATCTAAAATCATTAGGATTAGACTATATAGAAATCCCCCCTGATTTAATTCAGAGGTAAGTTTGGTGGAAAGTAGGCACTCTAAAGATCTAAATACAAACTGAGCTGTTGAAAAGTACAAAAAGATTAGAGGCTTCCTTTTTTAAATAAAGATTTATTATCAATACTGTTTCTATAAATTTAATTTTAGCTTTGAAACAAAAGAAGAGTTTGTGACATCATCATATATTTCAGGTGTATGCTCCCAAGAAATAATAAAGTTAGTGTTGGGAAGGTTTGTCCCCTTGAATAATTTACTAACCTGGAAGTAAGTAATCAATGAAAGTGAATAAATTCTTTTAACTATTATAATTCAAATTTACAAATATTCACATTATTAATTATATTAAGCTCAAAACAATGTAGATGCTCTACATTCAGACTCTAATTAAACAAGTTTCGGTCTAATGTAGAATTGCTGAAATTAGTATAATTAACTCCAAGTAGGTATGATGACAAAGCAAAATGAATATCATAAGAGTTGTCTATTCTTCTTCTAAATGCGAGGTCATGTTCATTTTGATTATCTTCCTCAAATGCTGTGTTTGAATAGGAGTGGTTTTGGTTATTTCCGATTTGGTAATTTTCTCTGTAATCAAAGTAGAGTTTTTTTAAAAGGTTATTGGTTGAATATGCCCCCATTTTTAACCCAGGAATACCATCAGCGAACGCTGGCATTCTTCTGAAGTTTTGATTTGCTGAATAAACAGTTTGATTAGCATAATTGCTGCAGGAAACCAAATCTCTATCTAAGTTATCAAATAATGTATTTCTAGAAATTTTGGTAGCACATTCACACAAAACACTCTCAGTAAGATGAGGGCACATCTTCTGATTCATATCAGGAGGAGTAGAAATGAGAGGCCTGCTTCTTTTTGACATAGAGTTTTGTGTACAAACTTCATCGCTAGGGCATTTTGTCCAACTAGACCATTCACCTACAAAACATTTGACTGGACAGTCCACTGCTACAACATTTGCATCTCCAGATACCCACCCAAGAGCATGATATGTGCATCCAACCTCACCAATAACCAAAAGGCATGTTTCAACTCCAGAAATCCCCTGGAAAGACCAATAAGTACAATTCTCAGTATTTTTACAAAGCCCAAGACACTCGTGCCAAGTATTAACATACTTTCTCATGGTTCCACCTCCTCTATTCATTTCTACTTTGCATCCCCACCCAAGCCCAGCCACGTGGTAGTTTGGGCAATTTGAAGGACATTCTGGACTTCCCTTACACATTGCAGTTTCTATTAACCTTGGACAGATTTCTGACTTGTAAACGGGTGATCTAATGACATGCCTTACTCTTTGAGTGATTCCTGCACAATGTGAACTACAGGGAGTCCAGGCACTCCAGTCTCCAACTTTACATGTAGTAGAGCAAAGCCCAACCTCTGATGTATTTTTTGGACCTGATATATAATTTTCATCAGGGTACTTACAATGTTTATCCCCAGTTTTAATTAAACACTTCTTCTTCTCAACATCGTAACTCCATTGTTTACATTTTAAAAAGAAAAATGCCACATAATCTGAACAGAGAGATGCACATTCCTGCCAAGATTCACTCTTTGTAATTTTGACGCTATTCCAACCAAAGCAAAATAAACCCTTAATATTAAGCCCATAAGTTGGACAGAACTTTTTGGTAACATTTGGAGTTGGTAAATCTGGAATGTCTATTGCAACACTGTTTCCAGAAGCAGTTTTTACTACTGCTGAATCCGGATGAATTTGTGAAAACTTTTCCGGGGTGATGTACTTATTACTCCATGATACATTAATATATATAATTAACAGCGATATCAATAAGGCGAAGATACTTAAGGTTTTTTGAAACATTTTATATAATTATTTCATTTATCTCTGTCTGCAATATTCTTTTACATTCAAATCAAACTGACTACTCCCGGGGCTAACCTTTGACATATAATAGAAATCTTTACTTTATCTTAAATATAGACAACTTTGCTCTTTAATGTGTGTTTTTGTGGGCTTATATATTAACCATTCAGTAGCTCTGTTAAGTAGTTGTTTTTAATTGCAATCGAAATTATTTTTTCTCAAACAATTTTCTTATTTGAATGTACCCGGTATTTAATTTAGAATTTTGGCGGCACAACCATAATTCATTATTGAAATTTTAAAAATTTTCTAGATAAAAGTTTTCAATATTTTTGAGATTTCAAGTTAAAAAAGATTGAAATATTGAGAAAATAGCAGCAGGTAATCTTGGGTTGTGGTGTCAGTTACAGCCCTAGATGTGGGTTGTGTTAATATTATTATTAGTATTATGCCTAAGTACTATATTGACAAAGAACAATAGTAATATTAGTCTATTAGAACTAGGAAAGATTTGAACTAGTGGTAATGAAAAGGATACCTGTAAGCATTAGTATAGCTATCGTAGTTGAAATGACCAAAATTTTAACTTTTCAGAGAATTAGATTAGATAAGGATATAAATTGATAAGTTCGTAAGATATAATTAATAATCCCATTTTCTACTATTAATATGACCTAGAACAAATTACAATAGAATAGTCAGGAGAATAGAGACTCACTCTATTTATTGGGTTTTACCTAAATAAATGCTCATATTGGAATTTGATCCAGATGGATGATGCAGTATACAAGTCAACATTTGTGAGAATGTATGTATATATAAATTTAACAGTTTTAGGTCAAAGTTATCATCTTTAAGACCTGAGCAAACCAAGTAAAAGTGTAGGCTCAACAAGTTTATATTTGGATTTGAATAGCGCAATAGTGATAGACGTGTTGAGTATTATATGTCGAAATTTTTAACAGGAGGTGCCAAACACTTTAACTTCTTGCTTTTAGCCTCGATATAACCATTTAAGATTTTTAGTTGTGTGGAATTAGCCAGTAATAGAACAATTATTTAATAGGAATGATTGTCATTTCCTGTAGAGATGTTTTCATTTTCATAGTCAAGTCCATCCTTATTATTGCTTGCATTATTTTCAACAATACTAGGATTCTGATTCATACTCCTCATAGAGCTACTTTGATTCTTAATGCTCGTATCATAGGAGTGATCAAATGAATTTAAGTCTGTTGAGAAACTAACAGATTGATGAGAAGCCAAGGTCTGTGGGTTCTGGCGATCCGACGACTTATTAAGCAAAACATCCAAAACCCAATTTGTTGACGATTCAACCACTAAAGCATCCTGGGGATCAAAGTTGAACGATATTTGGGCTCCAGAATCATTAAAGGTGGAAAATGAGTCTTCATCAGTATAACCTGTGGAATAAGTTTCAAGTTTGCTCGAAAATGGATCTTCAATGTCCAAACTTGAGCTTGAAACATATACATTTGCCTTCTCATCCTTTGTAGCTCCCATAAAGTTCCCCGAATTATATATATACTGCCCTCCACTAGGATCAGAAGTATGTTGAAATCCCCGTACTCCAGAAAAAAGAGAATTGGGATTCTCATTCCATTTTCCCGTTGCCACATTCCCCTCTATTCCCCTTCTTAATACGGATTCCGAGGTTTCTCCAGACAAATTTGCTTCGTCAGGTTCCATTGAAATACTATTTCCCTTTAGTGAATTCCCAAATGAACAATCTCTTAAATTAATTGGCTGCATGATTTGTCTATTAAACCCATTGGCCTGGGAAACTGTAGCTCCCCCTGGGTTTATAGAGACTTCTTGGATATATTTATCAGTTGATGTATATATTGTGGGCTCATTGGAGCCCTCCAGAGTACGGATTACAGAAGTCATAATTTTGACAAGGTTCAGTTCAGTTTCATCTCCAAAGATCTTATCTGGAGAGCTCGTATTTACGTAGGAGGAATTCTTTAAGGGGGGAGTATTGTACCTGGCGCCAATGGGGAATCTACGAAAGGTAGCTACAAATTGATGCTTTGAATTACAAAAAAGTATGTAATCTGCAAGAGGGAGGCCACTTCCTCCGTTTTCAGTCTCACCAACAAGAGTTTCTTGAATTCGATTTCCACCAAATCCTGTAGAAAAGTCCTCCCCCCAAAAGTTTGATTCATGATCTGCATACTTTTGCTGAGGACAAAGAGTTGCACAAAAGTAGTAGTCTGATGTTAAAAAACCTCTTGCACATTTTAGAAATGTCGGAGATAAGACCATCTTATCTGACCCCGGACAGTATTCATATACCTTAATCCTTCCCTTTAATTTACCAGAGCTTTTTGCTCTTCTGATACACTTAACATTTGGGCAAAAAACCCATGGACGTGATAACTTTGTCTCATTAATTACGAATAGAAATGGACGTCCCTCATGACGCTTTGATTTACACTGGAGCCTTGATATTCCATCTCGGTAGCTATGGAAAAAACATTTAATGACAGTTGGCGCAAGGTTCCCAGATCTCCTCATAGCAAGAGACCCCAGAGAGAATTCTCTAAGAATTCGTGATCCTTCCTTAGATTCTTTCACATTCTTTGCAAACAGGTTTTTAATATTTATAGGGATCTCACAAATAAAGTCTACAATATAGAAATTGCGGTCACTCCCAACAGTTCCTGACCTCCTCCTTTTTCTCACACAATTTTCATCTCCGTTTTCAATTCGGCTTGCCTCCATTTGGCACATTGTAAATACTTGGAGTGAATTTTGAACATTATTTACATGGAATCCATCCATTCCAGATATTACAGGGATATTTGGAGGCGTTACCAAACCTGGTGGAGTGGCTAGAATAGGTGGAGCAGGCAAGCCAGTGACTCCCGATACTCTTCCTCCTATTAGCATATTCGGGTTTAGAAATCTATCATAGACTTCATTGGTTTGTTCAGTTTGATACTGAGAAGGATGCTCAGCATTGAGATCAACCCCTCTCAATGGGACGCTTTGAATTACCTGGTTGTTCAAATTCAAGTGGGAGGAAGGTGGAGTAGAACTCTCGTAAATTGAGTAATTACAATGATTTCCTGTGTAATTGTTGTTATTTTGGCTATAAGCCGCAATTCCTCCTGCGCCATGCATATTTTCTTGTGCAATTTGTGTACATAAACTAGTTCTTGCTTTATTACTTACATAGTTACTGGCACTTGGAGCGTTATAATCAATATATTCAATAATAGCTGGTTGGCAGGAGCTATTTCCCTCTCTGTTGATACCCGGAGTGTCATAAAGGTAGACTGAAGAGCTCTCTGAAGACCCAACACAAGGTTGTACAGAGTTTGAAGAACAGTAGTAAATATTGTGGCAGTCAGCTGGTGGGGACTCAACTCCAACTCCAGGTCCAAATAGAGCTGTATTCTCTCTAGCTCCACTATTGTCTGGAACTTCAATTATGGTAGGGCGGTTATTGGATTCTTCGAGATTGTAAACACAAACATCTTTTTCCTTCACAATCTGATACTCTGAATAAATTCTTTCTTTCCTTGTTATATTGAGATAAGTGAACTCCTGCCCTATTTCTTGAGGTATTGAAGGGGATTTGGGTTCTTCTCCGGTATTTTGAACCGAGGGAACCGTTAAAACTTCTTTTGGACCAATTGGACTGTTGGTGTTACTGTTATTATTACTTGCAGTACTGTATAAGCTACAAGCCAGGTCAGCTTCAGATATCCGTGTTGAAGCTCTAAAATTCAAATACGTTGTACCAGTTCCAATTCCAGCTGGGGATTGGTTAGAGTGAAAACCGTAATTCTCTCCTGAAGATGAGATTTCTGGTGTTGGGGAAACATATTCTGTTCTTGGGGTCACATATCCTGAACTTACTATATCAAATTGCTTTTTTTGATCAATTTTTGTCTTTGTAGATAAATCTTTTGTATCATCAAGAAGTTCATATTTACCTCTAGTAATTAATCTATGTGAAGAATTTGAACCATACAGGCCAATTTGGCATCCCATGTTGATTATTCCTGTATCTGGGTTTACAGAACATCCATTTTTCAAGAGATGGATTCCAGGCTCTTGTCCCGAAGTTTTTTCCGTGTTCCATGACTGGTTTTCATTGATAACTAGTTCATTACCTAGGTATTGTTTACAGGAGCTTCCGGTATTCGGAGTCTCTCCCATTTTATCAATAGAAGCGTTACCTTTTTCTTAAGTCTCGTATTTATTTTGTGTATTTTGTTTTCTTTCAAGTCTGAAGCTGGTCAACTATAACTTATCATTTCAAAAAGATTGCCAAACAGTTCTATTCAGTACAGAAAACTTTCTATAATGATTTGAATCCCCAGCTTTTAGAGTCTTAAGTATGTAAGGTCGATACAATCAATTATTATTATTTTTCCATCTTAATATTTTCAAAATTTACACTCAATCCTTTAGTTTACGACGACATTTACTAATTTATTCCTTTTCACCCCCGTTTCCCTCTAACTGTTTTCCTACATGCTGAACCTTTTCTCATAATTTAGCGGTACTAACTAGTAAGATACGGAATAATTAATAGAAATTTATAATTTTTTCCTAGTTTTTTTATTCTCATGCAAATAAAGAATTTAGTGGAGCTAAATACGTCATTTAGATTTAAAAATTGAATTGAATTCCTTTACAATATGCTTTTCTTTTTCTTTGAACACCTTTAATTACTTCACGAGAATGCGCTTCTTTTCCCCACAATGGCAATTGTCGCATTTTCAGCAAAAAATCAGTTAAAATTTGAGCAAAATTACAAAATCTTTAAATCTTTACTTTGAGTTATTGACTGAATGTATTTCTCTATTACTCTGTTTCCAGTTACAGTTTTTTTATTATTGAGATTTATCTTGATAAAAAGTCGTTAAATAAACAGCGCATGGCGCCGGCGCCATGCACATTTGACTTTAAAATAATAATACTATGAAGGATGACTCAGGAGTATCAAAAGAATACTCACAACCACGATATTGAAGAGGGAGAAATGAGTGGAGATGAAGTGGGTGAGGAGGTTTTGGATGTGGAAATGAGCGTCGAAGGAGTTGAAGATAAGGTCGGAGATTATGAGGAAGTTGGTGAGGAAAGTGCCGACGGAAATAGTGAGGATGTTGAGGATGGCAGTGAGGAGGACAGTGAGGAAGGCGATGAGGAAGATGATGAGGAAGACAGTGAGGAAGATGAGGATGAAGAGTTGGCGGAGAAGAAGGTTCTTCCAGAAAGAACTTCTAGGGGAAAAAGATACACTCAGCTTTTAGGTGAAGAAGAAGAAAAGGATTCTAAGTTTTGGGGTCATAATACGTGGGAAGAAGAGGAAGAAGATAGTGGGTGGTCTTCTGAAGATGAAAAGGTTGAACTTGAGATGTTGGGGGGTGAAGATTCAAGCACAGATTCCGAGAATGAGAGTCAATCTGATGATGGAATGCAAGAAGAAATGGACGGAGTGGTAGAAGAGGATGACGAAGACATTATTGATGATAAAAAATCAAAGAAACCTAGAAGAATTTTTAGTGGAAAGTATAAAGATCCGTCTTTGTTTTTGAAATCTGCTCAGAAGGATATGCTAAGAAAGGCTAGGAAAAAAGCAAAAAGCACTAAGAAGACTAATATTGTAAAGAAGAGTCCAGCTGTGATCAATCATAGAACAATGTCAGTTAGAGCATCTACATCTCAGAAAAAACAAGATTTACAGGAGTCTATTAGAAGAAGAGATGAGGAAGCCATGCATAAGGCAAAAAGAAAAGAAATGAAAAAAAGTTCCAATTCCAGAGAAAGAATAAAAACAGCCATGACTCAGGAAGAAAGACTCGAAGCTTGCAAAGAGATTGAGAAAATGAACGTTGAAAGTTTAAATCAATTAGAGGCATTTGAAGAGCATAAAAGATACTTGGATAACTCTTCAGCTAGTATAAGAAAGCAGCTACAGTCTGGACCACTAAGCATTTACATCTCTTGGTCATCTTATCGTTTAATGGAGTCAGAAAAGGATAACTCTGAGAAAATACTTAATGATGATGAATATTGCAGAGAAATGATTATATATACCGACGGGATAATTCCTCCACATATAGATCAAAGAAGGGATTCAAATGCTGACTTGGATATAAGCTGTGGAAGTTATAATTCTATTCAAAAATGCAGTGTTTATGGTGTTCCTGCCAAGTATTTAGACCCTCTTACTAATAAGTATTATAGTAGTTTGGAAGCTTTTAAGGTTATTAGGAAAGAATACCATGCTTCAAAATATAGGGAGATTCTTGCTGAGATTAAGGAAGTGCAAGATCTTATTTTGGAAAATAAGAAGCTTATTGGCGAAGATACCCAGGATTACCAAATCAATAACACTTTTGTCAAAGCGGAGTAATTCTTTTTAAAATAATTAATTTTTTTTTTTTCTAATCAGTCAACTTTATATCTATTTGCCTTTCATACCTATTCAGCTATTTAAGCTTAGACTAAACACATATTTTATATTACTCTATCTATAAATTCTATATTTTTTATATTTTATTTTTGTATTTATTTGCTTGGAATCTTTCTATTAATTGACTATTATTTCAAGATCCGAAATATCTTTGAACAAATAATTTATGTTTTATTGCGGGTACCAAGTTACAAATTAAATGATTAAAAAATTGAAAAAAGTAAAAAAAGGTCAGTAAGGAACATAATTTGGGTAAAATTTCCCAAATAAAAACAAGTTTTACATCTGGAAGTAGGAGGAAAGTCCTTTCTGTAAAAATGATGTCCGATGTAACTTCAGATCAGCAAATAGTGGATGATGAAATAGTATTTGTTGATCTTCCAGAGCTGTCTAGATTTGAAATATTTGAGGGAATGAAGGTTATGATTGAAAATATAGTAAGTTTAATTTAAAAAATAGATTGCATTAATTGTTCCTAGAATTTCAACGATACTAATGAAAATATGGATTTTAATTTAGTAATCCAACCTCGGGATGAACCTGAACAAGAATCCATGACATTAAAATTCCAAGGAAAAAATATGGAAACTGTGGGAACATGCCTATTCTTTGCTGATTCTGAACCTATTGATAGGGATTCGTCTGAAGGAGAACCAAAAGCAAGCATAACTGAGAAAGATATTCAAAATGATCGAATTGAGGATAAAGATGTAGAAATGAATGATGAATGTAGAGTTCAAAGCGACTTAGAAAGAAAATCTTATTCAGAGACACGAAATGGAGAATCTGATATAGTTAATGATGTAAGTAAATCTAAGCTTTTATGTATAGGAAAATGCAAAAAAGTGGTTCAAGCTTTTATTGAAGATTAGTCTTGAACTTATTACAAATTTGAACAATTTTCTTAAAAATTTGGGTCTTATAGACTTAATAAAGGAATTTCTTGAGCTTTTTTTCGTTCAATTTAGCCTCAAAGTCCTTAAACTAATAATGAAGAAATAAATTTATTCCTTCTCGAATGCATTCTTTAAAGTATTCTTGAGTCTCTGGAAAGTAAGTACACTTTTATCTATCCATTCATCAGATGATTTTGGAAAAGGTGGGACAAAATTCTTTCTTTCTGTATATTTAATAAAGTCATCAGCAGATTTGATGCCCCAACCTAATCCTGCTCCAAAACCCACTCCCAGTGCAAATCTTCTTGACATTGGTGATTTGAACGCAATTGAACCAATGGCTCCGGAAATAATTGTACCAAATAGTGCATAAACACCAGTACTAACCAAAAATCTTTTATATATTTCAGGAGTTGGCACTTGGAAGTTTTTTAGTCTCCTTGATGGGTCATCCTTTGGGTTTGAATCATTCGAGGATGAGTCATGGCCTGGAAGTCTTGTAGTCCCTAACATATCTGAACTCTTTTATTATATCCTTTTTTTCCTCAAAGTTTTACGTGTTACTTTGTTTTTTGAATTCAAAATCTTTAAATCATTATATTATGCCCCACACAGGCCCGGTCAAAGTTCCCGCCTTTTGAAATATATTAAAGGTAAAGAACAAATGAAAAATAATTACTGGAAAGAATTTATTGTTTTTTATTAAAGGTGAAGAAAAGTTGGTTCGAAAGATTTGGCAGCCATAGGTAACTAGCTGTACTTTGCTGAAGCTTGCCATGTCTCAAAACCTTTCGCCTTCAGGAAGCACTCAGAGCCATGGCAGCTCCGGGCCACGACTAGCGAGCTTTGAGAAAGTCAGAGTTATGGCTAATTACTTGGAATTGTCTGCTTTGGAGTATATTCAGAGATGCTCTAGCGATTCAGGTTTGCAGTTAGATGATTCAACTATGCCTCTGTTTTATATCTTGAGCTGCTGGAAATTACTTTGGTGTCTGTCAATTAATGAGCTAATAGGTGAGAGCTTGAGAAACATGATTGAAGAAAGTTTTACATTTAGAACTGATATTGGGAATACTGAAAATGGATATAGAAAGCTATTAAGCATTCCAGAAATGACAGAAGGCGAAGTTTCAAGATATGCTATGGCGTATTCTCCAATTTTTAGAGTTGTATTAGGGGTATTGAGATGGCTGAGATGGGAATCAAGAGTAAACCCATATAAGCAGAACGACATAGTATTCAAGGATACTTATTACATGGATTACCCAGAGTCAAGGATTTTATGGAAGAATTTGGGAAATCATAGACGGTTTTATAGTTTGGATTGGGCACTAAATGTTGACAAGTCAGCGATTTCTCAATCAGATAGGGAAGATGTCGAGGAAGTATTTAAGGTAGCTTTTATGTTGTTAAGGAAAGGTTGTAGGATGCATCTAGACACATTTCTCAGAGAAAGAGCAAAGGCTCACTGGCTTATATGCCTTATGGATGGGATGGACTCATATCTCTATCCAGAGAAACAAAGTGACCATTTTGTGGACCTTTCTAACTTTATAGAAATTCTCCCCAAAGTTGACGATATGTGGATTAATTACAATGAAGGGGATGACGAGATGGAGTTGGATGTAGTTTCTGCAGGAGCAGTAGGTGAAGGCCAATTTATGGATTCTATGAGTTCAATAAACAAAGAATTGGCTTTAAACGATACTTTGTTTAAGGCATCTTTCGAATTTGTTGACCTAATGGAAAGGAGTTTAATATTTCCGGCTTTTGAAGATTCCCCAAACTCTGGGAGTGAAATTGAGGGGAATATAAACAGACCACTACTTTTTCGTTTTCTGAGACAGTTAGTTTCTGAAAACAGGAAGATGAACCCAAAACTGGGAAACAAATTAGGAGAATGGGAACTTTCATTTTACTCGATTTTGTGTGGAGACTTCGAACAACTTTATTCTATGGCAGGTGACGACTTTGACAAGCTGTTTGCACTTTTCCATACTGAAAAGACCAATATATTTAATGGCTGGGCAGACTTTTTGGAGTCCAGAACTCAGTCAGGGAGAAATCACATATTCCTCGGAAAAACATATCCTAAGAAAAAACTGGAGAACGCTTTGTTGAATAGACTTGAGCTCCTAACCCGGGATTTGTATCCAGAACTTACAGGTAGCTATTTACCGGAGGACTGTGAATCTATTTCAGAATATAACTTGATAAAGAGCATTCAAACAAAGATAGAGTCGGAATATACTTTGGGGTCAAGCGAAGATGATGAGACACATATTATTGGTTACAATAGCAGTTGCTTTTGTTATGACCAAGATACCAAAGGTGTAGTTAATATGATGGAACTAGAGAGACAGTTAATTGATTCTCTTATCGACTCAATAATGTGCTTAAATTTTGAAAAAGATAAAACCTCGATTGAGAGCCATTTCTTCCAGGTTTATTTGGGAATAATTGTCTCAACACTGAATACTAGAGAACATGGAAGTGATTTAATCCAAGCTCTTGAAGAATTTATGAATTATATTTCAACATTATCAAATGATACTCCAACTCTTGGCTCTCTTAAAGCTTTTATTTCTCAGATGACAGTTGCTCATCTTGAAATTGAAAGCTCTCTAAAACATGACATCAGAAATTACTCAGTAAGTATTTTTGATGAGTTTATTCTGGCTTCTTTGCCTTCCATGGACTATTTTGATACTTTGGAACCTTCTCAAGCCAGCATTCAATTAGAAGTCCTCTCTGACTCCATTTCTATACATCCACTACATAATTTGTCTGAAAGCCTAAAAGACAGGTTTGTCTCACAATATCTAAGCTATATTCTTGAGAATAACAACCGTTCCCTGGATGTGTTTCTGATAATGATAGAGTATTCTTCCGAAACATGTAGGTTGGAGTATATTCGTAAAGTATTATCAACTCATCAGAACAATCTCGATATTCCAAGTTTTCAGAAATTAGTCTATAATCTGATTAATCAATTTCCTAGAGAAACTATGCAAGTTACTATGGCTCTACAAGACCAAATATATGGAGAAATCCATACATTACTTGGCAAAGATGAGGGGAATTCTCCTGAAACTCTAGATTTTATGATTTCTTATTTGGAATTTATCATTTTACTTTTTGGAACAATTTTCCAGTTTTTAATCATTAGACAAGACTATTCTCCTTCTTCAGAGTCAATATTCAGAGTTTTGCAGTATATAAATCATAGGCATCTTGGAGCCAATGGGATGGTAAATCATGGCTCAGATTACTTAAGAGAATCACTCAGATCTTTGGAACAAAGCCTGTTGTCCGAAAGTCCTTGTAACCAGACGACTAGTGAAGTAGTTATTGGATTGTTCTTTCTGAGTCAGCTCAATCCTTTGTGCTTATTATTGCTTGCATTAGAAGTAACAAAGCTTTCTGGATCTAGTGATATTGATACCTTAGAGTATCATCAATTTTTATTGAATGTTACTCGTTCGAATGCATGTGTACAGGAATTTATTATTCCGTTGGTTTTGGAACCGATTATGATCAGGCTTATTACTGTATTAGTATCTAACTCTGATAATATTGGCCCAAATTACAGCAAATATAAGGTTTCCAAGCTTATGGAATCCAAGAACCTTCAAGCTTTAAATTGGGAACAGAGTTTGGCTAACATTTTTTCGATTGGTAATTTTATTTATGTACAAAATGTATTTATTTCCTTTTCTCCAATAAGATTTTTAAGCTCTCAGCTTACATTTTTTAAAGTACTAGGCCTTTTCAGAGTTTATCACGACTCTGTGGAAAGGCTTTGGGAGTGTGTTAAGCTATTAGAACAAGAAGCTTTTCAGAATGAAAATCTTCAATTTGGAGTTGGTAACTCCGGTAAACAGAGAGAACCTTTGCAGAGCCCTGTCATTTCTCCTGGAAACAGTTTACTTTCATCCCCTTTCAACAAATATGTATCCCCTGCATCCAATACTCAACGAAGAAGTTCTCTTCAGATCCTAAACATAGATAGGCAGATTGAAGGGGCAAACCAAAGTATTTCTCAGGTGATCTCAAAGATTGAAATAGTGCTGCAGAATTGGCTTGTTTTTGGTCCAAATTTTCACTCTTCACTTTTAGAAAATTTCGGAGACAAAGAATCTCAAGAAATAAGTAAAACTGAAACTTTTAGTTTATCAGGATTTCTTCCTGAGTACTGCTCGTTTGATAAAAGTAACTTTGGACTGGAGACTTTTTCTGTCCAACACTGTAATAATAAGGAACTTTTAAAGAGGTCTAGATTCATTAATATTCAGAAACTATTCGACCAGCTGATTCTCACAATAATTTTTCACCGTGATATTGAACTATTCTCCACTAAGAAAGCACCTCTTTTCCCCAGAAGATCTATTGACTCCACTAAGGGTCAACAACAATATGAACTCAAATCTGTATCTTTCTTAAATAACATTCTGGGGGCAATTGAGCATAGCAACTGGATATTTACGGATTTTGAATGACTTAGAAAATATTTGAGAAACAATTTTAACATCTCAGAGAATTTACCACACAAATTAACGGTAATTAAATAATACTGGTACTGCTTATAGTATAATTTCTGAAATATATAATTAGTAAAATTTTACCTATCTAAGTATAGGAGCACAATAGAAGTGTTTTAGGAATAAAGTAGTCCTGATAAACTAATTAATCACTTATTTTGTGAATCCCATTAATTTTGGATCCTTATTTGCTTTCAAGCATTTGAGTGTATTTTGCGGGGTTTCTGAATGCAGATTTATGGTTAGGGTAAATTCATACAGTAAAATAAGAAATTATGAAAAAAATAAAATTCGAAAAACAAAATGTTATTTTAATAATATAAAGATACTTACTTGTTAAGTGATGTTGAAAAAACTTACTTTCAAACCTCCAACTCGCTCTTTCATAGCCTGTTGTATAGAGTTTCGAGAAAGACAGGAGTTCTGTAGAACAAACATTATACCACTACTATTAAAAAAATCCTCAATTTCTAAAAAAATAGTAGTAAGTACCTCCAATTCAGGAATAGGAAAAACTCCATATTCAAAGAAGGAACTTAAAAATCTAATTCGGGAAATTACCCATATAATTAGAACCTCCCCTCGTAAAAGAAGACCAAGTATAAAAGAGTGGATAAGTGAGGTTAAGAACCTCATAAAAGCTAGGGAAGATGCAGCCACTGAAAGACTTAATGATCTTGAGAACAAGCTTCTAGATGCTAAGGTGGATTATTCCAATTCCATTATTATGAATGAGTCAATGTTAGATCAGGTAGTGAATAAGATGAATTCTCTAATACAAAGGCTTGACGGATTAAATTTCCGTGAAGATTCTATATTGGATAACACTAATTCCTTGGATTTAAAGAAGATTGAGATTCTTTCTCAGGTGAGTGAGTATCTCAGGGAATTACTTGCTTTATCTAACAAAGTTGAAGAAGTATCTAATTCAATAAGAAACTCTAAAAGCCTGAAAAGCTCCAAAATATATACATTATTGTTAAAATTAAAGGATTGTCTTCAATCAGTAAGATTGATTGAGAATGAGAAAAAAATGAGATTAAATATTAAGAATTCAATATATAATGAAATTTCCAGAATTTTAGACAATATTTTAGATATTTTAATAAACCAGATTACTTCATTTTTGAAAGAGTATTGCGACTGGGGGCAATTTGACAAAATTGTCCAACAAGTCTTAAGCAGAAAATCATCAAATTTTGCTTTGATTGATCCTTTAGATCTTTCTAAACTTGAAAAGAACGAGAAAATTTCTCACTCTATTGGGATTTTGTTAGTGTTATCCTCAATTTGTATTGAATTAGGATATGAGTGTAAAGAAATACAAGATTCAGCAGATCTAGAGACCAGTAATGGCTATAGGAAACCAAGGATAAATATTTGCGAAGAAATAATATCCAGGCTAGGTACTGATATAGCAATCAAACTCAAACCCTTATTTTTTTCAAGAAATAGTTCTCTATCAAGTTTAGAAAAGCCAGAGTGGCTTCTTGAAACATATTTTTCGATATTCAAATCTCACTATAGATATTTAAAAAACTTATGGAATGATTTAAATACAAGGTTTATGAAAATAAAAAACGAGGAAAAGAATGATATGGAAACACATTTAAGTAAATACATTCCACTTTATATAGAAAAAGAAAAGTATATTAGTGTGATTAGTGAAATTCTTTCAGTTGATCCCAAGAAAATTCTTAGTATTACTCTGATCTCCAATCTTCAGAACGCACTAAGAATTTTTCTTAGAAGAGTTTTATGTAAAGATGGTGTGGCTGTAAGGGATAACAAAGCAGACTGTATATTTGAGAAGCTGGTAGAACAATTATTATTATTTTATAGACAATGGAAGGAGTTAGATGAGGAAACTTCAATATTTATTCTATTCGACTTATTAACAAATTTAAATATTAATAAGTTGCTTATATCAAAGAAAAGCTCGATTGATGGGTTATTTGAGGAAGATAATAGCATTCTTCAGATGGAAGATCTTTCTAAAACTGCTGTTAGTTGGGCAAAATCTGCCTTCACCTTGGTTATGGGAAGCCCTGATCCTAAATACCTTGAAATATTCAATAATCCTTCAACCTTTCCTTCTGAGTGTGGAATACTAGACTGGTATTGCATTCTTAATCGTATATACATAGCAGGCCAGAGTCTAGGTTACTTAACTGAATCTCTAATTTCCAGCTATATCGATAAATTTAATATGAAGAGAACTATTCATGATTTGTATTTGTCCATTTGCTCCCATAGTGGCTCTTCCGATCAGAATATAATTTTGAAGTGGTTATCAGATACCGTAGTTTACATTTCAGATGATTCTTTATCAAAAAATGGCCAGAAATTGATAATGCCCATAAAATCTTCCTCAAATGAGAATCAGAAAATTGGCCGTCTTATTTTAGTTTTGGGTTACTCAATAGAAACAATTGAACTATTGAATGCATTTTCAGGCAAAATTTCGTTACTTGTGGATTCTTGTAAATCTTTCGAAAAATGCCAATACTATACAAAAAAAGATCAATATAGGATCCTAAATTTAATTCTGGCCAAGTTCCACGAAATTAGGATTGAATTAGATTCTTATCCACCAAAGATCTTCTGTGAAACGTTTTCTACTCCTATTATAGAACAAAGCATTGTTGGGGAGTTCATTAATTACATAAGAGGCGAATGGAATAGAGTTGGCCATAAAATAGGCCCTATGATTCCAATGGTTTCAATATTATTAGAATCAGTTGATATTGTTTACTTTACTGTACTTAATTTGGACAAGGATAATAATGCTAATAGTTGGCTTGATTCAAAGCCTAAAAGAGATGAAAGCTTTCAAGAATCATTACAGAATCTAGAAGAAAAACCTATGGAAAAGCTAGAGTATATTTCAAAAATGTATGAAGGCCCATTATTAATGTTAAGAGAACTCAAGGAAGAAATGATTAATGAAATAAAACTGGAGCTTACGGAAGTAATCATTAAACCTTTGATTTATAGTGAGATAGTAATACCTTCACTGGAAGATTTATTAAACTCAAACTCTTTTTCAGGTAACGCTAGACTACTTTTCGATGATAATCTTGCAAAAAAAGTCAATGAACTTAAGTACACATTTGTACTTTTCAATCTGTTCCTTTCGGATTCGAACCTAATTGAAATCTCAAAAGCATTATCTGTTTAAATTAGTAAATAATGATTCTGGACAAGAGGTTTACAGTAATTAGTACTCATTAGAAAGATAATAACCTAGTTAGAGATTCTAAAGTCATATTTGCATTATCATTGAATAAGTAGTTGATCCATGTTTATATGTTAAAAAAAGTTATTTAGGCTAATAAATCTAACTTAGAATCTTTTCTTAATCTTATAATTACTTGAAAAAATTGGACAATGATATGATTATAGTTGTTACTTTTTCAAAAGTCCAATGAAAATTGCACTTAAACACAAAATGAGGATCATAATTGCCATAATAAGTAGGAAAAACGCGAGAAATTTCTCAATAGTTAGCCCCTTGTGCTTAAATACCTTAATATATAAAAGAGAAGGTATTATAAAGGCAGTGGTGTTGCTACATATTGTACCAACAAGTTCGTAAGCAAGCCCAAGATTTGTGAAGTAAATGGCACAAGATGTCGTCAAAACGAGGATAAAAATTGTAATAAGATTCAAAGCTCTCTTCTCAGCCTTAGGCTCCATCTCAGTTACACCACTATAAAGTAAAATAGATAAAGATCTTCTACATGGATGACATTGGATTGGAAAAGAAAATACCATAGAAACTGCAATAAAGAGCTTTGCAATAAAAACATCAAAAGTATTGGTTTTAAATAACTCCAATACATTAGCTTTGTTGATTAAACGTCCAAAAAGTAAGTACCCAGATATTCCAATAGTGCAATAAACCAGTATACCTGTTCCAATAGAAACTATAATGATCTTAGAAAGTCTATTCAAAGTTCTGTCGTGAAGTTCATTGGATACTGTAAAGATGTTTTGTTGACAAGTAAATGCAAAAATAAGTATAGGGAAAGTCTCAAGGGTTCTACGCAATGAAAATGTGCTAAAGTAGTCCAAATTACCAGTAATAAGGGCAGGCTGTTCTTCGAACCTAGATAAATAAATTTTACTTGTGTTATATAAGAGCCTGAAAAATACAACAAGAACTACATATAATATACAAATTACACTAAGCCAGTTAGTGTATTTCATAGATTTAAGCTTATGAGGGAAAGAGGCTGGAGCTATAAAGAAAACGACCGATGTTAATAGAACAATGGCTCTCAGAACTTTTGGATCAATCCCATAAGAATTATTATAGAAGAATAACGAGTATACCAAATCTCCAACAACCATAAGATATGATGTAGATACTCCTAAAGATTTTATAACAATTGCACTATCAACAATCCACTTAAGTCCGGGAATATGATTAGAAGTAACGGAGTAAAAACTAACATCGTCACCATACTCCATTGCTATTGAAGAAAGAAGATAAAGTGAAAGAGACGATAGAAATGCACAGAAAAATGTAAGCAATATTCCCTGTAATAGACCATTAGCTGCATATGCCAAAGGTATAGCAAGAGTGCCAATTCCAAGCATAGTGTTTACCATTGCTGATACTGCCTCACTTAAAGAAGATCCCTGAATTGCACCTCCAAGTCCTGGAAGTGTTTCTGGTTCATCTTCAAATAGGCCATAAATAGCCATTGACTGTGTTCTATTCATAGTCTTATAACTTGAGATAGAGCTTTTTGATAGAGTGCGGCGTTCATTGCCACCAATCTCCAAAAGTGGCTTGCCCATAATAGAATTCATTTTTTCAATGCAGAATTATAAAATTACTTAACTATTTAATTTGATTATCAAATATACCAATAATTGAATTAAACTTTGTTAATTTCAGATTATTGCCTAAAAATATTCAGGTAAAAACACGTACTTAGATTCACAATTCCACGAATGAAATAATTCTCTTACCAGATATTTCTGCTCAAAATCTGGTCAATGATTTTTCTTTTAAATTATTTTAGTGGCATTAATTTAATTCCCGCTCAAAATAAGTACCAACTAATCCAGATAATGTCATTGGTGGCGCCACATTTTAAATAATGCAAAAAAAGTTAGGCATGTAAGACGTGAGATTAAATTAAGGTTATAGAAAATAAAACTTGAACTTAACTAATAATTTAAGAATCTCAAATAATATAAATATACATTTAGATTTTGTATAGCACATTTCTGTACAATATTTGCATGGCTGAGATTCTTAGTTAAAGGTTATAAAGATAATGGGGAAACCAACAAATATGTGCACTAGGTACTTTGGGTTTGCAGCAATATTTATTTTCAGTGTACTAAGATATTCGTTGTGTGAGCTAACTGTTTTTTTAATTGGGGATTGGGGTGAAAAGACAGAATGCCTTGTAAATGTAACAGATAGAATGAGCACTTTGGAGGCTGTGATGAATCCTAAGTTTATTATTTCAGCGGGGGATAACTTCTATCAGAGGGGAGTGAAATCTGTGGATGATCCCAAATGGAGAGAAATATTGGAGGAACCATTTGCAAAATTGAGCGAAAATTTAAAAGTTCATTCTTGTTTGGGAGATCATGATTGGAGAGGAAACACTACGGCTCAAATTGATAGGACGAATTTTACAAATAATACTCGTTGGTATCTTCCAGGATATTGGTGGTACGAAAAAGTGGTTTTTACATCAAAAGTAAGTTTGCAGTCTCTTTTTAAAAAGTCAGGTTTGGGCGAAATTTCAACCAATAATAGTTTTCACTTCAATTCTTCAAGGGTTGGTAACTTCACAAACTGTGAAATTGACTGTTTGGATGATATCGTTGATAATCTGAATACAATGGTAAATAGAAACAGTTCTTGGAATGGAGACCTTAGTTACAAAGCTTTGATTTCTGAATATAATTCCGAAAACCAAGCCAATTCCACTGCAATCTTTATTTATATTGACAGCTGGACTCTTACACAAGATCCTTTCAAAAAGACTTCCATTTCTCATAGATATTCACAACTAGCATTCATTGAACAAACATTAAAGGCTGCTGTTCTTGAAAAGGTTGACTGGATTATCCTAGTTACTCATTATTCAATTTATTCAAGTGGCCTTCACGGACCTCATTCAAGACTTGCGAGCATACTTCTTCCACTTATTAAGAAATATAAAGTAGATTTTATTGTTTCTGCACATGATCACCATTCTGAACTTCTTGTACCTGAAGATTTTAACTCCTATTTTCAGATTGTTGGAGCTTCCAGTAAACCCAGATTAGGTTTTGGGTCAACTGACGAAAATTCCATTTTTAAATCCAACTCTTGTTCTTTTAGTTCATTTACATTTTCTAAAGATATTGCTGTATCCAGAGTTTTTTCCACTAATTCCTCATTGTACAGTTATTTCAAAAGATCCAATAAATTTGAGAGGTCTAAACTTAAAATTGAAAATACTCAATATCCAAATTTTGTTTCCTCGCTCAGATTAAAGCCACTAATTAATGTTTATGGCTGGACTTTGTCCTTAGCATTATTTTCATAGATACTATTATATTAATTATATTCAATATTTGATTATTCAGAAAGTTTGCTATCCTAATTTACAATTTTGATATTATATTTGTTTTTTTTATTATAATCACTAAAACCTTTCTATCACTTAACTCCTAAAACAATAAAGAAAAATAGATTAGAAACCAGGTTTCTGGACATGCGTATCTTGCCATAAACATTAATTAATCATATTATTCTGGTGGATAATTCTCCTAATTAACGGTAAAAAACAAAAAAAAAGTAGCATTGCACTATTAATATTAAAAGGTTAATTCTAATCGGAAATGGTAGTTCACAAACAAATAGTATTACCACTAATCAAATTTGCATGAAAACTTTCGCGGCAAAAATGTCAGCTTTTTTTTTTTTGTCCTTGTCTAATATTTTAACTGAAAGTAATTAAATGATGGCGCTAATAACGGCGAATAAGTCTACTCCAGTGGGCATTCAATACATCTTTTATTCAAAAATAATTTAGGACGTTTTGTTTCGATCTTTATTTCCGTTATTTTGCCAATATGTTTTTAAAGAAGTTAGTCTTTGCAGCTACTTTTGCTTTTTTTGCGCTCTCTCTTCAGAATGTACCGTTCAATGGCAGAAATTTCCTATGCATAGGTGAGCATTCTTTACTTAAAATGCCAAACCGATATGAAGTCAATCAACATAATAATGGAGATGGGTGTTGTTCTGGGTTAAGAAAGAGGCTTAGATCTGTTTTAAGGTCTTGTACTGGTGGTTCATGTTCCTCATCAGATGACGATGAAGAAGTTGAATTGGAAGAATACAGACAAACGGGAAGCCCAGTTCCGTCAATAAGCTCCCAAGTTGATCGAACTCAATTCCGCGTTTCTTCTGTTGGAGAGTTAAATGCGAAAACTCGAAGAGATGCAGATGAATTGCAAAAGCTATTAACTAGATATAAAGAGTTCGGTTGTTCACCTGGTGATGATAGACCAGCCTGCAAACATTTAAGAGATAGAATCAAAGAACTTAAAAGGAGCTTGCTTAAAAGGGGAGTAGCTCTTTCCGAATCTTGTGACTGAGGATTTTATCTAATGTGTGTATGTGGATGGTATGATCGCCGCCACGAAATTGTTTGAGTTTCCCGATTTTGGCCATTTTATTGAGTTATTTATCAACAATATTAAGTTTTAATTGCTATATCTTGTAATCATGGATGGCTACGTTGGAATTGTATGTAAATGAAGTTGTTTCACCATTTAAGTTTTTGAAGCTAAATTGATGATTATTGATTATTCGATGTTTGTGATATTTCTTTTTTATGGAGGAATGATTTTTGATGAAACTAATGATTAAAGTTGGAATTTGCAACAGGATTTAACAATTAGCTATTAACTAAGCTACTGAGTTTCATCTTAATTTTTTCCTTGGAGTTGGTTTTTTTTGAGCTTATATGTCTATGTCTCACTAATGCTGATTTTTCGGAATTTGAGGGTATGCATTTATTTATATACAACTTGTACACAAAAAGGTGTATGTTTATTTGTGTGTTCTTCGTGTGAGTGAACCTAAATAAGTAATTTATATCAAAGTTCAGATAGGCTAATGCAGCGGTGAATTTTATTTTAGTATTAATTTGGTAATTTCTTTTTAATTTCTAGAATTTCTCCGAATATGACGAAATGAAATACACGAGATCGATAATTTTTTTATCATTTGTAAACTTATCATTTTTCTTTTTAGATTTAAGTGATTTGTTTGTTTCATGCGAGTCTACATCTGAATTGGACGAACCAGTTGCTGGCACCAGCACAGCAGGCGATGTGGAACCAGTTATATTAACTGAGGAAGTAGATCTTTCTCTTTATTCGTCTTCTGGAGAGATAGTTAGTAAGAAAGCTTTAGAAGAAGAACTTCATGAATTATTTAGAAACGCAGAACTTAGTCAGATAATGGCAATGCAAAGATCTGATCCAGCTAGTAAACATGATAGTGACGATGAAGATGAATTGGAAGGTACATCTTCTGGGGCTAGAAGTCGCAAGAGAATGAAGTATACATGTGTCTATCCCTCTCCTGGAGAGGGGACGAGTAATATAGAAGGTTCTTTAAGCCCATATTATGAAATGCCACAGATGTTTGCAGAAGCTTTTGACACCTTTTTAAAAGATAGTTTCTTAGATATAACACTAGTGGAATTTGAAATGCTACTCTTTTACTCATCAACCTTGTATTACTCGGCAATTTGGAGAGATAGAAACAAATTAAATGGAAAGATCGTTTATTTAAAAGTTTTATTAGAATATTGGGGTAATCAAGATTTTAATATAAATTCATCAATAAAAGTAGACATGTCAAGATACTTTCAATGTATGAAAACTAAATATAGGTCTACAATTATGAAAGCCTATACTGGCCCTTTAACTACAGTTCCTATTATGATGGAACAGTTTAGCAATAATATATTTGAATTAAAGTGTAGCAATGTTAAAAAAAGTCTCGCAATTATAATTTTATTATTTGAAAACAACTTTGAATTATTATCATCAGCATTTTTGTTTTATTTACTACTTTGTTCCATTAAGGAATTAAAGGGATTGGAATTCGAGCAAGGTTTTCAGTTATTTAAAATTAATAAAAAAAAAGTTGTATCAAAAATTATGAGACTTGGTGGTATTTATGTCAAAAAATTTCTTAAAGCAATGAAGAGAAATATTCCAGAAATGTCCAAATTGAAAGTTAAAGAATATAAACATCCAATAGAAAGTCCATTAATAATGAATAATATCAATATTCCAACTTTTGGTTTAAAATTCTGCTTATCACTATTAGAGCTTTATTTGATAAATACTTCCGAATTTTCTATGATGAATTTGATATTCTTTTTTGGCTCAAGATTAAATTCAGCAGCGGAGGTTTTCCTGTCGTATGACATTTTTAATACTATTAGGACTATAAGAGGGGGCATACATGATATAATCTCATCAATATTATTAGATCAAGATATAGAAAAATTTATAAACAGAAGAATTATGGCATTACATCACATTGATATTTCAGATTTCAGAAGCAGGTTTGGTGAATGCATTCAAATAAAAAATAAATATCATGAGTTGAGTAGTTTAATCCGCTTGACAGATTTTCAAAAAGAGGCTCTAATAAAAAAAAAATTAAAAAGAAAAAGAACTAGATTGTAAAAAATTATATTATTCATTGTGATTTAAGTTCGAATATTTCATATTAATTTTCTAAAAGATTCATCTTTCTTTTCGCTCAAGCTACAAGGCACTTTTATTTCTTTTGAATGTTTTTTTTTCGTACCAGTTAAAGCTACTTAAGCCAATATTATAAGCTTAAGTGGCTAAGAATGAATTCGAGATAGATAAATACCAGAAATCTAGGAAGAATAACTTATTTAATACGAAGTAAAAATGAGCCTATATTTTTTATATCTAACAATTCATATATATATTTATATTAAATTTTTATATTTCTTTTATCAAGATTGAATATTGAGAAGTTGCAATAATTTATAATCATTTTTATTTCTTATACAACTTTTTGCACTCATAAATGTGCTTTTAATATCGTCTCTCATTTTACTATGTTTTGCATATAAAAAAAGTTCAATTAAGACATTAGTTCAGCATGTTTTGTGTGCTTGATTAAAATGGGAAAATTTATGGGTGCAAAGAAATAAATATCATATTTTAAGTAAAGAAAAGAAATATAATGAATTTAAAAACAAATATAATTTTATATGTAACTTTAGTGTTTGTTCTTGTTGCTATTGCCCAAGTTCTGGCTGCAGATGGTGATTCACAAAACGATGGTTCTAGAGAACAAGAAAAGAATGACCTTATGAAAATGAGTTTGGAAGCTTGGATAGAACTAACTAATCTGGTACCTCTGGAAGATATTTATGAGAACCGATGTATTGCTGAAAAACTTTTGACATATGCGTTTATTTATTTCTCCTTTTTAATTAAATTGGCTGCAGTTTTTAACTATAAAAATTGCACATCGGTATACAATAGAACTACAGGAATGTCAAAACTATTAAAAATTAATAAAAAAATTTTTAGAAGTTGCTTTTTAGTTTCATTTTCAACTGCTGAGAAAATTGCTATATTTGTTGATAGTATTGGAAATGAAGATTTACTAAAAAAATTAAAGCCACAAGATAGTTTTTTATCTTTTTTATATTTAATCATTGCTAATTTGGGAGAAATTTTTTTAACAATGAAGAATATTCTCAAATATTTAATGACTATTTTTACACATATAAATGATCCCCATTTGGATATGATGATATCTACAGTAGTTGAAGAATATTACACTTTATTACCTTCTATCGATCAAGCTGTAGAGGAATTAGAGAAATTAAGTACTGTTCAATTTGCAGAATTAGTTGAACAAAATGGAAGTCAAGTTTTAGCTCTTTCTTTTGAAGTTTTTGATTTTAATCCAGAGATTGAACACATGAAATTGTTGAAAGAAGCAAGGCAAAGAAAGTTAAAAATAGCTCAAAAAGTTGAAGCTGCTGGTGGAGAGTCAAAGAAAGCCATAACTGATAAAGCAAAATGTGGGATGATTTCCGGAGAATTATTTTTAATGGAAAACATAATTCTTTGTTCTTTTTTAGTTTACGAATTTTGTATGGAATCTTTATCAGTTTTTGACGATCATGCTTTAACTGCCATTGAAGCTATTGCTCTAATCAAAGAACAATTATTGAAGTTAATAATAATTGCAGGTACTGAGTTAGATTTAGAAGAACAACAAGTTGTTGAAATTAGGAGAACAGTTAACCAAATTTTAGCAATGGAGAACTTAAGGGCAGCTAATGTTATATTTAGCATGCATCGATCACGTGTCAAACATGATGATTTATTAGCTGATTTTAAAAATATGCTTTCGCTTCTTAATGTTAGTTGTAAGACACTTGAAAAAAATCATCAAAGGTACGGAAGAACGGATTGCGTAGATAAAATGGTCATGTTAGTAAAACCTCAACTGAAAAGAGGATTAAGTTTTTTTAGAGATTATGTTGGTACTCTCACATCAGGAAAACAACAATTACAAGTTCATTATCGAGGTGATCATGATATTTCAGAAGAAAGTGGAAAGGGAAGAGCTGCGGATAAGAAAAAGGATAGAAAGAAACAAAAACCAAGAAAAGGTGGAACTGAAAAATCAGATAAAAGCACTTCTGAAGAAAAGAAGAAAAGCAAAGCAATGGAAAAATTCGAGTATTTATTAACTAATCGGGCAAGCACAAGTAGTGACGAACGCATTGTTAAAGATACCAGTTCTTCAAAAGACACTTCTCCTGAGAAAACCAAGGGAGGAGAAAAGACTCATGGGCCCAGAATTGACAGAAAAGCATTAAAATTACAAAAGCTTCAACAAGAAGAAGAGAAATCTCTAAAGAAAGAAAAAATAAAGGAAACAATTAAAGAACAAAAACTCGTAGCGGCCTCAGCAAAGAAGAGGAAGCAAGAAGAAAGAAGAGAAAAGAATGAAAGTAGAAGAGAAAGGGAAGAAAGAGAAAGAGAGGATAGGAGACGATCGGAAAAAGAAAGACAAGATGAAATTCAACATAGACAATTTATGCATTCATTAACAACTCAAGTAGAAAAAATAGAAGAATTGTTTAAGGAAGCTGGAAAAGGAGAAAGTTTTTCCGCTTTAATTTCGTTTGTCTTTAGCGTAATAAGTGATGAGGTTGAAAGTAAAGAAAAGAGTGAAGAAGATCTTTCAAAACAGTTTGCCTCAATGTCAGTTTCAGGAGCGACTGGTGCACAGGGTACAAGCCAAAGACCAAGTTTAGGGGCAAGGAGCAAAAGAAGAGCAGATGAAGTTCCAGGAGATGGGCCAGTAGGTTCAACAGCTGAGTTTTTCAAATCAAAAGTATCAGCTCCACTAAGGAGAGATAGAAGTAGATCTAGTGATAGAAATAGATCTAGTGATAGAAATAGATCTAGTGATAGAAGTGGATCTAGTGATAGAAGTAGATCTAGAAGCGTAAGTAGAACCACGGGAGATTCAGGATCATTCGCTGGAATGAGCTTCGACGTATTTACAGTACCTATGTCTTTATTTGAAGAGCAAGGTGGACCTGGAAAGTCTAGATTTTTAAGATTTTTTTCAGCTGGTGAAGAAGATCCAGAGAAGACTGAAGAAAAGGCAAATGCTTGTTTAGAATACTGTTCGGTAACTGATATTTATTTTTCCACTGTTACAGAAGCGTCTACCTTAGCTGAAGTAGAAGCTGCATTAGAAACGTGTGGCAAAGAAATTCAAAACTTACATTTAAGAGTTGCACCATCATTGACTGGTAAAGCACTTCTTGCATTAAAGTTAGTTGAGAGGGATTTGATTGCTTCATTTATCAGAATGTTATTACTGCAAAAACAAAAAAGTAAGTAAACAAAGTGTTACTAAAAATAACTTTCAAGAAAAAAGATTCTTTTAAGTTAAAAATGATTAAAAAACCGTTATTTAGTTTACAAATTTTTAATGTTTTTTTTGAGTTTTGATTTTTTTTTTTCGACTTTTTATTCAATTTAGAAAGGTATTTTTAATTGGGTTAAAAAAATAAAAAATTGTTGGTTATCTTATTCAATTAAATTAAAGTTTCAATGATTAAAATTAAGGAATTGTGTCTATATAATCTCAATTGTGTCTTAGATATTTTAGTTTTAATCCCTAAATTTTTTTCATGTTAAAAATATGAACTAATTAAAGCCAATCAAAGTAATACTCGCCTTGCTGAGTTTTCTTGAAATTATGTGTTATTTTATGTGACTATTGTTCCTATGGTATTATGATTCGTATGAATTGCTAAAGGTTTAAAAACATTAATAAATTAAATGCATAATATAGAGTGTTAAACTTTTAATTAATAGAATAAATCTATATCTCAACATTGAATAAGTTATTTGGAGTTTGTAAATTATGACAAATATTATGATTTATTTTCTTAACTAGTATTTCGTTGAGTAATTTGAATATTTAGGTTATTTTTTCTTATCTGGAGTATTTTTATTGTACAATAAGAATTAGAAAATCAAAATGAATGTTTCAAGTTTCAAAGAGTAAAAATAAATTTTTGAAAAAGATTTTTGGTTCTTCATAAAGATTATATTGAAAATTTAAAAAACAAAGTTATAATTAATATAATTGAAGGATAAAAAACGATTAGTAAGCTATTAATCTATTTTTTAATCTTCAGTAATACTTAATGAAGAATTATGGAAGATATAAATAAGAAATATTGGTAAAATAGTGAAAATTGAATTGAAAAATTTTAATTTAAAAATGTTGTATTCAGATAAATTTATTAGTTAGACGACTAAATATATTTCAAAGATTTTTTGATAAGTAATAGAAGTAATGGAATATGAGAAATTTTTCTAACTTTTAACAGTGGTTTATAAAATATAAATATCTGAATTATATATATGAAAATATTATTAATTTAAGAAATCATTTTTCATTGGATGTTATAGAATTACGAAGATTGGAATCGAAGTATTATTTAAAACAAAGAAAAAAGAGCTATATTAGAAAAATGAAAAAGATCAAGTTATGAGAACAAAAAATATAGGGGTGGGTTAAATTTTTAGTAGTAAGTGATTATGATAAACGGGTTGTAGCATCAAATGCTATAAGTTTAAAAATAGTTAAAGGTAATACCTAATAAAACCTAAAAAGCGGAGGAATAATATAGGTGGAGATTAAATGAATCTAAGTATAAAATAAATGAATATATCAAAATAAATATTACATTAAAGAATTGATTAAACTAAAAATTCTAAAAAAAAAAAATGAAAGAAATGGACCAATATAAGGTAGACATAGTAAAAATACATTTTAATTTAAATGCTTAAGAATGATTAAATAAATTGATATTATTTACAAATTTGTTAATCAAATAGAATAAAAACAGTTTATTTGAGAAGATAGCAATTAATAATAAAAAACTGAAACAATTAATTAATTCAGTTTAACTTTAGAAGAAAAACATTAATTTTATTCTTAATTTAAAGTTTTTTATTTCAAAAATCAAGCTTAATCCAGTTTTTTTTGGTTTTAAGCCGAATACTTTCAGGTATCAAAAGGATATATGTAGAAAGGGAAGAGAAAGAAACGGAGATATAAGGAGAAAAAAATACGAAAGCTTAGTTCAATAGTATTTATTCATTTTCAAATTTAATAGATATTGTTTTTTTAATTAAATTGACAAAAATTAAGAGCATTTAAAAGCTATGATTTATTTTGCATTCTTTGTTTCCTTCTAAAATATTATAAATTAACAACTGAAAAGATTCTTCAATTAATCTAACTACTTTATCTAATTTTGAAACAGAAATTTTTTCCAACTGTGAGTTCTTGATTAAGTTCAAGGTGAAATGGAAAGAAATTAGGTAAAGCTTTAAAATTTGAACATTCTATTTCAAAAATTATGATTTTTAACTTGACAAAAATTTTTCCAAAGGAATATAAAACTATCCATTCACATGTAAGGAGATAGTTCCTTGTCTAAAGTTATGCATATATTTAAATTCAAAAAAAGCACAAAAATTGATTTTAAATCTAAACAAGTTTCGAATTGAGGAAAGTATAAAGGTAAAAGAATTGGGAAAGACAGGTTTACATACCATATTACAAAATGAAGCCGTTTTAGATAGTTTTATTGTTGAATATTTATCCAGTTTTAATAAAAAAACATAAGAATTACGCCGAAAATTCTAGATTGATAAAGTTTTCTTGCTTAGTAAAAAATTAAAAACAGCTTAATAAGGATTGTTAAATTAAAAATATTAGATTAAAAATTAAAGTTTTTTTTTAAAAAATTTGTTAATAATATACTAACCAAAATTCTTAACTTGATTAGAAATGTGCCAAAATATAATTTAAATGTTATATATGAAAATTACCTCATATTTGAGTTGTAAAGATTTTTTACAAAGTTACCGAAACCTGAATTAATTAAAATATGTATAAAGTACTCAATACCTATGCAAAAAAAACAAATACGTAGATAAGCGCATAAGAATCGAATTTTAATGTTTGTTTAGTTACTTATTCCATAAATTTTTTATTTAAAAAATGAACAAAAACAAAAAAGTCAATCACAGTTTGCACTAATAGTGAAAAAAACGGTTGGCGCTAAAATAGTATAACTAGTTTTGACATGTTGCATGTAATTAAAAAAAAAAAAATACTTTATAAATTACCAATTTTATAACAACATAAAAATAATGAGCAATTTAAGATTTAAAATATTTACGTTAATTATTTTATTTATTTATATTTTTGATTATGTTCTTATAATCAGAGGAGCTGAAGCACCTGATGGCAATGAAGAAAATAATGAGTCATCAAATAGTGAAGAAATACTTCATAAAATTAGTCTCGACCATCCTATTGTTACTTTCATGGATGCATTGGCTACTAATATTCACGAAAGAAATTTACTTGCAGAGCTAATTCTGAACGAGTTAATAATTTACATTGTAATGATCCAAAAATTAGCTGCCCTATTTAATTCAAGAGAAACCTTACAAAATTTTTTAGTTGTAAAACATGCTTTAATTAGTTTTTCTGTTAACTCCTCTTTTGATAAAAAAAATGATATGGTGTTGCAATCTAAAATTGAAAAAATGGTGCAATTTTCAAGAAGCAAAAACACTGATTTGCGCGACAAATGTAAAGAATTAGTTGATCAAAATTCCGTTAGATTATTTGATTTAATGGCGGAGAATAAAAATTCAATAGTAGATGAAATTAACTTTTTTTTGCTTAAACTTTTAGTTTTAGCAGATAGAGGAGTAAATAGGTTTTTAGATGGTCTTATAGTTTCAGCGATTTATTTGTTGGAAGAATCCAAATCTTCATTATTGACATCTTCTGAATTGTATTCAAATTCATCAAGGAAAGAAATATCAAAAAGATTTATTGCAAGCAAAGATTCTATTGCCAAAATTACATTAAAAGATATTTTTATGGACCGAGTTGAAGCAGATCTTAGAGAAGTTACTTCGACTAAATTAGATTCAGAGGACACTCAATCTAAAAAAAAAACGAGTAAAATAGTTTTATCAGATGAAGATATGTATAGACTGGCAGCATTAGTTTCTGGAGCTTTTACTGCTTTTAAAATATGTTTATATATAATTTTCTTGTTCAATGGTAAACTTTTGAAATCAAATTATGCTTTCATTAGTGAAAATGAAACTACCGCAAAGCAAGAATTACTAAAAATAGGTAACTCTAATTTATCAGAGGAAAAACGCTTAGAGATTAATTCTGAAGTAAGGGACTTATTGCAATTGGATGAACTTCAGTCAAGTAATTTTGTTTCTGAAACTTTTGAATATATCTTAGAAAAGGAGTTCATCATTTCAGCTTTAAAAGATATTTACAAGTATTTACTTAATCTTTTAGTATCCTTAAAAAGATTTCAGAAGTCTATTGCAAAATATAAGGCCTTCGATTATTTGTTTGAAACTACGATACTAGTGTGTCAGGATTTAACCAAAAAATGTTTAGAAGAAATCAAAAAAATTGAAACTTTTTCAGAAAGGAAAGTAGAAAGTTTACAAATAAGTGGGTTAAGAGTTACTATGAAGAGAAAGACTGATGAGCTTTTGAAAAGAAAAGAGGAAGAAATGAAATTGTTTAGGAAGGAAGAAAGGGAAAAAAAGTTTAAGGAAAGGAAAGAAAAAGAGGAAAGGGAAAAAGCAGAAAAAGAATCGATTAAAGAAATAAAAAAGTTGAGAGAACAGAAAAAGGGTCAAAAGGGCAAATCTAAGACCAGAAGAGTATTTCCTACTTTAGAAGGTGAAACTGAAGAAACTAAATCCACTAGTTCTAAAGAGAACAGTAAAGATTCAATACCTTCAGAAAGTAAATCTAGTGTTAGTGAAAGTTCTAAAACAAGAATTAACAGAAAAGAATTAAAATTACAAAAGCTTCAACAGGAAGAAGAGAAATCTCTAAAAAAAGAAAAAATAAAGGAAACAATTAAAGAACAAAAACTAGTAGCTGCATCAACAAAGAAGAGGAAGCAAGAAGAAAGAAGAGAAAAGAATGAAAGTAGAAGAGAAAAGGAAGAGAAAGAAAGAGAGGAGAGGAGACGATCGGAAAAAGAAAGACAAGATGAAATTCAACATAAACAATTTATGCATTCATTAACAACTCAAGTAGAATCAATAGAAGAATTGTTTAAGGAAGCTCAAAAAGGAGAAAGTTTTTCCGCTTTAGTTGCGTTCGTCTTTGACGTAATAAATGATGATATTGAAACTGAAGAAAAGAGTGAAGAAGATCTTTCAAAACAGTTTGCTTCAATGTCAGTTTCAGAAGTTACTAGTACACAAGAAACAATTCCAAGGCCAAGTTTAGGGGCAAGGAGCAAAAGAAGAGCAGATGAAGTTCCAGGAGATGGGCCAGTAGGTTCAACAGCCGAGTTCTTCAAATCAAAAGTATCAGTTCCAACAAGGGGAGATAGAGGTGGATCTAGTGATGGAAGTGGATCTAGTGTTAGAGGCAGATCTAGAAGCGTAAGTAGATCCAGTAGTAGAGGTAAATCCAGGAGTATAAGCAGATCGAGGAGTAAAAGCAGATCAAGGGGTATAGGCAGAACAAGGAGTAGAAGCAGATCAAGGAGTAGAAGCAGATCCAGGAGTGAGAGCAAATCAAGAATTACATCTCAAGAAGAAAGTATGCTCACTTTCGATGGATTTAAATTTCCTCAGTTAACTATTTTTGATACCCATCAACAAAAAAAACCTCTTACTGAATCAAAGTTTATGAAATACTTTAAATCTGGTCAAGACAAAAAATTAACGGATGGTACTTATTTAAGTTTTCAAAAAAAGTATTCAGATTATGAGCAACAATTGTCTGAATTTTCCACTATTAATAGTGAATCCGATAAAGAAGAAGTTATCATTACATTAGAGCAATGCGGTGTTACAATTCAAAAGTTACATTTAGAAATTGCTCCATCTGTATCTGGAGCTGAATTTTTGTACATTAAATTATTACAAAAATCTTTTGTTAAATTATTTGTCAGATTTTTATTATTACTTCAGGAAAAAGGAAGATAGTTAAAAAATTCATTTAAACTGGTTATTTGAGAAATTATATAATTTTTATTGTATAATTATTAAGCTTAATCGAATAAAAACTGGTCAAACTAAAAATGAAGTAATTTTTATTATTAATTATATTTCACAAAATTTATTCTATTTAAGTTATTTAGTTTTAGTCAAGATCAAGATTAAATTCAAATGACACAAAAAAGCAAGAGTTAAAAGTATTCGAATAATAACATTTAGACTAGCCAATAGTAATTTGACAGTTCAATAATAGTGAATTTTTTTTACAGTCAACTATTGTGAAACCATAAGATCGGCATTTTAATATTATTTCCATTACTATCAATGAACAAAAATCAGGTAGTTTATCAAGGTTAATACTGAATATTCGAGGAATTATTTTTTGTGGAAAATACGAAATTCCGTGAAAAATATTAATTGAAGTATCACATAATCAAACTTATGTAAACTGTAAATCAAATCTAAAATGTTTTGACGCGCTTATATATTACATTAGATATGTTTGTGTAATTTCTGATAGTTCGATTGGGTGAAGTAAAAAAAAAAAAAAACTTGATTAAATTGAGCTAGAATAGGTTATTTAACTAATTTTAGTCAATAAATTAAGTAATAATTACAATGCTACATAAAACTTTTGTGCATATTCTTTTTGCCCTACTTTTTTTTTATATTAAATATTTTAGAATAGAATGTGCAGGGGTTTCTGATAAAAAAACGGATTTAGGGGGTGAAATAGTTTCTTATAATATACAGAACACCGATATTGGAACATTGGATGAAATTCAATCAATTATTACGAATAAAAATGAAAATAATTTCATTGTAGAACAGGTAATTCTTAAAATAATCAATTATATTATTCTGATACTTAAATTATTGTTTATGTACGATCCAGCTGCAGGGAAAGCTGAGAATATATTTATTTCGGCAATATCTGATTTATTTGTTTCTCGGTCTATTCAAAATAGAAAAATTGATTTGATTCAATCAGATAAGGCATTGGCACTAAGAAATTTTTGTGACAAAGAAGGGAATGCTAGCTTTCTTGAAATAATTAATGGAATTTCTGGAGAAAATACAGTAAAACTTTTTGATATGATAGCAGAAAATGCTTTGGTAATAGAAAATACTTTTTTTTCTCTAATTAAAACATTAAAAATACTGGTAACTTTAGATTTAGATACATTTTTAAAAAATACGGCAGAATTAATAATTGCAGTAGAAAATAAATACATTGATTATATTAGGAAATATTCAAAAATACACAATAATGAATCTAAGAGGAATAAATACAAGAGACTAGTTGATAATCAGAAATACATAAAAGGATGTAAAAGCAATTTAATTGATCTAACAATGGTAGATAGTAACAAACCGAGCGAAACAGCAGAGAAAGATAGAAAGCTTTGTGATCAATATATAAAATCTAAAGAACTTGATAAATCAGGTACGAGCGATTTAGACGAAAGAGGTAAATATTTGTTTGAAGAAATTTTTGACTGTAGTGGATTTTCCGAAGAAGAAGTTTTCATAATTGAAACGATTGTTCTATATACATTGAATATAATAGAGGCAAGTATAAGTATGTTATATATGTTTGATGCAGACCAGTTAAGTAGTTTTAATGCTATTAATACAAAATTAATTGATATTTGCAGCTTGAAAATTTCAACAAGATCAACAAAATCACTAATTGGTCAAGAAAAGGCAATTAAACTTAGAATTTTTGTACAAGAACTATTAGGATTAAGTGAGCTAAATCAACATAATATTTTGGAATTAGCAGTTAAAAGTTCTTTAGAAAAGAATGAATTAATAAAACAATTAAAAGACTATTATAAAGGATTACTGAAAATCGTGTTAATATTAGAAGATAAACTTAAAGAAATTAAATGCAAATATTTAATTAGCATTTTAGAATCACCTGCAAATCTTTTTATGGTGTTCACCAAATTTTTTGCATCTGAAATTAAAAGACTTGAAAATTTAAGTTTTGAATACGTTTTTTTAGATTCAATTGTTAAATATACTGAACTAAAATTAGATAAAATAAGGTCAGATGAAGATAGGTTAATTGAGCAATCTAAGAGTGAACGAGAAATGGAGAAGGAAAACAAAAGAAAGGAAAAACAAATGAAAGAAAAAAAGAGAATGGAAGAATTAATCGAGAGAAAAAGGTATTTAGAAGAACATAATAAACTTAAGCAAGAGAAGAAAAATAATTCAAAACCAAAAGTTAAGAAACAGTTTCCTAATGTGGAAGATCTTGTTGGGCAAGGCAACTATTATAGAGCAAGTTCAAGTAGAACTAGAAGTACCAGTAGGAGTAGATCAAAAACTCCAGAAAAACCACAGAATAATAATGGTCAAAGTTCTGAACTAAAAGTCAGCAGAAAAGAAAAAAGAATGCAGAAACTTCAGCAAGAGGAACTAAAATCTCAAATGAAGCAAGCAATTAAGGAAGCAATACAAGAACAAAAGTCTCAAAACATTTCTACAAAAAAAAGAAAACAAACACAGAGGAAAAATAAAAATTCTGAAAGGAGAGAAAAAGAAGAAAGGGAAAGAAAGGAGGAAAAAGAAAAAAGGCAAGAAAAGCTTGAGACAATAAAGCATAATAATTATATGTATTCATTAATAAATTCTGTAGAAATGGTTGAAGGATTGTTTGAAGAAGCTAAGAAGCAACAAGAAAAAGGGTTAAGAGCACTAATTGGTTCGATATTGGATATTGTTAAAGAAGAAGTAAGTAGTGAAGAAAGCAAAAGAGTTGAGGCTTTAACTGAAAAATTTGAGGAGTTTTCGATTTTGGCTAGTGAGGTAGATTTAGAACCAAAAAAAGCACCTGATTCAAGATCAATTTCAACTTTTACCTCTTCTTCTGGAAAGCCTATGAAATTAAGAGCGGATCATGTTCCTGGATCTGGACCCGTAGTTCAAACAATTGAATTATTTGGACCAGGAGCAACTTTTGCGACAAGAAGCAGAAGCCCTACTTCTCACTCAAGAACTGTTTATAGGGGGAGAACAAGATCTAGAAAAAGATCTGAATCTGGGTCTAGAACAAGATCTGAATCAGGATCTGAAAAAAGTTCTGAGTCGAAATTTAGAAAAAGGTCTAGATCTGGATCTGGAACAAGGTCTAAATCAAGATCTAGAGCAAGCTCAAAATCAAGAATGAGTAGAAGGGATACAAGAGAATCTGAAATTGATTCAGAAAAAATTGATGTAATAAATTTTGACGGGTTTACAGTACCTTACCTTTCCCATTTTGATGAAAAAAAGTCACATGAGTCGTCTAAATTTGCCCAGTTTTTCTCATCAAGTGAAGATTTATTAAGTACAGAGAACAAAAAATTGTTATCTCAACATTTGGATACTGAAATTACAGAGATGGATTATTCTGAAATTACGGAAAATTCAACTAATGAAGAAATAATTAATGCATTAGAAAAGTGTGGAGACCAAATAAAAAAATTGCATATAGAAGTTGCTCCATTTCTTACTGGTAAATCTTTTTTATCAATAAAACTGATAGAAAAGTCACTGATTAAAGCTTTTGTTAGGTTACTTATTCTTTTAAAAAAAAAAGATGGTAACTTTATTGAAAATGAATAAAATATATATTTGAATTAAATTTTTATATATTACTCTAAATTATTTCAAAAAATAGAGGTAATTTAATAATTAGTGGTTTTTGTGAAAAAAGTAAATATGTAGTATTGTATCAGAAATATTTAGATATACTTTAGTTTTTTATTTTTTAGTTTGATTGAAGTAATAAATACTTCAGAAATAGCAAATAAAAAAAGAAAGTTTCGAAGACCAAATAAATAAATTCAAATTAAGCAATTTTTTGATTCAAAAAATAAATTTATTCAAAGATTATCTCAATTAAAAAAACTTAAACGGTTTAAAATTAATTAAGTACTTCTCATTGATTTATTCGTTTTTATAGACACAATTTTTATGATAGTTTCATTTAATAGTCATGAAAAGTAGTTTAAATTTAGTAATTTAAATAATTACTTTTAATATACAAATTCACAATTAATTTATAAAAAATTGATTTAGTTTGCTCAAGAAAAGTTTTAAAATGTAAATATTTGTTAATATATCCAATAATGAAAGTCTTTGTTGCGATAATTTTATCAGAATGTTTTTTAGAATTTTTTAAATAGTTTTTAGGTTTAGGTTTAGGTTTTTAGGTTAGGTTTTAGGTTT